CTGGACAATTGTGGGCACGCTACCAACTTAATCTGCGCCAACTTGAAGACATTGCTGATGAACGTAGATCTTTAAAGAACGAACTTGACTACCTGATCAAGACCAGTCTTAAAGACACGAGCGCACAGTTATTGGCTGAAACAGAGACCCTCAATCGAGCAAAGCTTGAATTAGCTCGCCAAAAATCGGGGAAGCAGCCCACAATTAGGTTGGACGAAGATCCCAACAGGGAAATTTCAGAGGCTGATCGTATTAGACTTAAAGCACAGGCCATGGTTGCGGCTAGACTCAATCGTAACGGTGGATCCACAAATCACAAGGACAGTGAAACTATACACCAAGAAGAAATTGAGTGCCAGGCGCGACTTGCGCACGTTAATAGGTTGCAACAGCGAGCTGAAGATGTAAAAAACGACGTGTCTTTAATTCTCCAAGAAGACCTGTCCAAAATTGACACTACTATCAGAGAAAGTCAAAAGTGCCTTCGCGACCGTCAAATGTTTGAACAAGGCTTTTACCTCTCAGATGATGTGGCCCGATTCATTGATTCTCTCGACAAATTAGCAAAAAAACCTGATTCTAGCCTTCGATACAATATCTCTACCCGATCTGCTTCAGCACCTGCATTCATTGTTCCAACAATCATTACTCCTAAAGACGATGAAAACCCAACCCCACCTCCAATTCCTACGTCTCAGAGACCGGGATCTCCCAGATCAGCCTTAGATGTCAAAGCTGAAGCACAAAAACGTATTCAGCAACGCCGTCAACTTATTTTGGGTCCCAGCAGTAATTACTCAGAAGACCCTCGGCCATCCTCCCGGTCTGGAGAGAATACTATTAGTGAAGATGAAAAGGCTGCTCAGCAAAGACTTCGTCAGGCAGAAATAGATGCTAGAGAAAGGCTTGATTCAATGCGTGAAAAGAGGCAAAGGCAGAGACAAGAAGCTGCTGAAGCTGAACAAAAGCGGAAAAAAGCTGCTGAAGAGGCCAAGGCTGAAGCTGAAGCTCGGATGATAGCAGAAAGAAAGAGGCTGAAACAAGAAGAGGAAGAAAGACAAGAAAAAGAGAAAAGGGCAAAAGAAGAGTTGGCCGAACGTATAGAGCAAGAAAGACTTAGGGAAATTGAACGTAAGCGTCAGGAAGAAGAAGAAATTCGCGAACGGGAGGCAGCACGCAAACGAGATGAAGAAGAAAAAGCTGCAAGGGAAGCACGACAACAAAAAGCTCGACTTGCAGCACAGCAGGCTGCCAAAGAAAAGAGGGTCAGACAGGAAGAAATAGAAAGACGAGAGCGAGAAATCGAGGCAGCACGAGAAGAAGAGTTAAAACGCCGCCGAGAATGGGAAGAAGCAGAGCAAAAACGTCGACAGGAAGAGCAGGCAGCCCTAGAAGAAGAAGAACAACGAAAACGAGAAGAACAAGAGCGTAAGGCTCTTGAACAAAAGGCAGATGATGAAGCAAGATACAAACGAGATCTTCGACGTAAAGAAAGAGAAGAAGCAGAAAAACGCAAGAAAATGGAAGCTGAGAGACTGGCAGCCTTAGAAAGGGCAAGAGTAGAAGCGGAAGAAGATTCAAAGCGGAAGGAGGCACAAAGGAAGGAGAGAGAGGCAGAAGAATTAGCTCAAAAAGCTTGGGAAGAAGAAGAGACTAGTGAGACTGAAGACAATACAGCTGGCACTAGTGGTTATGGTGTTGATATTGAAGACGAAGTTGATTTTGGAACAAGTAGGACACTTTTTCCTTGAAATATTGAAACCGAGGGGTTGGATTTATTTACCGTTTATTTTTATTTTGCAGTTTACCGGGTCAAAACACTATATGAGTATCGCGGAGTACGTGAGGGTGATCTGTCGTTCTCGGAAGATGAGATCCTCAAAGCACATCCGTCTAAAGATAGTGCAAGCGATTGGTGGTATGGTACCTCATTATTGACCAATGCTGTTGGATTCTTTCCTCGTACTTACGTAGAGGTGATCGAAGAAGGTAATATGACTGATTTGTAATGGTATCTCCAGAAAATATAGCATACTTAAACTGCTGTTATAATTTTTATTTTTATCTTTTATAGCTTTTAGAGCAAGGGCACTTTACGGGTTCACAAAAGAACGTGAAGATGATCTAGGATTCCAAGAAAACGATATTATTGTAGTTCAGCCGTTTCAAGATGAAGCAAGTGATTGGTGGTATGGAACAAATGAAGACACTAAGGAATCTGGCTATTTCCCGAAAACATATGTCGAAACCATCGCTCCAGGTAAAGAAAGACAGAGAAAGAGAAATGAATCAAAATAATGTGTTTGATCTGGTGTATCTAATCTGACCCAAATTTTGATACTGGGTGATTTGTGTTTCATACAGCTTCTAAAAAGAGTACAATTCATGCCTCAAGCCCTATTCCTATCAATAATGTAATCACTGCATCAAAGAGTGCTGACAAACCACACTTCTATCGCAGTGATAGCGGAGGTTTCTTGACTTCTTCTGATAGTAACCTACCCAGAGGAACATCTGCCCCAAACACCCCAATCTTCAAGAAATCAAATGTTAGTCTAAGCAAGACCGAGTTCTATCGCAGACGTCGAGCAGCTAGCAATGCCAGTATGGCAAGCATAGGTACTCCCACAGTATGTTTCCCACCGATATCCCAACCCGAATTTGCCCCCATAAGCACATGGGCTAGTACAATGGAACAGCACGAATTGGAAGCAATTCCTCAAGAGGAGAGAGCACGTCAAGAAGCAATTTATGAACTGATAACTACAGAGAGAGGGTACCTGCGTGATCTCCAGATGATTATCAATGCAAGTGTGATGAAAAGAGGTGTATCTTGATATTTTACTTACCCCGGTTGTTGGATAACACTAGGTCTTTTATGCCGATTCCGGAAAATACCTTACACAAGAAGAACAAGATGTTGTGTTTTCTAACATCGATGATCTCCTACTCTGTAACACGGCTCTTTTCAGTGATCTGGAGACTCGTCAGAGAGAGGGTGGTGGTGTTGTCGGAAATGTCGGCGATGTGTTTCTTAAACACGTAAGATTACTTGAGTTTCTTATCGTTTTCTTCTTTGATCCGAATATTTAATCCCTATGTTGTTGCCGTTTGGTATATGTAGGCTGAGAGTTTGAAATGCTACTCTACTTATTGCCGAAATCAATCTTTTGCGAGCAGGTTCTTGCAGAAGAAACGGGAGGAGGATCAATGGTTTGAAGTATTCTTGAAGGTAAGAACACATGTCGTTTGATTTCAATAAAGTCATCTGTTTTCATGTGATTTCTCTCATTTCTTTAGACTGCTCGTACACGCACAGAATGCCGGTCTCTAGATCTCTCACACTTCCTCCTAGAGCCAATGCAACGGATCACCCGATATCCTTTGCTTCTTCGGCAGGTAATAGTGATTTGACATGATAGTTACAAATCTGTATTCTGACATTACTTATCAGATTTTAAAATCAACGCCAAAAAAGCACCCTGATTATGGTCTTATGCGATCTGCACTTGTTGAAGCAGAGAAGGTTCTTGAGGTAGTGAATGAAGAAACAAGACGTTACGAAAACCGGCAAAAGATTGACGAGCTGAGTCGAATCTTAGACATGGAAGGATACGGGGTAAGAATCATAATTTCCTTTAATGGATCTACGGAATCTAAATCAAGGCGTGTATTGGCCAGAGGTTGGACGTCTGGGGTAGAGAGTTTGTCATGGAAGGAATTCTTTACAAAGCCAAAAGTGGACGCAAGCTGCACGCTTATCTGTTTAATGATATCTTGATCTTGGCCGAGCCTTTGAAGAGTCTAAGTCCTAAAGGCTATCTGTACAGCCTTTATCGCGAGGTAATTATATTAAAATGGAAGAGTTACATAAAATACTGGCTAAACGTTGCAATATGTTTGTACCCTGTACCTGTGTACCTATACTTATGCCTGTGCGTCCACTAGCCGATGAACATTGAGAATGTCAGTATACGACAGCAGCAGAACATGACATTAAAGCCATCTTTTGGTGGTAATTCAGGTAAGTAAAGAAAAATTGATTGTTTTGGATAGATAATATGAAAATGACATGTTACGCGCCATCCCTTAGACGACACTAGCTTTCAAATTGTGTACGGAACAAGTGTAATTGCTGTAAAGACATCAGCAAGTAGTCAAAAGCGCCAATGGATCAGCCAAGTGCAACATTATAGTGCTTTACAGACAACAATGAACAGGCAATAGACAGATTCCTGATGATTGACGTTGATCTAAGCCAATTAAAGAAATGTACAATTCAATAAGTTGTAATGAAGTTGGACCACTCTTGGTTTGATCGCCATTTTACAAGAAAAAAAATTAAATAAAATAAAAAAGAAACCGCTTTAAATATCGATGGGTTTTATAGTCTGAGGTATTATTCAAACATGTATACTTCCTCTAGAGATAGAACTACCGCGGGTTCACTGCAGTAAAAGGAAGGTCAAACGGGATTTGTATTAACTGGTGTAGAAAAAGAATATGAGCGGGGATCCTAGAGAAGTACTTAATGGCATAGTGTAAAGAAGCCTTGTGGGTAATGACATATTTTCAGAAACTTAGTTTGTTTAAGCTTTTGTTTTTTGTTTTTAGGACCAATGTTTATCCTGAGAAACTTAATTATTTATATACATATACCATTATTGGCTCTTTGTCTCATACAAAGACATACCAAGACCTATGCTGTAACCCACTCCGAAGTTTTTTTTTTTATTTTTTTTTATATATATTCCAAATCCAAATGACTCCGCTTAGATACAGCATACCAAACTCAAGGTGTACCTGAATTTCGGTTGGCTAAGATTCGAGAGTTTTGAGTATAAATGACCCCAACGAAAAAAAAAAATGAGGGGACTCTGAATTCAACAATTGGATAAATAGGATAAAGCCTCTGAAGTCTTCTTCCCGCCAATTCCTTGTCGCTACCACCCTCCCTCCTCCTACCTCTTACTGGATCACCCCCCAAAAAACCATTTGCAATGCTCGATAAAACCACCATTGACGGACAGGAGGATATTGTCACCCACCCAGTCCCCAAGCGCCTCCTCAACTCAGCAGAATGCCCTACACCTCATGTCAACTCTCTTGAACAGTACAAGTCAATGTGGAAAGAGAGTGTCGAACAACCCGAGAAGTTCTTTGGAAATGTATGCAATAAACGAACAAATAGATCTGGATATCCAGAAAAACTATAGACCAAAATTTATCCAGACTCTTACTAACCTACGTATCTACTGTTAGCTTGGTCGTGAGCTTTTGTCCTGGAGCAAGCCTTTCGAGACTGTCCAGTATGGTTCCTTTGAGGCTGGAGATGTAGCCTGGTTCTTGGAGGGTGAACTTAACGCATCGTACAACTGTGTTGATCGTCACGCTTTCAAGAACCCCGATAAGATTGCCATCATCCATGAAGGCGATGAACCCGATCAGGTCCGCCGTATCACTTATGGTGAGCTTCTTAGAGAGGTCTGTCGCATGGCCAACGTCCTCAAGGGCCTCGGTGTACGCAAGGGTGATCCCGTTGCTATCTACATGCCCATGATTCCCGAGACCATTGTCGCCATCTTGGCATGTGCCCGTATTGGTGCTATCCACTCTGTTGTCTTTGCTGGTTTTTCTGCCGAGTCACTCCGTGATCGTGTTGTCGACTGTGCTACCCGTGTCGTACTGACTTCCGATGAAGGCAGACGTGGTGGAAAGAACATTGCCACCAAGTGCATCGTTGACGAGGCTCTCCGTGACTACGAGAATCACTCTGTCGAACATGTCCTCGTCTTCCGTCGCACCGGATCCCCAGTTCCCTGGGTTCAAGGACGCGATGTCTGGTGGCATGAGGAGATGGCCAAGGCACGTACTTTCTGCTCTCCTGAGCCCATGAGTGCTGAAGATCCTCTCTTTTTGCTCTACACTTCTGGATCCACTGGTACCCCCAAGGGTATTTTGCACACCACTGGTGGCTATCTTTTGGGTGTTGCTGCCACAGTCAAGTACATCTTTGATTACCAGGAGAATGATATCTACGCTTGCATGGCTGATATTGGATGGGTTACTGGACATTCTTACATTGTTTATGGTCCTCTCACTCTTGGTGCTACCACAGTTCTATTCGAATCTACCCCAACATACCCCAACCCCTCTCGCTTCTGGCAACTGATCGAGAAGCATAAGATTACCCAGTTCTACACCGCACCTACAGCTATTCGTGCTCTGCAGCGTCTTGGAGACCAGTGGCTGGATAACATTGATATGTCAAGCCTGCGTGTACTTGGCTCTGTAGGTGAACCTATTAACCGTGAAGCCTGGGATTGGTACAACGAGAAGGTTGGTAAGGGTAGATGTGCTGTTGTAGATACCTACTGGCAAACCGAGACTGGTTCCATCATTGTCAGTCCTCTTCCCGGAGCTACTCCCACAAAGCCTGGATCTGCCACTCTTCCCTTCTTTGGTATTGACCCCGTATTGCTTGATCCTACTACCGGCAAGGAGTTGACTGCCACCGGCCAAACCGGTGTTCTTGCCATCCGCAAGCCATGGCCCTCAATGGCTCGCTCTGTCTACAACAACCACAGCCGTTTTGTTGAGACTTATCTCAAGCCCTACCCCGGTTACTATTTCACAGGTGATGGTGCTCTCCGTGATGATGATGGTTATATCTGGATTCGTGGACGTGTTGATGGTAAGTAGTTTGATATTACCAAAATGAGGATTTTTTTTAATCTTATAATTTTTGTTAGATGTTATCAATGTTTCTGGTCACCGTCTCTCCACCTCTGAGATCGAATCTGCTCTCGTTAACCATGAGGCTGTTGCCGAGTCTGCTGTTGTTGGTGCCCATGATGATTTGACCGGCCAATGTATCCATGCTTTCGTTTCTCTGAAGCCCCATATTCAGATCGCTGATGGACTCGAAAAGGTTCTGACTTTGCAAGTTCGCAAGACTATTGGTAAGTTGTATTACATTCAAGGTAGAACAGTCTATTGATAAGCTTTGCGTATGTGTGTGTGTGTGTGTTCATTTACAGGTCCCTTTGCTGCCCCTCGTCGCATCTACATTGTCAGTGACCACCCCAAGACTCGTTCTGGAAAGATCATGCGCCGTATTCTTAGAAAGATCGTTAACGGAGAGCACGACCAACTCGGTGATATCTCTACCCTGGCTGATCCTTCGTAAGTTCTTTGTTTGAAACTATATAAAAAATAATGATATGCATGATGACTAAATTCCATATCATATACTTTAATAGGATTGTTGCTGTATTGATCAACAAGGTTCACGGTTAAACACAGAAGCAAATATATATATATAATATATAGAGATAAAAAAACAGGACAAAACAAAAAAGGAAATTAAAATTATAAACTTATTTAATATGCTGTTGAACAGCTTTTTTGTATATTCTCTTTTATAAGGAGCAGGGCTCTGGTTAATATTAATTAAACGAGCCTTAATTATAAAGATATCCCCCCTTGTAAAAAAATCTTGTTTGTGCTAATAAAATTGGAAATAATATAATATATATTCAAAGAAGTATTTAAAACCATTTCGTAATTTGTCTTTGTGGAAAAGAGAAATTGGCTATACAACTTCTCTGTAAATCGGACTTGAGTAAAGAGGTGAGACAACAGCGGACTACTTTTTCTTTCAGCCACCAGAGAGACAAGTGCATAGTGGACTTTTTTTCTGGTGTAGAAAAAATACCTCTCGTCTTTACGTTAAAATCATGGTGAAGAAGCAAGTCGATTCGAGAGTTCACACTCTCATTAAGAACTGTGTGCAAACCAAGCACCGATCTTTCTTTGTTGTTGTTGGAGACAAGGGAAAGGATCAGGTATGAATTGCTTTTATTGTACCTGACATGACCAATTAACTCATTACTTTATCAGATCGTCAACCTTCATTGGCTTCTTTCCCAAGCCCAAGTCACCAAGCGCCCCTCAGTTCTTTGGTGTTACAAGAAAGAGCTTGGATTCACCAGGTAAAATATATATATAGGAATAGCCGCATTATACAACCTAATATATATATGCTCACCTGTCACAATTAACTTAGTCACCGAAAGAAGCGTGAAAACAAGATTAAGAATGACATTAAGCGTGGTATTCGAGAGGCAAACACCGAGGATCCATTTGAACTTTTCATTACCGTCACCAACATTCGTTACGCATACTACAAGGAGACACAGAACATTCTCGGTAACACTTACGGCATGTGTATTCTCCAGGATTTCGAGGCTATTACACCCAACACCTTGGCCCGTACTATTGAAACTGTAGAGGGAGGAGGAATGGTAGTCTTGTTGCTCAAGAGCATGAACTCCTTGAAACAACTGTACACTATGACTATGGTATGTGCTGTTTATATACATATAAGAACGATCTAGAGACGAAAACGGATAAAAGAGAAATGAAGAGGAGAGAAAAGAAAAAGAGATGTTAAGATTTTGCTTAAAGGATGTCCACTCGAGATACCGTACCGAGGCTCACAGCGACATTGTGGCCCGTTTCAACGAACGTTTCATTCTCTCCTTGGGATCAAGCGAAAACTGCTTGGTTGTTGATGACGAGCTCAATGTTCTCCCTATCAGTAAAGGAAAGAGTGTAAAGCCCTTGCCTATCAAGGTTGCAGATGAGGCAAAGTCCGCTGAAGCAATTGAATTGGAGGGATTAAAGGAATCCTTGGCTGATACTGAACCCGTTGGATCGCTTGTCAAGTGCACCAAGACTGTTGATCAGGCTAAGGCTGTTTTGACTTTCATTGATGCTATTGCCGAGAAATCGCTTCGCAGTACTGTTGTTTTGACTGCTGCTCGTGGTCGTGGTAAATCTGCTGCACTTGGTCTGTCAATGGCTTCTGCTGTGGCATATGGCTACTCCAACATCTTTGTTACCTCCCCCAGCCCCGAGAACTTGAAGACTCTCTTTGAGTTTGTTTTCAAGGCATTTGATGCCCTTGGTTATGAGGAACATTTGGATTACGATATTGTTCAGTCTACAAACCCTGAATTTAACAAGGCCATCGTTCGTGTTAATATCTTTAGACAGCATCGTCAAACTATTCAGGTAAGATATCAACTTGAGTACGTACGTATATATATATATATATATATATATATATGTGTGTGTGTGTGTGTGTGTATTTCAAAAGAAAGGTGATTTCCAATACGAATTTCCTGACCGTAACATTATATAGTATATTCAACCCGAAGATGCCCATGTGCTTGGTCAAGCAGAATTGCTCGTTATCGATGAAGCTGCTGCCATTCCCCTTCCAATTGTTCGCAAATTGTTGGGTCCATACCTTGTCTTCATGGCCTCCACAATCAACGGTTATGAAGGTACTGGTCGCTCATTGTCTCTTAAGCTCACCCAGCAGCTCCGTGAACAGTCTCGTGCTTTGAACAACTCCAAGGAACCTGCAAAGGGAGCCGAGAACAATTTAGGAGGTCGTGATGTACAGGCTAAGAAGAGTCAGGCTGACGATCCCGCTACTACTGCTGTACTCAGTGGTCGTACCCTCAAGGAGATCAAGTTGGAAGAGCCAATTCGTTATGCACCCAACGATCCTGTTGAGAAGTGGCTTAACAAATTGCTGTGCTTGGACGCATCTATTGTTTCCAAGAACATCCAGGGCTGCCCTCATCCTTCTGAGTGTGAGCTCTTCTACGTCAACCGCGACACTCTTTTCTCTTACCACCCCGTCAGTGAAACATTCTTGCAGCGTATGATGTCTCTCTACGTCGCTAGTCATTATAAGAACTCTCCTAACGATCTTCAATTGATGAGTGATGCTCCCGCTCACCACTTGTTTGTATTGTTGCCTCCTGTACCTGAAAACAGCACCAGTCTTCCAGATCCATTGGTGGTTATCCAGGTTTGTTTGGAAGGTGAGATCTCGCGCCAGTCTGTTATGAACTCTCTGTCCCGCGGCCAGCGCCCTGCTGGCGATATGATTCCCTGGCTCGTGTCTCAGCAATTCCAGGACGATGACTTTGCCAGCTTGTCTGGTGCTCGTATTGTTCGCATTGCCACTCACCCCGACTATGCCAACATGGGTTACGGATCCAGAGCCCTTGACTTGCTTGCTTCATTCTACCAGGGAGAGATTTCTGACATGAACGAAGCTATGGATATGGATGAAGAGACTCTGGTTCGTGTGGATGATGATGAGCTTGAAACTGCTGATCTCAAGACAGACCAGATCAAGGTCCGCGATCCTCGTAAGATGCCTGCTCTCTTGACAAAGCTTTCGGAAGTTCGCCCCGTTCAACTCGATTACCTTGGTGTTTCATTTGGTTTGACCCCCAATCTCCACAAGTTCTGGAAGCGTGCTGGCTACGTTCCACTTTACCTCCGTCAGACAACCAACGACCTCACAGGAGAACACTCTTGCGTAATGATCAAGACCTTGACTGGTGGTGGGCGTGTGGCCAACACTACCTGGCTCGATGCCTTTGCCCGTGATTTCGCTAACCGTTTCCTCAACCTACTTTCTTACGAATTCCGCAACTTTACTTCTGTAAACGCATTGAGCATCCTTGAGGCTGCCAAGCACGGCCGTGATAGTGAGGCCGATGAAGCACATGAATTGACTAAAGAACAGCTCGATTTGTTCTTTACTCCTTACGATCTGAAGCGTCTTGACTCATATGCCAACAACATGCTTGATTATCATGTGATTCTCGATATGATTCCCACTATTGCCAAAATCTACTTCAAGGATGAGTGTTCTCCAGATCTTAAGCTGTCTGGTATCCAGAGCGCTATTTTGCTTGGCGTTGGTCTCCAGCGTAAATCTATTGACGATCTTCAAAAAGAATTATCTCTTGCAAGTAACCAAGTGCTGGCTCTATTTGTCAAGGTGATTCGTAAGATCAGCCAAAACTTTAGAAAGATTGAGAGCAAAGCAATTGAAAGCACAAGCCCTGAACTCCAAAAGAAGAAACAAGAGGCCGAGGCAGCATTACAAGCAGAAAACCCCGACAAGAAGGATATTGAGGACGAGGAGGCATGGCGGCCACTGACTGAGGACTTGGACGCTGCTTTAGAAGAGGCAGGAAACGAGGCTATTGAAGGCCTTAAGTCCAAACAGCGCGAACTTATTGATTCTTTGGATCTTACAAAATACGCCATTGGTGGTAAGGAAGAAGACTGGTCTGCTGCTGAAGCACAGGTTGGCGCATTGAAGACCGGCAAGAAGGTTGTTAGTTCAGTAATCAGCATCAAAAACGAGAATTCATCAAAGAAGCGCAAGCTGACTGAGAGTGCCATGCAGATGGCCAAGAAGGAGAGAGAGCGCAAGACTGGCGGAAAGCAGAAGATGTCCAAAAAGACAAAGCGCTCATAGACTAGTACACATGTTTCTATATATATATATAAAAGATTTCAATAAACAATAATCCCATTGCATTTTACCTCTAAATATCATTTACATGACATTTACATTTTCTAAAGGCTACAAGTAATAAGTATTAAAACCCTTTTTTTTTAAAAAAAAAAAAGAAAAAAAAAAAAAAGCAATGCCGTACAAGAGCAATTTTGGTTTTTGTCCTAGCCGGTCTTTAAATTATTATCCCTTCTTTTTTTTGGTTAGAAAAATAGCTAAAAGTATTGAGCAACTTCGACCGGTTGTTTCAAAGTGCGAGCCAGCATCCATACTCATTGGCTTGCTTGAATCCTCATGTCTCAACTACCATTAAACATTCCTGATGTGTTTGTTTTGGATGAGAACAAACTACAGGCTACCGAGAGTGTAGATAAACAAGAGCTTTATGTACTTCAATGGCTAGCTCAAGTCGAACGCGAATGCAAAACCATAAACATTGTAAGCACTTCTTCACGCACAAACTATTTCTCTCTCCCTTTAATCGAGACTTTTTTTTTTATTCTGATGCTTTCCTACGTAGGACACATTGAAGAAGGCTCAGCCTTTGTTAGAAAAAACGCTTCTAAAGTTAATCTCTCTGGCCACTGCAAAACCCCGTCGTCCTATACGCTTCCTCATCGGGAGATGCTTTGTTCTTTTATATACACGAGGAGATACACGATCCCTCTTCGATACTGTCACTGCGCTCCACAGCCTTGTTGGAGCAAGTAAAAATATAGATAAAGAGACAAGAATGTAAGATATATATAGTGACAAAGAGAAAAGAGAATGAAAAGAGAATGAATTTTTTTATGCGTGTGTCTACAGAGCTGCGATTGCAACTATTGGCGCTATTATGGGTGCAGTAGGAAGCAAGGTGAGAGTTATGCAATTAGAGAAGTTTCAAAATGGATAAAAACTTAATCTATTATATCTTAGATTCTATCTCTATTTGCAGAGACGGCCAACATTTTGCTCAAGGTGATCAAGACTAGTAACGTAAGTAAATATTAATATGGACTGTCACTTGGCTTTTCTCTAAATTTTGCTGTTTGTTCATTAGCATCCACTCATACTACGCTTAGAGGCAATCAATACCTTCACTCTCTTACTCAAGGGTGCTGGTAAAGCTTCTACGGAGTCAATCTTGAAAGAACTTACCAAGCACCTCAAGAATGGACTCGTCGACAAGGCTCTTGTGATGAGGGTTTCATCTGCTCAGGTATGTAAAACCTACACATATGAATATAAATATAAATATATATATACTAATTCAATCCTTGGCACAACAGTGTATGCAAGCCGTAATTCAGCATGGAAAACAAACTTTTACTGTTCACGACGTTGAGGTTCTTTTGCAGACATTTTTCAAATCATTCGATAACGCAACATTTCCTGTCAGGCGTGCAGTATCTTCATTGTGTGCCACACTTCTGGTATTTACTCAAAGCATATCAACAGTTGATCCCAACAAGCCTACAATAAAATACGCGACTACTGGCGAGGATAATTCTCCGGTGCAAACGGAAGCGCAAGTAGTACGAGCCGATGCCAAATTGATGACAACAGAGGAAATGTTTGGTCAACTATCGACTCATTACAATCGACAAAATTCATCCAGAGAGTTGAAGATTGGACTTGTGGAGACATATGCCACTCTATTTGTTTTGCTTGGAACTGATTTTGTCGAATCTCATTATGGAGTCATCGTAAAGCATGTTTTGACCGAATTACTAGACAGCACTGATAAAGCTGTTAACCCCGCAGAGAGTGCCTTCACTCGTTCCCAAGTATATTTTCTGCTTCACAACACTATAGGAAAAAGGCTTTTGAGTGAGCAAAGTCAAGCCAATGCGATTAGATTGTTAGTTACAGATTGGGTCAAGTCTTGGCCGCCTCTTCTACCAAACCAGGAACCGCCCAATAAACATGCCTTGATCTGTGCAGCAAATTTGATATCGTCTCTTGTGTGCGAACTAGAGGGAGCAGTTAGTTCGGTGCAGGTAATAATTATATATATAATATGGCAGTAATCGAGATAAGTTCTAATTCGTGTGCGTGTGCGTGTGCGTGTGCGTGTGCGTGTGCGTGTGTGTTTGTGGGTCTAGGATGTTCTTGTTGAACCTCTGTTTACTTTATTAACCCACCCAAGCTTCTCGGTACAAATGGCAGCTGTTTGGGCAATTCGATGTGTGTGTTATTCTGCTCCAGCGAATCTTCCTTATCTACTACCAAAAGCTCTAAATCTCTTGGAGAAGAATCTCGCCAATCTCGCCAATCCAAACTCTAAAACAAAAGTATATCGCCGGACTATAGCATATGCACATACGGCTGCGGCAATAATGAGTGTCTTTCCGTCTAGACCTATATATACCTCTTTCGAATTAAGCGCACGAGCCATGTCTCTTGCAAACCAGCTCCTCAAAAATACCAACAAAGATCAAAAAATTGCAAGTGTTCAGATACAGGTTGCTTGGACCCTTGTTGGTTCTCTTATGGGACTTGGTCCAAATCTTGTAAAGTTGCATCTGCCACAACTGCTTCTCTTGTGGAAGATGGCACTACCAAAGCCAACTGGTAAAGAAGCCAACTCTATTCGCTCTGAGCCTGAATGGTCTTTTCTGTTCCACACACGCGAATGTGCTACAGGCTCGATCTACAGCTTCCTTGAACACAATAGCCAAAGTTTAGTTACACTCGACATTGCAAAACGTATCTCTGCTCTTTTGAATAATACACTCGCCTTCCTTGCAACAACTCCAGCCACATTTGCGGCATCGAGTGTCTCTGCCTGTTTACCTTATCCCGCACGACTCACAGACCAATATTATGCTTTGAGACGCCGTATCTTCCAGTGCTTTGTTACCATTAGACCCATGTTGACAACTTATGAAGCATCGCTCACCAGTCTTCTTCGGAACTCTATGAGTGTATTTACCGAACTCGACAAGATAGCACCTTCTTCTGGTGCTCTTAATCAGGTATCAGCAAGTGTGCCTGGTCAGTTTGTTAGTGTGTGGAGTTCAACCGACGGACATGGATATGGTGTCACAAGCAAGATGCAAGGATATCGAGTGGATGTGGCTGTACAAGCAGAAGAACGCAACGATGACAATAATAGCGGGAAAGAGTGGGTGACAAAGGATCGTTTCCAGAAAATAGAAGAATTATTGGAACGACCCATTATTGGATCTGCTGAACTTGACTCGATCTATGTTTACACCACGTTTCATTCTGACGATAAGATTGATATCCCTCGTCCTGTGTCCCCATCAACTTCTTATATTGATTCCAGTATCGAGCTGTTTGCGACCCTATTTCCTAGCCAGCCCCCGCCCGTGCAAGAGTCGACCTTTGAACATATTGCCAAAGTAGTTAAGGATAGTCGTCTCGAAAAGAATTCACCTCGACGAGCCGCCGTTCTTGTGAACGTGGTGGTGGCGCTTTTGGGTGCATTTAAAAACATGATGTTTTACGCAAAGAAGAAAAAGATGGCACCAGGAGAAAGTATTGCAAGTGGTCGTGCAACACAGCTCGTTCAGGAAATCTTGATGGAGGCAGTAGTCCATCCAGAACCTTATCTGCGCAATGCTGCTAGTGAGACAATTGGACGACTAACTGCAATAGTGGGTGGGTCTTTTGTGGCATCTCAAATGCAGCAGCTTGTCGATTTGGTTGTAACCAATCGAGATCCAGATGTCCGAGCAGGAAGTGCATTGGCAATTGGATACATCTACAGTCATGTGGGAGGCATGGCTGCCGCTGTGCACCTAAAGACAATCGTGGGCATTCTCTTATCTCTCAGCAGTGACCCGCATCCGGTTGTTCATGCTTGGGCTCTCGAGGCTATGGCAATGACTGTAAGCGCAGCTGGACTAATGTTCTCAGGCTATGTAAACAGCACACTTGGAATGGTAGCCAAACTTTATTTGAGTGAGACACATGAACCAGGAAGTGGATCAACGGCGGTATCTAATGCTGGAATGAGTGTTGGTTTCACTGCCTATCAAGAGTTTGGGCGCATAATTTACGAGTTGATCGGAACGCTGGGTCCAGAGTTGCAGTCATCTTCAAAAGTCAGAGAGCTTTGCATCAATATGGTCGAAGAGTTGAAGCTCGAGCCCGATGAACGCGTAAATGTGGAGGCCATTAGATGTATTCAACATTTTTTGATGTTTGCTCCTCACCATGTGGACACAAAGGAACTTGTTCCATATCTCCAATCTCAAATTACCAGCCTACATATCCCTCTCAAGAAAGCAGCCGTCACTTGTCTTTACCAACTAGTTCAGCGAGATGCTGAAGCTGTATTCAAAGCAGCCCTGCCCGGCCTCGACAATGAGTTGTTTAAGATGCTTGACACAGATCCCAATCTATCTGATGTCAAAAATGTGATTCGGAGCTGGCTCAAAGACACGGCTGTAAACGATCCCTCTATATGGGTCAATATCACCAAACGTATTATGACAGGATCGTCCGGAAATGGACCATCTAATCCGGCCAGGGATGCAGTAAAGCAGAAATCAAGTAACAGCAATGATGGTGAAGATGATTTCGATGACTACGGAGATGACGGTGATGGATTTGAAGAAGAGGAGGACAATGCGGACATCCCTACTTCTGTGGCCGATGCATCCGTAATACCAGCAAAGTTGTCTATCAATGTCGAGATCCCACCTCGCTGGAGAACCCAGCTTTTTGCACTTCAATGCTTACACAAGACAATTGAGCTGATTTCTGCAAGTGGTATACGCGAGCATTTTGATTTGATCTTAGCACGCAAGCGTCGTCAGCAGGCCGGTATTGGAGATTACCTTGTTTTTCGTGTTCCAGATTTGATCCGCCTGTCGTTCACAGCCGCGACAGCTCATGTAAATGAGCTACGTCTGGCTGGTATTGGCCTCTTGAGGATGGTGATTGAGGTAAGAATTTGTTGTCGTGGAACTTAATTTTTTCTTTTCTCTATTAACTATATTTGAATAGAAATTTGCTATGACTGAGGATGCTGATCTTGAAGGAATGCTTCTGTTGGAACAATACGCGGCACAGATCGGTGCAGCATTGACTCCTGCTTTTGGACCTGACTCTTCTTCAGAAATCGTGTCTGCAGCTGTGCGTGTATGCGCTATCTATGTTGGTAGTGGAATTGTTAAGGATCTCTACCAATTAGGTAGAGTACTGAAACTATTGACTTCTGCGCTTGACAAATGCAAAGATGAGTCTAAGCTTGTTGGGGTTGGAGAAGTAAAAGATCTCAGTCCACACGCATCTGTAATGGTAAAGCTGTCGGTGCTTAATGCCTGGGCAGAACTCCAAGTGTCGAGTCAGAAGCAAGATTATTTGAAACAAATTTTACAGCCGTGAGTTAAAAACTGATTGGTTTTATAGAGAAACAAAAAAGATAATGTACTCACACAAACGCGTATATGCATATTGTTTTGTTTAATTGTAGAAATATTGCTGTGTTGAGTCCTCTTTGGTTGCAAGCTCTTCAGAGTTATGCCCGCATTCGGTTGGAGTCTGATATCGTAGCTTTGTCAAGTAGTTCAGAGGGAATACAAGCATCAGCAAATGGTGGATTTGAATCCATGTATTCTGCAGCAACCAAGGAAGTTGTTCTTCCTGTGAGTAATCTTTAAATCGCTCTTATAATTAGAAACTTTTTGCGCATATATATATATATATATATTAACTTGGATATTTTGCAGCTGTACCGTAGATCATGGCTCAAGATTATGGAAGCGGTTGCTACACTTATTGAAACACACGAACCTTCCATGATCAGTGCACTTGAACATAGTCCTGATTCTGCAAACTCTGAATCCAAACCATCCAATCTATTCTATATCTTATTCGGTCTTTGTATCGAAAGTCTTTCGCGTATATCCAGTTCCAGCAATGGCAGATCTAATGCTCCGACAATGATAATCTGCCTCAACGGTCTCAAGACACTTATACAACCAACACTGGCGGGAAATGAGTTTGTTCCCAAGGCAGTATTTTTGGAACTTATGAACGTGTTTGATCGTTTGATCCAAACTGAAGGTTATCGAGTACAGCTCATTATTATCGAAATTGTCCAACGACTGATAGAGAACTATGGTATCGATTACTTGTGCGATGATTTGAACAGTACTGTGTAAGTCAAGTTTTCTGTATATATGTATACACATAAAGAAAAAGGGTACAATCGCACGAATAGCTTCTTATTTTGGTGATAGCGAGACCGAGGCAGTCGATAGTGCTTTGGACCCTGATGTGTTTCCTTCTACGGCAAAACTGTACTATGTTCTTCGGCTTTTGATCAACGTATTCTTGCAGAACATACCTTCTCTTTCGAGCAAACCAACAGGAATAAGTAAGTGCAAAATAGTATTCCTTGAATTGGAAAGCTTGCCATCATACTTTACTTGTCATTCTTATTTCTTTTATACGTATTAGAAACAAATCCAAAAGAAAACATGACCATTTTGTTGGGTCCTTCTCTAGATGCCTTGACCAAATTGGTTGGGATCACACCTACAGGTTACAAAGTAGATCTTTTGGCGATCTGTTTTTATATATTCTCAGGTGAGGTTGATATATATTTGTGTGTGTTTTGATGTTTCATTTGATCAGATAAAACTAAACTAAGCTAAAATTACAACTACAACTACAACTACAACTACAACTACAACTACAACTCTTACTACTGTAGAAACTTTGAATAATGAAAAGTTCGAGGCCCTTCTGGCACCTCGTGTACTTGTTTCCCTCAAGACCATGTTTTATCAGTTTGAATCGGACTTGACTCCAAAAGACAGCAAGGCCTTATCTCGTGTGATCTGTGCCATGAATCATTCATTGCTTGATGGTCTGTTAAGGTAATTTGATGCGTTCAACTTTGGCCAATTTTTGTTTTTTTTTTCTTTGTCTTTTTCTTCTTTATACTGATATATTTGGGTACACAAGTGATAAAAAATTATCAGTGTCCGTCAAGAAGAACAAGTTACTTGCTGCAATGTTAATTATTACTGGTTGCCCTGAAGCAAGTCTGGCTGACGGAGATGGACGTGGAGTATTTGTAAAAACACTCAAAGAGGGCTTGGATTCTGATTTGACTGAGGTAAATTTACAATATAATTTAATCTAATTTAGTTAAAATATTTTTTTATAATATATATTTATATTTACTGATTATTGTTATTGCTAAAATCATCAAATTGTAGATTGCCATGACCGCGCACCAGTGCCTGAGAACTCTTATATCTTTACCCGACAAAAAAAGCAGCTCTCCCGCATTGCTTGGATTAGGAAGATCGACTGTGAGCACCCTTGTACCTCATGTGGTGACTCATGCTCTTTCCTTTAAGTTTTCCAATGAGAATATTGAAAAGGATAAGGCTCGTGCTGGCTTATTAGAAGAAGACATCAAGACCCTGATTACATTGCCAAACTGTGTACCAGAAGAACAAAGTAAGATTTCTATTGCTGTTACTATTTGTGATATCAAACTGACAAAAAAAAATTACTATTGGCACTTCTTTTACAGGACAACCGATTCTGAGTGTAATATTGCCTACACTTGCGGCAATGTTGGACACACCGCCATTTGAAGATAATCTGTCTCCGATTCACACAATAACAATGCCCCATCTACTGGCACTAGCAACGAGTATGCCACATGCCTTTAGAGGTGCTGTCACAGATCTACCTGAACATGTGCGTATGAAACTTGAGGCGTCTGTGAGATACAGTGTTGTGGCAAGTCAACAGAAGCAGCAAGAAATTCAACGACAAGAACTTCAGAAACAAGCCATAAGTTCTGAAGATACAAAGCAACCTACTATTCATCTAAAGACAAACTTTGGAAACTTTTAATATATATTTTTAATATATTATTCCTTATTATTACTTACTTACTTACTTACTACTACTACTACTACTACTACTACTACTACTACTACTACTACTACTACTACTACTATTAATACTGTTAATACTAAACAAAACAAAACAAAACAAGAAAATACAACTATATTATTTTTACAACATCAACAATAGTAATTCTTTGAAGCAATGGTATAGTAATGAGTAATTTGGGTATTATATTATAGCAATTCAAAACAGTACGAGACTCGTCCAGCCCATCTCACGATCTTCCCAATCAATGCCATGCAATTGAATAAGTATACCTCCTTTTGTTTGGCCATCTTCCTCAAATTGGTATTCTATCCAACAGGGCATACGTGACTTTCCTCCTCCGCCCTTTCGGTCTGGTTCGCCATGCAAGGCAACGATCTCATGGGCTTCCATTGTGGCAGTCAATCCACATGGATAGCTATGACCTGTGAATGGTTGAAATCCATCGCGGGTGTGACCATTGTATATGTCTATGGAATCTAGATTCAATGTGGTACTATTGTCTGGTTGTTTTGTAGGTTTGAAGCAGAATGAGAGACCGAGTGTGTGATATGAATAGTAGGTACAGTCGCTGAATGACTTGATGGTCGGTTCCGGGACAAGGTTTCCGCTTGGTACGACCGTTGTGAGGTAAGCGTGGAAGGCCTCTGCAGCGGGCGGAAGACCTATTAAGGAATAAGCGTCATACGATTGAAGTTGAATAGGCATAGTAAAAAATAAAAATTAGAAATAAAAGGAGCAAAACTAATTAAAACTCTGAGCTATAAAAAAATATTCATGGCTGTTGCAATCAAACAACAACAACAACAAAGAAAACAACAACAGTGACCACAGCCACCTTGTTTGACCTAGACTTTTGTTTTAATTTTTTTTCTTTGTGTCATGAAGAGTTGTACAGAAAGGCTGTGTATATGAATAATAATAATAAAAGTTACATCATCAATATATATATATATATATGTGAGTGTGCGTGTGTGTGTATGCATGTACGCATGTATGCGTGTATGCGTTTATGCGTGTACGTGTACGCGTACGTGTACGTGTACGTGTACGTGTGCGTGTGCGTGTGCGTGTGTGTGATTGAAAATTATAGAAATATCCATTATCATTATGATTATCATTATATGGGTGAGAATTGAGACAGTATGAAACGCGAAAATAACATTTATACATAGTATTATGATTATGATTATTAAAGAGGAAAAATTAATGTAACCAGATCGGCTAAAATAGCTGTTTACAATGTTTGAACAGCTAATATTATCTTTGTGTTTGAAGTCTGTACCAAGGTTTGACTGTATGATCGATAGTAACACTAATTATTGGCTCTGTAAATCATGTCAAAGATGAATAATGATATATTTGGTTTTTGTTTTGATTTGATTTGGGAAAAATTCAATATTAATCAAGTAGAGTATATGTATATATATATATATATATATATATATTTAAGGCTGGCCTTGACTTGTCACTCTTTATAGCCTTGCATTTGTCCGTATTACAAAGACATGTGGATTTCAGTAGGTGAGACAGAATCTTATCCTATTTTCAGTGTAGCAAGGTAACTCTTGGGGGTTTTTTTTTTGTGTCGAGTAAATTTGAGTGTAAAATATGAGTACAAATTATAGAACCTTTGTATATTTTGTATATAGAAATCATTATGTATTTTATTTTGTCTTTATTTGTTTTTTGTTTTTTGGTTGTATAAATATGTTTAAGCATAAGCATATTTGATTTGGTTTGATTTTATTTTATTTGTTTTATTTTACTAAAACCCCATGATTTCTGGCTTCTGTACTACTGATTCCTTGTTTTGATAACCGTTTTTAGAATTATCTATAAACCCAAAAGGGACTTGTGATTAACTATCAAACTGTTGCAGAATTTTAATTTATTAATTATTAAAATACGCGCACACATTACATACATTACTAGTTTCTTAGCTCATGATAACCCCTCTTTTTTTTTTGCTAAGCAAATCAAGTCAAATAAAATAGGCGTACTATGTATTATAAGCCTTGTTTAACGCACAGGGCAACTGGTCTGTTTTATATGGATCTTATTTAAAACACGTATATAAAATAAAATAAAAAATTATTTAAATTTCTTAGAAGCTGGATCTATTGATTTGTTTCTTGATTTTCTTTGGCTTTAGATGGCCTTATGCTTTTTGATATGCACATAGGCACGAGTATAGTCCAGTTTAGGTAGAATTAAACGGGTGAAATGGCTGGTCAGTGAACGTGGCAAGGACCAGTTTAAAGCGATAGATTGACTCTCTTATATTTCAAAATAGCTATTATTTAGATACACAACCACATCGGTTTTTTTCCTTTTAAAGACAATTACAATGAGTCCAAGAGAATGGACGTACATTCAAATAGAACATCAAATAAGTTGCGATGACTATAATAGAAAAAGAACGTATTTTTCTTATTTATTTATTTTACATTTAGGTATGTGTATATAGACGTGTATTTGTTTGGATAGAATATGGCCTGTGTTTTACCTTGACTTGATAGCCATGCTATCCAACAAGTCTTTAGTAAGAATTATATGTATTGTTGATTTCAAATCTCTATCTATACCTATTTCCCCACAAAATTATCCCAAAATCTATCTCTAATAAATTCATTATATAAATGTAAATGCAAATGTAAAATGCAAATGCAAATGCAAATGCAAATGTAAAAAAAAAAAGGAAAAAAAAATGCGAATTCAAAGTCACGACCAATTTTTTTTTCTATCCTATTCTATTTATTTTATTTTTGTGTCCGAGTCGGACTGTATGACATGCTTAAAATGAGCGGGAAAACAAGCACTGTGGTTCGGTGAGAAGCAGAAGAAGAAAAAAAATGTGAGAGACAGACAGAGAGAGAGAGAGAGAGAGATTTTGGTTGGGTGCACAAGCTTTTGATACCCTACGGTCGGTAACATGATAGTAACGTGCCTTTTTTCATACTAGAAAAAGTCAAGGCTTTATTCAGTAACACAATAGGCGAGAAGATAGTTCAAGACATTCAATAATCTTCACATATTCAATTCCACAATTTTTGCTGGTGGGCAGGTTAGCATGAGTGGTGACACCAGGAGAAAGCATGTCTTTGGCTGCTTGCGATTGGCAATGTTTCAGTGCCAAGGTTTAAAATCCATATCAAAAAAGAAAAAAAGAAAAAATGGTATGGAATCATTTATATTACATACAATACTATCATAAGCTCACATCTCACATCTCACACTCCACGACCCACATACCAACCTCCAATCCACTCATCTCAACTCAACTCAACTCAACTCACAAAACTCACTCGTACAAAAAAAAATAAAAAAATAAAAAAAATAGTGAACAAGCGAACGAACGAACGAACGAGAGAGAGAGAATTGTTCAAATACTAGAGATTGCCAAAAAAAAAAGCAGCTTGTCAATTTTCTCTTTCTCTTTCTTTTTTCTCCTCTTCTTCTCCTTCTTCTCCTCCTTCTTCTCCTTTTCTTCCTCTACCTCTTCTTCCTCTTCTTCCTTACATATATATATATAAATATACATATACGTATATTCATATTTATATCTATATATCTATATCTATATATCGTATACCTTTTTCTTTTATCTCTTTGTTTAAGAAATAATAATAATAATAATAATAATACTTCTTTACGAGTAAATCCAAAAACAAAACAAAAAAAAAACAAAAAAAAAACACCAGAGAATTCGTTTCACTCAAAAAGGGGAACCAATAGGTGGATATCGATATTATACGCATACAAATATATACAGATATAAAGAAAAAAATATATGTGTATAGATACAAGTATATATCTTATTTTGCACTTTATATATTTTAACTATTGTCACCATTATCTGTAAGTAACCTAAAAAAAATTATACTCATTAAATATCAAAATAGTTTGCATTAAAAGCGATAAAAAAATCTTTAATTATATATACATATATACATATATATACATATGTGTACATTTCACTGCGATAATTATATATATATATTAATTATAACACCAAAGACCTCTTCTAATTCTTACTCTTACTCTTATACATTATTATTTTTACTCTTATTCTTATATACATATATATCTATATATTGTAATATCCATAAACAAGCAGAACTAGACGCACAAGATTCTGTCTATCTAGGTACCGTTACTCTCATTGTTAACTATATATATGTACATACAAATATATATATATATACTTTCATAACAATAAGAAATAATAGTGATAAGGATAAGGATAATGATAATGATAGCAGTAGTAATAATAATTAAGTATAATTTATTATAACACTATTTACTCATTCTCATTCTCATTCATCAGTTAGGAATCCTCGACATTACCCATCAGAAATCAAGTTTCAACCCATTCCTTTGCAGAAACCCAGAAGAAAACCCCATATTACTCTAAAAAATATATATTTTACTCCTGATCCCTGACGATCGCAATGTCAACTCACCAAGACTCTGAACCAAATAATATGACCGAACCCTCAAATGACTCTGAACAATTGGCAAGTCAATTTTCTCCCTCCTTTTATTTTATTCTCTAAATAATAATAATAATAAATTAGTAATTGATATGAATTTCCCTGTTATATTTTCTAATAATTATTCTCTTATTTATTAGCTTCAGCCTCTTTATGATAGACTCCTCAGTCTGTCGTTTACAGAGAGTGTAAAGGCTATCGAACACTGTCGCGATCTGTGCGCTCAATTTGGATTTACTGTAAAACAAGAAGCAAGTACACATCGGGTAAGCGAACAACCATTCAGTTTCTTTTTCCTTTTTCTTTTGTGTTGCGAGTTGCTATTCCTTCTTCAGTCCAAGACACATGCCACATGTATTTTTTTCTCTCTCTCTTTCTCTATTTATTTATTTCTTCCCGAGGTCACCAAAGAATATATATATATATATGTATACAACAATTACATATACATTACACTATATAAATGCATCATCTCACTGCAAACAAAATCAAATCAAATCAAATCAAATCAAATCATATTGATTCAAATCAAATCAAATCATATTGATTCAAATCAAATTGATTTATTGATTGATCGAGCAACCTTGGATTTCCCACACCATCAAAAATCTTATATCCTGTTTTCAAAAGCACACTTTATCTCTAGTAAAGCTTTTTCTTTTTCTCAACTAACTAACAAACAAACAAAATATTGGTTGATTTGTTTGTTTTATGCGTTTTTTTTCTTTGTATTTTCGTATATTTGCATATTTACGTAAATTGCTATCTTACCTTTTTATCTATTTACTCTAATTTTATCTTTTCGTTTGTTTTTTTTTATTATTATTTTTTACGAAAACAAAAATATATATTTATACAATACAAAAACAAACAAACTCTTATTTTTTACTATAGAACATTTACGTTTATTGCTCGCGTGAAGGTGTCCCAGATTCACTGCGTAAACGAGGAGCAACTCCTCAGCGTAAACGACCTTCAAAAAGATGCGATTGTAGATGGCGTGTTGTATTGTACGAAAAAGAAGGACGATGGGAATTCCGAAAATCTCAGAATCCAGATGCGGCAAAACACAATCATGAGCTGATGCGACCTGATGAAATCGAGAGAAACTGGCCAAAGGCTGTCATTGATATGATCTGTGAACTCGCCAGACAAAGGCTCACGACCCAAGAAATCCGTACTGCTGTCAAGGATCAGTTCACAACAATCAGTTGGAACGAACGACGATTCTACAATCGCTTATCTGAAGAAAGACAAAAGATCAAACATCGGGAAGCAGCCACTAGAGCGCGTAATTTGACAGAACTGTGGACAAAAGTGTGCATGGCGGCAGCTGGAAACGAGGAACTTTCGCGTTTTGTTGAAACAGAAGCAACAAAGATCCTCGCAACTATATGTCAGACTATCCAACTAGAACCAGATACCCTCAGGCCACCTACCGAAATAGCCGAAGAAACCGTCGAGCTGCTTGCGGTAGTAAACCCTACTCCGGTAGAGAATGATGAGCCAGAGGGAAGTAATCGGGCTGGTAACCGTACAGGAGAAAATAATGCAAGGGGGCGCCGTGCTACAAGCCAACAGGTAAACTATATTTGGAATATTCACAATGGGTAGAAAATGGAGAATGTTACTATTATCATTGTTGTTGCTGTTGTTATTATTGGGTAGTAAGCTTACAGTTTCGTGTCTTGAACTAGTTGCCTGTAGATTCAGAAGATAACACCCGGCCACCAGAAAATCCGCCATCAAGTGTAAAGACCAACAGACAGGGATCAGGCACAAATACAACAAAACCACCAGAAGCACCAAAAGGGTATACCTCTGTCATTGTCCCTCGACACACCTACTTTGTGAAACTACACAGCCTGCGTACAATTGGTGAGCTTAATATTGCCCGCAATTCTATAGTAGCACGCGAGGGTTCGACCGCAGATGAATCAGGTTCAGAGACTGTGAGTCCTGCAAGGAGAGTATTAAAGAGGACAAGAGACGGTACTTTGGTTGACCAGACACCTGGACCTGCAGATGCACTACACGCTCTTCAGCAACAACAGCAACAGCAACACACCTTTTTGGCCGGAACACACCCACACAGAGCGCACCCGATGCCCCCAGCCCCTGTTCCACAGACTATGCACCAAGGCCCTTCCTCTTCATCTCAAGCGCCCTTTGTATACCATCCCACATATGACAGCCACGGAATGCCTATAGGAGCACCTCTTCCTAACTATGTCCACTCAACCTTTTACCACCACACAATGCCTCCTCAGGCACCCAACAATGGGTATACACCAAACTCTGACCTAAACTTTCATTTTAATACATCACATGGTCCAATGATGAGACAACATCCACAGGCCGGAAACAGTAACAGTGGTGGCAGTGGCAGTGGCAGTGGCAGTGGAAGTGGAAGTGGGAGCGGGAGTGGCAGTGGCAGTGGAAGTGGAAATGGTGGCGGTTCTTCATCAAATGATAACCGTGAACAGCATGGACCTCACTCTGGACTTCAACCAAACAATATGATACAAGGCAAAGCTCCTAGCTCTACTCCTACTCCTACTCCTTCTGCTCCTCCGTCTAATATATCAAATCAACCTCACCATCATGCCATTCAGACCTTGACTATTATACACCATCAACCCCCAACTCAATAGAGTTTATTAAGCGGGAACGACGACCTCAAGAAGAAGAATAAGAAAAAAAAACAAAAACAAAAACAAAAAACGCTCACACACTACCCTACCCTACCCTACCCCACTTTACTCCACTCCATTCCACATCACACCATATCACTTCACATCACACCACTCCACTCCACGCCACGCCACAAACTACTCACTTACACAAAAGCTAAAACCAAAGCCAAAACCAAACCAAAAAAAAGGGCAATTTTTATTGTATTTATGATTTTGATAATTTAAGTTTCAATATGGAAAAATGGACACCATTTTCTTTTCTTTTCTTTTACTTTTTTTTCTTTTTTCTTTTTTCTATTTTTTTATAGTATATTTTTCTTTAATTTTAAAATAATAATATTTTTTCGATTTTCGTTTTGTTCTTTTACTTATTTTATTTTTATTTTATATTTTTCCTTCAAATAATACAGAGTATGTACCATTAAATAGAAACGCACAGATATAAATATTGCTCGACTTTTTAATTATTATAATTTTGTATTTTGATGTATATATATATATATATATACAGGCATGTATATATTGTATTTTTCTCTTCTTTCTTATGTCAGTAATTTTACACACGCATATAAATATCTAATAATTAACTTGTATTTATATATTTATGTATATATGTATCTCTCTCTCTCTCTGTATGTGAATTCTTGAGTTATTTTAAGCTGTCTTGGCATTGATATTTCTTATTGTTATTATTACTATTATTTCAATGATTAATGACTTATCAATTCAACATACAATTTTTTATTATTCATTCAAATTTTTGAAATTTTATGTAATTATTTGAGTATCTTGAATATTGTGAGTACTTCTTTATTAAACTAATACATAGATATATAATTAGTATAATATATAAAAGTAATTTAAAATAATTAAAAAAAGGGTAGCATTGAATACATTGTAAATGTATATAATTGTTATTTATTAAAGCATAAATTTACTACAATCATTCAATACACATAAAAACAATATTTCCTTTTACAGAGTTTCCTTGTCACGCGTTTATAATCCTTTGTTCACAATGTCTCTACAATCCATAACATCATGACTGATACAGATTCACAAAGCCATCTCTCAGTCTTTCCTTTTGAAATTGTAGCAAACATCCTCCGATATTCATCCACTAGAGACCTTCTTGTAATTGGTCAGGCAAACTCATGGTATCGAACAATAGCATCTTTCACCTTGAGAGAAAGGATTCGCATGTCTGAATCTGCAGACCGACAATTAATTCATGTAACAATATTCAGAACAGTAAAGAATTAAGAAATCTGATTCTAAATTTTGAAGGTCAATGCTTTTGCCAATGACGAAATTGCCAATACATCTACCAACTCGGATAGTAGTTGTGAGATGCACATGAGAGGAGTCTTTTCAAGCATAGATTCTTTCAGTCTTCGTATCTCTTACAGCACACAGAGCGTTATTGACGGCTATGCCGGGCCAAAAGACTCACCTGAGCCAGTTGTGATGGAAGTACCCTGCAATAAAACCACCAATCTAGAGTTCTCGACATCCTACGCTATGATGAAGCCGAATTGGAAACAGATTGAAAACTTTGTAGATACTGATACGGGTCATGTGAGCTGTAGTACTCTTCTCGACCAAGTCCATGGCTCTAACTCGCAAGACACTCGGATCGTTCTTGATGGTGGAATGATCATTCACTGCCAAGTCAGAAATCAGAGCCAATCCACCGCCTTGACTGAAACTAATCAAACTCCAATCTCGATCGAATTTACAACAATCGAAGTGCCTGTTGGCTGGTGGTTAAATAACAAGGAAAGCTTTACCAATGCCAACCAACAAATGTGTGGATCAGAATTCATATTCTGGTAAAAACAATAATAATAGCAATATTCTATCGATTGTTTTGTGAAAAGTAGTTCCCAAGACCATATATATAAAAATACATAAACTTTACAGTATTTCTACAATTCTTACTCCCACTTCTCTCTCCGTACAAATTTATTCCAATCATCCAACAAGGACTTTTGCATTAATTCTACAGTATGCCTTTGCTCCTTTGTTGCCTTTGACCCATATGGTTCAAAATCCGGATCGTCGTATTTTGCAATTGCGTTTGCGACATCGTTTAAGGACCATTCTAATGTTGTCTCTTGAAATACGGTCGAAAGCGAAACTTGGTAGAAACCAAGCTTTTGTGTAAAAAGATCAATGCTTGGCTGATTGGTCAAGGAAATCTTTGCATGGAACGTATTTAGGCCAAGATCAGTAATGCCTTTTTTTTTAAAAATATATATATATACATATTAATTAACAAATTATATACATTTTTTTTCTTATAAAAAAAATACCCTCTATTCTAAAATTATGCAATTACCATAGCTCATCATCATCTTTAATGCTTCTAATCCACGTCCACTACGACGATATGCGTCTTCTGCGATCATAATCTCAATTTCTCCAAAGGTTGGGTCATTATCAGGATCGTTAAGAAATATATTGACATCTCCAATCATAACTTTATAATAATTATAGAAGAAGAAGTATATGTGTCAGTTGTTTATAGCCGAGAATATATATATATATATATTTAGAAAAAAAATTGACTTACTTGCGTTCTTTTTGACTTCATCAGCAGACATTTCACTGAGGGTCAAAGGGGATGTTTTAGGTAATGCAAGTAAGATAAATGTACACTCTGTTCGGATACACATACGTCCAATATTAACATAATTATTTATGGCCACAGATAAATATTCGGAGGAGTAATAAAGAAGCATACTTACTTTCTTCATCGACATGCCACGATTGTTGCATTTCATATTCTTCATCGAGACTCAATGGTTCAGAAGCTGTCATTTCTATAACATAAAAATTATAGATTTATTCATTTGCCCTGAACCACATTATTACTGTTATTATTATTATAGTTTAAATGTTTTGTAATTTTACACTATTTTATTTTTTTTACCTTGCAGGAATGGTGACTTCATCCATTCATGATACTGAAGCACATGTTCTTTTTTATAAGGCACAAGTACTGTTCTCTGGCCGATCTATTAAGGGACTTTTATTTTTTAGAGAATCTTTTAGACGCACATTTCATTCTGATTCCTTACCAGCACCAGATTCTCGTTCTGCTTCATTATGCTAATGACAGAAAAGGAATGAAAAAAGAGAGAGAGAGACAGGACAAGAGGGAGGAGAGAATGTGACGGTGGTCAAGTATTTAACAATAGAAAAGAGCTTGAATAAAACCAAATTCGAACAATAAGCAAAATAAAATAATATATATGTATATATATATATAACGGATTCATCTACCGCAATAAGAAATATACATATATACATTGTAGGAATGGAACATTACACTCCCGTTGACTACCCATCAAACAAAGATTACGATAGAGTTACACATGTAAACTTCCAACATCCAAAAGAGAATTGAGAGAGAATCTAATTCAACATGACATTCAGGACACCATCACTACTCTCATTGTCAAGAATGTCCCACTTTCTGTAACTGCATCCGTAGACCAAGCGTCTAATTATTTTAGTCAATATCCCACTCTGGATATTCGGTTGATGCAAGGTCCTGCAATGGTAATACATATATACATGTATATATATATATATAATACAAAAAGTCGAAAATAAGCATTTGGCGAGGAGCTTTTTTTTTGACGGTTGCCCTTTTTCTCTCTCTACTTCTTTATCTTTCTATATCTCCTTGGATATGTTTAGAGAGGAGTTGCTTTCCTTGATTTTGCTGATCGGAGCACGGCCGCACGCGTCTATCAGCAATTGCAAGGTTTAACTAATGGACCAGATACAAAGCCACTTGTAGTCGAATATGCCACCCCTCATCCAAAGAGGGCATCCCAGTAAGAATACACTACTCTTGTAGATTATATATATATATATATGTATATATATATATGCATAAAAATTAATACAAATATAATAATAATAGTAACAACAACAGCAGAAGTAGTAAATTTACTCAAATGTTGTGTTCTTTGTTTTAGATCTCGAGTGAATCAAGACACTGGCATTCAATCTACACTTCCGGTCAACAATATCTCACAAAAAGATGTAGAAACCAAACCTGAACCTGTTGCGCCTACTCTTGGGTAGGTAAATTTTGATTCATTTGTGGATTTACATATCTTGACTCGACTTAACCTTTTATTTTTCGCTTGTTGATTATTATTAAATACACATATGCCTATAGTCTTAATTATCCCCCCAATCCACATCTTTGTTACCGATATCCTGATCCAACTCCCGAGATTTTATCTAATATTATGCACGCAATTGGATCTGTTCCTCGATTGTATGTTCAAGTGCTTCATTTGATGAACAAGATGAATCTTCCTCCGCCGTTCAAACCTGTTGATCGTGATTCGATCCCAAGTCTTGTAAGTATGTGTGTGTGTATGTATACGTATATGTATATGATGTCTTAATTAGTTGTTTAATAGCTTAAACGGAAGCACAGTGAGATGCTTGCTAGTGATGAATCCGAACTTGAATCTGACGGTAGCTCAGATGATGAAGCTTCGCGAAGATTGATAGAGAAAAAGGCACGTCAAAGACAAATTGCAGTCAAAGAACAAAAGAAAGCTCTCCGGCGTACAGAGACAAAGTCGGTTGCCGAGCCTGTTGCAGAAGAAGCCAAGGATAGAGACACCAAGCGAATTAAAATTGTCCTTCACAATGATCTGGATATCCAACCCATACAAGAAGCCAAAAAAGACCAAGAACAACAAGAACAACAAGAACAAGAACCAATTGAGGATGATAATACTGTTTCGAAAAATAATTTCTACAGCTTGGACTATATACAATCAAATCGTCTACCCTCTCAAGGTAATAATAATAGTAGAGATATAAAGCTTTATACTCGTACACACATAAAAAATGTTTTATTCACACAAATATACTATTATTAATATTATTGTAGAATTAAAAGAACTGGCTGCCTTTAAGAATCATAGTCCAGGTGAAGTATCTAATAAGCTGTACATCAAGAACTTGGCAAAGGATGTCCAAGAAGATGATTTGGAGAGATTATTTGGTCAGTTTGTCCTGGAGGCTGATGGGAAATATACTCCGGGTAAGCTTGGTATTCAGCTTATGAAAACTGGTCGCCTAAAAGGACAGGCTTTTGTGAGCTTTCCTAGCCCGCTCAGTGCTCAATCTGCGCTTGAATCAACCCATGGATTCTTACTACATGACAAGCCAATAGCAGTCAAATTCAGCAAATCATCGGCGTGACTCTTTTTTTAATAGAAAAAGAAAAAGAAGAAATTTTTTTTTCTCCTTTCCTCTCTGTAAAATTAAATAATTTTTTTTTTTGGAATTGTGTATAAAAGGCCACCAATTTTTGCTTGATTTTTTATTTCTTTCTTTCTTTGTTCTACAACAAGATTAACAGTATAAATTATTTATATTGATGTTTTATTAAGTTTCAAAAAAAAGGTAAGAAAACGTTTCAATATTAGCATTTTATTTTTCCATACCCTTTTCCTTTTTCCCCCAATTTTTTTTTGGCATAACATGATGCACAACATTTTTGGTCCCGAATTTTATACATTTCCGATATCACATTCTTATCTTTAAGATGTGGGCTATCCAGGTGAACAATCTCTGAAGATGTCAAAAAAAAATCACCCTTCTTTCACAATTTTCTATTATTTTCTTTATAATTTTTCATTACATTGAATATAATGCTAATCCGTGAATTATTCTATCAACAATAGGTAAATATAAAGAAGCACGACCAATGGGCCTTGTTATATTAGAAAACAATTTCAATAATAAAAACAAATCAATAAAAAATTTTCATAAAACAAACTCCAGACTTCATTCACCTCTTTATATTTATTGTGTTTTGTCTCGTGAATTATTTTCTAAAGCATAAAAGATTGTAATACTCTGAAGTTTTTAAGGAAAAACTAAAATATTGAGTGTATTTGAGGGTTTGAGGGTTGATAAGAAAGACCCTTTATGGTCAATTCTTATAGCTAATTTAACGTCTAGCGTCTATACATATTTACTTTATTATAAACTCATATTAAATGATATTTTGTAATTTTGTTATTTTTTGTGTTTATTGTTGTTGGTTGTGGTTTTTTAGATACAAACAATAAGTGAAAGAAAAAATAAAATAAAAGAATAAACAAAAAAAAAACAAAAAAAAAATAATAAAAATAATAAAAAATATGGTGAATTTGTACTGTAATTTGTTGTTGTAAAGAAGTATCTTCTTCTTTTTTGTATGGTTTTTATTCTTTACCTACTGTTTGTTTTTTATGGTTTTTGGGTTTTTTGGGTCTTTTAATTTTTTGCTTCCGAAATAAAAGTCTATGGCGAGATTGATAGATATATAGAATAGATGTGAGGGAAAAAAAAGGATAGGGAAAAAAGGTTGGGGAAAAAATGGAATTGAGTTTTGCTTTTCTTTAATAAACCAATTCTTATATAATATATATTTGTTAAAGAAACAAAATATATATATATTGCTTACCTGGAAGTATTTCTTGAATTCTTTATTATCGTATTGTTGAATTGCCTGGCAGTATCTTTCTGCTCCTTCCCGTGGGCATTGAATAGACGGGAAAAAGACATTGGTCATGTATTCAGTGAACTCATTACTTTGTTTGGTGTACATGGCCTTTTGAATTCCAGTAATTTCACCAAAGACCTAATTAAGATTTTTTTTTAAAAAAATTAAGAATCAAAACGATTCAGTATAAAGATAAGTATATACATTTATGTTATCCAATTCGATATCAATTCATATCTCGCCTCTCCATTATTCATACCAAAAGAGATTGTCCATCGGCAACATTAAACGCTACATGCATTGGCACAGCAAACGTAGTTGGGATAAGTTCATTGTAAACAAATTGGTCAAATCCTGCAATCGATCCTTGTTGCTGAGGAGAAGTGGCCCATGCATTAACCATTCGCAAAAACACGCCAAATGCCATCTTTTGTATGGTAGGGTCACTATTGTCCTTTGCAAAGTGGAGAATTGTGTGCAGGATTGTGTTGAGGTGACTCAGGTTTCGCTCGCTGACAAGTACACTCTCCAGCTCGGCATTGAACAAGGAAATAATAAAGTTAATGTATGCCTTGCGAAGCTCAAATAACAGCATTGCTTCATCTGTGCCAGACGGGGAAGTGTTGAGGAAATCAAATACACGCTTCACAAGTGGCAGTAAGAGCTCATCCATAATATTGTGGATCATAGGCTAATAGTAATAAGAATAAAATTTATATCATTAGTACCCTTTAAACTCACGAATACAATCATATATATATATTACCTTGAACTTGTGTGCTACTAATCCAATAAATGGCAAAAAGTCATTAAGTTCTGTAATCTCACATTCTGTCAATAGACCATTGATAAGAGTGGGTAGGTATGGTAAAACTTCGGATCCGAGACAGGTAATAAAGCGAGCAAAAGAAAAGCGTGCTGCGTCACGGATCAGTAAGAATTGGTTGAATGTCTGGAGCACATTCAAGATTATTTCGGTTGCCTGATTAAACACAACAACCCAAGGGGCAGTTGCGGCAGAGGCCTTTGGGACATCGGGGAAACCTATGAACAAAGGTAAATCAATAAATTAAATTAAAAAAAAAAGAAGTCCAGAATATAAAAGTATAAATATGCCTACCCTTTGCAACACTTCCGATAGCCATAATATAATGATGGAGTTGTAGCATAAATAATTCATCTTCTGGATTGTAACCCTGGGACATCGAATTACGGATGCCCTCTACCAAAGGCTCCAATACAATTTGAAGGTACTCCATCTGTTTCATGACATCTACACTGTCAAGAGAAATAAGAGTTCCGACTGTTTCAAACAAATACAGCTGGCTGTCAAATGTCGAAGCAGCAGGAATAGGCATTCCATCCATTGTGTTGCTCTCTACTGGTGTCTCTGCCTGGATCGTGAGGAGATCGCCGATGGAAGACAGCAGGGTTTCGACGTAGGGTCCCATCTTTGGCTTGAGCATCTTCACAAAACGTTGGAAAAGATACCAGCATCTAGATCTAATCTGGTTGAGGGGGTGATGCAGTCCACGAGTGTCGACAAAGGCAGCCAAGGCCTGGGGGAGATGGTCAGCACGATGTTCAAAGAATTGGTAATAGCGGGTGATATTCTCAAAGAATTGAAGTGGTGCGGAAGGGTGAGGGTATGCCGAAATATCTACAAGAAATAATAATAATAAAGGTTTGTATACCATTTTTTTGGTTATTTTTTTTTAACAAAAAAGAAACTTACTAGACATCACCATCTCGGATACCAATTCACCAAGAGGAGTCAAAGAAGCAGAGTCGTTTCCGTTTACAAACTGCATGGCTGCCTTTGGTAGGGCTTCTCCGTAAGTGTACAAGACATACAAACACAATTCAACCTCTCTCCAATCCAATTCTGCGCCAGACTTGTATTTACTCAAGGTCTCCATAACAACAGAATGGACATACCCAATGTATAATTCATTACTAATGGCTGCAATGTGGTCGGCAAAGATTCTCAAATTCTACCATAAAAACAATTCAAGTTTTCTGATGAGTATTACTAATTACACTACACTACACACACACACACACACAAAACCACATTTAATCACACTTGTACATGTGTTTTGTACCTTTCTCAATTCAGCAAACAATGCTTCCTCTTCTGGCTCATCTTCTTCATTTCCCCATTCAGTATCTTCGTCATACTTCATTTTCATGATCACTACACTCAACAAGGATCTGAGAAACTCCTGCTGAGATTGAGTAAAAGGCTGCATAGCCTTCTTCTGCTTCTTATACTACAAACAATGTAAATAAATACTCCCAAAGCATACTATGTGCACAAACATATGTATATATTACTTACAATACTCAACATATCATTAACAAATGCAAAAAGAGCAGTGGATGTGTCATCATATTCGTCGGCAAGGAACTTGAGCAAGTAAGGCAAAATTTGCTCAATGAGAGCATATGTAGCAGCTGAATTGGATGAAACACGGCAAGAATTAAACATTTAAACATCTAATCAAACTAGTGTTTGTTTTGTATGTATGTAATTTTTTTGTTTTATCTATGTGTATGTGTGTGTGTGTATGACACCTGCTCCTTCCCCTGACTTACCTTTTCCTTCAGGACCCACAGTGCTGTCCATATATATCTTGCATAGTTCGATGCCAAGTGTATTTACCAGACGAGCTGTTTGTTCGACAAACTCGGGGTCCGACTGCGCAACACAATGACTCATTCAGTATATATAAATGCGCAGCGTTGCATGATTTTCCTTACCAAGTCCAGACGTCCCAGAGTATCTGCCAGATTCAGCATTTGGATCACATTGAGTTTGTCGAGAGGCAACATACCCTTGCTGACAACCTACATTTTACCACTTTATTTTTAGTATCCTTACTCACAGATAAAAAAAAACTCTAATGTATATATATATTCTTACGTCGGCCAAGCACTCGCTTGCAGCGATACGAAGGTTTGGATCACTCAAGAGTTCATAGAGTGCACGCATAACCTGATCGTTGACTACCAATGAGATGTCCATCCAAGCAATATAGGCACCGATGTTTTTCAGAGCCAGTTGGGCAATGTTGTGGTTAGTAAGTCTAAATTCCTGTAACAATTCGAACCAAGAAGCAGCCAACAACTGGATATCGCCCATTCTCATGGTATCCTTGATATTGGTGTTTCGGACAACTTCTTCTCTGTTACGGGGGATATCGAGACGTGCGATTTCCTCATCAATACTGACACAGAGACGTAAAAAGAAGTCTGCTGCTTTTTCGTGGCTTGGGGTGCCTGAAGGTGTCTGTGCAAGACCAATGACATCTTTAAAGAAATTTGGCCAAGTTGTTGGGTATACGTGGGCAAAAAGAAGTGTCAATGACTGGGCAGCCTTGTTCCGGATGACTACAGATTTTGTGGGAATTTTGGTCAGAATACCACACATTGAATCGGCTCCTCTCTCTCTCTCTCTCTCTCTCTCTCTCTCTCTCTCTCTCTCTCTCTCCTTATCCTCCGTATAATATATCAAATAGTATTATTTACAAGTCTCCTCGGATCCTGCTGTCTGGTTCTCGACAAACTCTCTGCGGAGATACTCCATCATCGTCTGTTGAATATACTCGACTGCGCTGGCATCTAATGCCTCGTATCTAAAAAAAATAAATAAATTAATAAGTGTTCTTGTCTAAGACCCAGCAAACTGACATACCTGTTCTGAAGAGTATTTTCAAGAACCTGCAAACAGAAGAAACGCGCTTCGGCTACACTGTAGATGATGAGTAACGTAATTGGACTATATATTATCCTTACGCTTTAGGCTCTTTCATGAAGAGTTGTAGGCAGATCTGCCAGCCATCTGGAGAGTTCTTTACTTGTTCACAATATGTATTTGCCTATGATAACAAGACTTTTATTTTTAAAAAAAAGAAGAAGGATATATGGAAAGTAATATCTAATGTCTAACATATATACATATAGTATATCTTTTTTCTGCGTTGGTTTTAATCGTGTATTTGATATAATTTGTTTTTAAGACGATCCAGTGGTTTATATAATATTGACTGATATACAATAATAAAAATAATATGTCGTATTTTTATCCCCTTCGACCCCTTTCCCTCTCTATTTCTATATTTCTATATGTTTTTTTTCCTTCTTTGTACATATTGGTATTTATGTGACCAATAGATTCCGCAGTATGATAATAATGATAATAATAGAAACGATAATAAAGATAAATGAGCAAACACGTACCTGTGATTTGAGAGAAGGCTCAACATGAGGACCCAAGGCATAGATGACGGCCTGTTCTATTTGGTCCATGGTTGTTTTTGTCTTTTGGATTTGGTTTTGGATTTGTTGAATTAATTAAAGTTTGATGTCGCTGTTTTTGTCGCTACGTTTTCAAGTAGAATGCAAAGGAATATCAAAAATCTACTGTAGATGATCGTTTATATTCCCAAATAAAATAAAATAAAAAAATAATAAAATTTAAAAAAATAAATAAATTTAAAAGGTTTCTACGATGGCGTGACGAAGATCGAGATGAATGAGTGGCAAGGACGACACGTCAGAATAAGCACAAAATAACATACAACAATTGTATTTCTCAAAAATGGGATCTTATTTACTGATAAATGTATAGTGAATTTTGGTCGTGATAAAGGAAACAACAGGTAGTAAGATGTCAGAACACACTATATAAATTCAAGGCCTGTCTTTTTTTTTTCTTTCTCCCTCTCTCTCTTGCTTTTTTTTTTATTTCTTAAAAAACAAAAAAAAAATCTCAATTTTTAATTCAGTCTCAGTCAAATCCAAATCATCCTTCACCGCAGGAATCTTTTTCTTTCTTTCTTTTCTTTTCTTTAATATTATTATTCTTCTTTTAGGCAATACAACTGTCTACTTAATGATGTGTTAAAGAAGACCAGATTAAGTAACTAGAAGAAGTATATTACAAGATTACTTTTATTTAAATCATTTGTAACTCTACAGCCAATATGTATTATATGTATAATTTATAAGCACTACACTAGACTGGGTTTCAAGCAAATTTGATTTACCTAATTTACAGGTGGTAAAAAGTAATAAGAACAAGACTACTAAAATAGCCTAGTTATTAAAATCCATGACAGAATTATTATTTATTATTTATTACTTAATTATTTAATTATCATATATACATACATGCAATACTACTAAATATCTTGTAGCTATAAAAATATAAACCTTATTTGTATGCTAATATACCTGTATATAGTATCTGGCTTGTATAGCCTTGATTCACCTTGTAATCATTATCAAAAGGAGTTCTTTAATTTGGATTCTCAAGTGCATGTATGTATGAGACTCAATGAGTGGGTGGCTAATATTACTTTACTAGTCTATCTTTCTCTACCCTTTTCTTTTTCCTTATCCACAAACACACAGACGCATAAACGCATAAATTATATCTACAAACTTACTACACTCCAGAAATCCCGGTTCTCGGATACACCAGTTTTGTGAGAACAGAGCTGATTCTCCGAGAAAAAAGTACGACCACAAAATAATGACTGACAACCATTAATACATTTTTTTATTGTATTCATTTATTCTGTATTTTAGACAGCAGCTAACACAAACGAAGCAGGACATTTGCCTTTGTGTGACTCTGGGCTGAAGAACGCGAGTTTGGTGTATTGAGACTCCTACAAGGCTCAGTTCATATGTTCCTCCTCCTGCCTCTCCCCCTTTCTCCCCCTTTCCCGTTTGGCTCTCATTTTATTTTTACTTTATTTTTTTCAGTTACTTCTCGGCATCAAGTCATTACCCTTTTTCTTTTTTTTTTTTTGCTTTTCCCTTAATTTCTTTAAAAATAAAAAATAAAAAACAACCTCTTGCCTTAGACTTTTCATCCTCATTTGCCACATTATCATTTGACTGCATAACAGATGATTGGTGTAGACGAAATCCTTAAAATACGTAGGTTATCCCATGTTTCCATTAATTATAATTCTTCTGAAATTAACCTCTTTATTCTTCTATTATCATTCTTAAGGTTTTCTTGAGCTGATCAAGTCAGTACAGCCTGCCGGTCGATGGAAGTTGGTCATTACAGACAGCTTGTCTGCCAAGATTCTTAATTCTGCCTGTAAAATGTATGATATTCTCGAAGAAAACGTAAGCATCTTTATAAATATATGCATATTAGAATTCTCGCTGACGAAAGAATAACGGCATTATATAATAACATCTTGTTTTTACCTGTTTATAGGTGACCTGTGAGTGTTTCTCTTGTTTGTTTGTTTGTTTGTCTTTACAAAATCATGACAATAATATTGTGTATTTAAATATATGGAGACTAAAAAAAATAATTGCTTCATTATTATCATATTGTTCTTCTCTTTAGTGGTTGCAAATATCGAAAAACCCAGACAAGCCTATCCAAGTGTAGAGGCTGTTTATATTTTGACACCATGTATCGAATCCTGTACCCGACTTGTGGACGATTTCTCTCGTCAGGAAGGACCAATGTATGCCGCTGCTCATGTCCACTTTATTAATGGTAAATAAATCGATAGATGTATATATATGTATATATAACAAAATAGTAACCCTGGAATTAAATTATATTTGGTTACAGGATTGGACAATACGGTTTTCAGTGATTTTACCCGTAGATTAAAGGCAAAAGGCGCGGATCAATATATTCTAAATCTCAAGGAGATGTATGTTGATTTCATCGGTAAGTCACAAATAATAAAACATAAAAACTACTGTTTTCTAAACTATTATTATTATTTTTAAATATATATAGTACGTGAACAGGCTGTCTATTCTTTGGATGATGAGCGCAAATTCAATACTTTGTTTGGTAACGAATCTGCCGCAGGGGGGAGCCGCAATAGCTCTACAAACAATGTGGAAAGTGAACTTGAAGATATTGCCAAGCAGGTGAGAAATAAAGCCAAGTCATAATCATCATTTACTACCGTCAAAAGTTGTAATTTTTAATTTTACTTTCTGGAATCGAAATAGGTATTGTGTATGTGTGTAACTCTTGGAGAGAACCCATTGATTCGCTACCATCGTCCACTCGATGTACAAGGAACAATCAACAGAAATATACCATGGCATCTGGCTAAGTTGGTTCAAGCTGAATTGGATAACTTTTGCAAAGTCAACCCTGAATACCCAGTAAGTTACCAGTAGTAATAGTATATGTATACATACACACACACGCATACATATATATATATATATATTGTATGTTTTGTATTCTTGTCTTTATTCTTGTAATTCTTAATTTGTTTGTGCGTAAAGCCTCCTCGCGACCCTCCTCTTCCAAGAGGCACTTTGATCTTGTTAGATCGTACCATTGATCCAATCTCACCGTTCTTGCATGAGTTTACCTACCAAGCTATGATTGCTGATCTTCTTGACACAGAAGATACTCCGGCAGGTATCAAGTACTCGTATGAGTACACCCAGGAAGATGGAACTACAAAGGGTCAAGAAATCACCTTGAACGACCAAGACTCGGTCTACTCATCCATTCGCCACATGCACATCACAAGTACCACAGAGAAATTGATTGAGAATTTCAATGCCTTTGCCTCCGAAAACAAAGGAGCTTCTGGAGGGTGAGTAAAGAAAAAAGAAAAATTAAATAATTTAAATATTGGTAGTAAGTTTGGATACTATTTCTTTATTACTATTACTTATTTCTTATTAATAATATCTTATGTCTTAGAAAAAACTCTGTGGTATCCCTTAATGATATGAAACAAATGATTGCCGATTTACCACATTTCCAGGAAATGAAAACAAAGGTAAGACTTTACTGATTTTACAGGGTTCATGAGCTTGTGGTGTTTGTAGGTGTACGGGCATATGGGCGTTGATGTGTTAGAGTCATGCTATTCAGTTTGAAGAAAGAAAGAAAAAACTAAATATGTATCTTGTTGGCTTTTTACAGTTCTCTGCGCACATGACTATTGCTAGTGAATGTATGTCTGAATTCAACAAACAAAACTTGGAGACGATCGGCTTACTTGAACAAGTAAGATATTAGAAACAAAGAGAGAAACAAAGTAGTTTGTACAGTGAATTAACACTAAAGGATGTGGGTTGCCTAGAATATGGCTTGTGGAGAGACTCCAGATGGTAATGAAGTCAAAAACCTGATCGAGGAATTGACTCCTATCTTGGATGATCCTTATACTAGGTAAGATTATAGATTATAATTATTTTAATATTTTTCGTAAAATACTAAAAATCATATGCAGTGAAAAGATTAAAGCACGTTTGATCCTGTTGTGGATCGCTACTTCCGATACAGTAAATACTGAGGATCTTGACCGTCTTCTTTCTCATGCACGCTTGGACCAAGAGTGCAAGGATGCAATTGAAAACATTGGGCTGCTCGGTGTTCAGCTGTCAAAGTCTGCCAACAAGCAAGGCGAAAAGACAAAAAAAAACAAAAAGAAACATGACAGTTCAGCTACGCAACAAGAAGTTCCTTTTGACCTTTCACGATATGTACCCATTGTAAAGCGTGTAACTGAGGCAAGTATATTATATGTATATATATGTATATATATATTACACATTCAGTCTTACTAACTATTGCACGAATTAGGGTCACATTAAAGAGACAATTGACCAGAGTCTCTTCCCTCTCTTAAGAGTAGCCGAACCTGAAAATCTTCGTCGCGACTCTACTCATGCGCTCAAACAGGTTCCACAATTGCGTGTCTACAAGACTCAATGGCACAAAAAATCTACTGGAAACAATGTAGGTGAACTTGGTCCTTCTTCTTCCTTTTTAATGGCTTAATATTTGCATTACTTACTCTCATATATACATATATGTGTGTAATAGGCTGGTCCTAAACCACCTTCTGGTCCTCCTATCATTCTCTTTATTGCTGGTGGAATGACCTATGCTGAAATACGTTCGGCTTATGAATTGTCAGAGACATTTAACCGAGAAGTGTATATTGGTAAGACTATTGGGAGTAAAGTAAAGACGATAAGAAGTGTGGTTGTACTTATTTGTTGTACTTTATTATAGGCTCTACGCATATTATCACTCCAGACCAGTTTGTCGCTGACCTTAGTGGGTTGGATAAGACTCCACCTCCAGCCAAGAATGTCGTCCCACCCTATACAACCAGTATTCACACCAGTGCTCCTCCTAGGACCTCGTCCTCAACTGGTACACCTATTCCGCCTAACTCTGCAAAGGCAGGAGGGCACAAGATTTTAGGAAAGTGGTAGATTAGCGAGTTTTCAGTACAGAGAGAGAGAGAGAGAATGGAGAAGAAGAACAAGCAAAATAAAAAATAAAAATAAAAAAGAACCCCATCAATTTTCTAGTCAATAAATCAATTCTCAAAACTCAAAGATACTTTTATTAATGGTTTCAATATTTATGCGCAAAATACATATATGCATTTATATTGCATAAAATGTATTAAGTGAAATATATGTATATATTTCTTAAAGCTTGTACATATATTTCTTTCTCGCATATTTTATATTTATATATATATTGAAATAACTACAAAATAAAAATCAAATTTGACATTGGCTGATCTATAAGCCTAATTTAAGCTCAAAGCCGCACTCGATTAGAGTCCGGCTCGGAACATGAGTCATGGTTGCTGTAGCCTCCCTCCCCCCCTGTTGCGCAGACCTTGGGAAGAGCATTCGCTGCCGGAAGAAGTATTAGATGCCATGTAGACGATGATCGGCTTCTCTCTTTCTTAAACTATATAAACAAGTAAGTGACCCATAACTTAATGGATGGATAAAGATAGAATATTGATTATGATTTCTTTGTAGTATGGCTGATTCTGCTCCGGCCGATACTCGTGGTAAGACATCCTCCCTCTTCACCCAATTGGACTTTTAGCAAAGACGAGACAATACCTCCAGACGATATATACATGCAAACATACAGACACGCATATACACAAAGAAACACATATACGCACATGCACGCACGCATAGACACACACATATATATACACGAACTCAACACATACCAGAGCAACAAACATCCTTTCACCACAATCAATACTATCTCACAGGCCGAGAAGATACCAATAATTTCAATTATCAATGACAACCAACAAAGAATATCGAATTTGGAGCCATACAATCAATCTTCAATTCCAATTTTTTTTTAGAAAAAAAAAAGACAAGATTTTTAATCTTATCATTTTCTTTGTTAATTAGGACGTGGTGGTTTTGGACGTGGTGGTCGTGGACGTGGTGGTGCCCGCGGTCGTGGTGGACGTCGTGGCGATGAGAAGACCGAGTGGTATGTTTTAACAAATTAAAACCTTTTTTCTTTGTTCGAGTGACAGCAGGAGCCTAACAATACTTTCTTCCACAGGGTTCCCGTTACCAAGCTTGGCCGTCTCGTAAAGGCTGGCAAGATCAAGTCTATCGAGGAGATCTACCTTTTCTCTCTCCCTATCAAGGAGTACCAGATTGTTGATTTCTTCCTGAGCAACTTGAAGGATGAGGTTATGAAGATCATGCCCGTCCAGAAACAGACCCGTGCTGGTCAGCGTACCCGCTTCAAGGCCTTTGTCGTCATTGGTGACCACGATGGCCACGTTGGTCTCGGTGTCAAGTGCTCCAAGGAAGTCGCCACCTCTATCCGTGGTGCCATCATCCTCGCCAAGCTCTCTATCATCCCCGTTCGTCGTGGTTACTGGGGTTCTGCCCTCGGTGAGCCCCACACCGTTCCCTGCAAGGTTACCGGTAAGTGCGGTTCCGCCTTGTGCCGTCTCGTACCTGCTCCCCGTGGTACCGGTATTGTCGCTGCCCCTACCCCCAAGAAGGTCCTCCAGTTGGCTGGTATCACCGATTGCTACACCACCTCCCGCGGTTCTACCCGTACCCTTGGTAACTTCGTCAAGGCTACCTTTGCCGCCATTGGTAACACCTACGGTTTCTTGACTCCTGATCTCTGGGAGGAGACCGAGTTCTCCAAGGTCCCTTACCAGGAGTTCACTGATTTCTTGTCCCAGAAGCAGAGAAAGTAAAATGGATGTTGATTATTCATGTATTCTTTTACACTTCTTTTGAGTTACAATTTATCAAAAACAAATATATTTCGTTGAGATAAAACAAGATTTCTAAAAAAAAAACAGCAACAAAAGAAGCAAAAATAAGTTTTAATTCTTTTGTCCAAAGTACTTTATATATATATTGGTGTAAGCATCTTTATGTCTCTTTGGACATACACTTGGCACACATTTTACTTCTTTTTTGACTTTGACTTTTAACGTTTGACAAAATCGTACCAATATCTTATAGTAATACTGTTCATCGCACACACTATAATTGTCTATGGCTGCTTCTAATCTGACAGGTTGTAGATATGTATAATAACGAACGAAAAAAATGGTGCCGTCTTCACTATTCTTTTTTTGCTCTAGAAACAGATCTTCGACTTGTAATCAACGGCTAATAGGTTTCCAAGTGAGTTTTGAAATGAATGGTACAATGACGGCACAAATGTGCTGCTGCTATTTGATCTATAGCTTAAGCTCCTTATCGCACAAAGTTAGTTGTTGTAGGTGTGTGTGTGTACTATATTGAATTATATTACAGAAGTTTGTATCCACTACAAGTTAAGAAGCATTTGAACTGCTCTAAATATATCCTTTGTCTGCGTTTGGCAATGGTTCTACCTAGTAACAACCTTAATTCAATAAAAACAGTGTTAGAGTTGATTATACAGTGAGGCTGGTAATTTTTGCCTGTTCTGAGAAAATAAATGGCGCTAACTGGAAAATGATTGTCCGTGTGTTAGAATTGTCGTTTCGAAATTTTACTTTGTTGTGTCCAACTTTATTAAAAGTAAAGATGTATTCTTTATCATACCAGTTAGTTATAAGAGCGAAAAGAAAGAATTAAAGTCTTTATGCTATAAACGACCATCAGAAATTAACCCATATAAACACAATGAACCGCTGAAAATGGCTGTCCAGAATTAACTATGCGATATTAAAAAAAATGCACGAAAGCTGCTTTTACAAATTTTTCACCCGTTAATAGTATTGTGGTAAAATGTTCACCTTATTACAAAGTAAGGAGCTTAATGATGTTGGCTATTTTTTTGCTATGTGATCTGGTCACTTTTACCTGTACAACAGACGAAAGTAAAATAATGACATCCACTACAGTCAAAGAAACTAGGTTGGGCCAATGAAAAAAAAATTGGTCATTTTAAAATTGAATTGGGACATTGAGATGCTACTGGGGGGGGGGAGGGGGGGTTGGATGAAATAAAAAATAGAAATTATCCAAGAATATAATGTATGATTAATGTCAAATTCTCTTCTGCTTGGACAAAAAGTTAAAAACAAAAACCTGCCTCACCGTAATTGTCTGAAAACTAATTTTCTATTGTTTGATTTCCATTCTCGCAACCGTGTCCCAAATCAATTTTAAAAAGACCTTTTTTTTTCATTGGCCCACTAGTTTCTTTGACTGTAATGAGTCCCATAACAACAGCCCAGTCTTACAGAAGAATATGCATGCACGTAAATGCTACACTTGTATGTAGATTAGGAGGAAGGCGCACTTGCACGGACATCAACAGAAACAAGGTCTTGGTTTTATTAGATTTACATATTTACAATTACTACTATATTCAATGATAACATAAATAATGCAAAGACTTATTCCTCAGCATAGACAGCAGATCTTGTTCTTTTGCGGCTTTTAGATGAAGAGAAATGCACCAGCACATGGTTGACAGTGTTCCTGAGGAGAAATGATGAACTATAATCAAGAGTATCGTTGCATACGCCTACAAGGCCATAATCTTCTCCAGCTTTTAATAGTCGGACGGCTACTTTTTTTTCCATTATCTGCAGTACACTTCTTCCAATTGTACAAAGCGATCAAGGAAAAACGGGACCGGTCTAATCCTATAAGATTCTTTGGGATGGTAAAGGACCCAATTTTATAAGCTACAGAACATTCAACCAAACTAGATAGTTGCGTTATGTAGTCTCGTCTTCATTGATCACACCATTTAATATATCAGGAGTCCCTTTGATGTCAGTCCGTCTGAGAGAACGAATGGCCTTCCTCTACAGTTTATTAGAACATGCTAGTGTACCAACTTGAGATGTAATATGAGTAGCCATAAATTGTTATATGTCTTTGTCCAAGCTCGTTCCAGTCATGTAGCTTTATCATCGGTCGGTAGCTTTACAGATATATATCTAATCTTCTTCTTGGTGGCTTTAGTGGAATTATTGAAGGCAGGTTTGGTATAAAGCCTCAAGTAGTTGGTTATAAGTGTGGTTTGTCTTTCCATCTTGACTTCTCCTTTTGTTTGTTTGTATGGAGCTTTTCTCACAAAGTTAGTGAGCCTCTTTGCTACGAATCAATAGAGGGCGTCATGGCTTTTGCTTTGTATTTTTCAAAGTGAGATATGGTGAGAGCCCAAGAAAACACATCCCGTAGCCATTTCTTCGCAAAATGAGACATGCTGGAGTGCAGCGAAAGCGAGAAGGGAGCAGAGATTGACCTGGATCGGAAGAAAGGTTATGGACCCATTGGCATGCACCGCGCAAATACAGAGTTTCAATGGGAAAAAGGAATCATCATATTCTCATTACCATGGCCCGCACCATGGCGATGGGAGAGGGAACTTGGATTGAAAGAGTGATTGAGAAGATTGGTGGGGACATCTAAGGAGACTGTTACATATTGACTAATTCTTCACACTATCTTCCCCGACCAAAGTGAGATAAGTGCGAAAGAGCTGTGTCAATTTTGATTGCAAATATGCGTTGAATAAAAAAAAAAAGATGACAAGCTGCATATTTTTTTGCGTGTTGAAATAGGAGAAAGTTTGTGTCATCAATTTGTATTGACACTTCAGAATAGGCAAAAATTACCAGCCTCACTCTACATTATAGGGGATTAAATATATATATATATGAAAATCTTGAGTTCCCTAGTTTGGTGCATCACAATTGAATTTGAGGGAGACTTTTTGCATGTTTTGTGTCACCAAGCTTTCTCAAGAACAATTCTCTCATTGATCACTTGTTAACATTACAATGAGTCAGCAAGTATCATTATTTTTCTGGCTTTACTTTGCTTCGTTTGGCTAAAAATATTTAGAAACAAAACCTTACACTGACGGCCTTAACCTGTGTAGAAAGCATCCTAATCTCAACTCGCGCATTCTGTCCAGCCTTGCAACAGTTTTGGCAGACACACGCGCAAAAACTACACCGAATGACATTGACAACCTTTTGAAGAGATGTCCTTTAGCACCTTTAGATCTCCTACCAGACAATGACTCTATTGCTGTGCCAAAGCAAGGTTACCCAGTGGGGAACATGGTAGGTCATTTGCTAACGAATGGTGTTTTTTTTTTTTTTTTTTTTGGGGGGGGGGGGGCTTTCTTCTTTTTCTTATGTATCTGTTAGACTCGCCGCGGACATGCTGCATTGGCTGCATTGGCAAAATATGTAGTCAATGTATCAGAGCGCAACATTCTAGATATTGTGCCTCAATTAATTGGTTATTTGCGCTTCCTTCCAGCCTACGAGTGGGAGGAATCACTCTTAGAAGAAGGTATACTATAATTAATAAACCTGTAAATTTGTTAAAATCGGTAGCTTTTGATTGTTCGTTTATTAATTAATTAACTAATTAATTAATGAATTGATTTCTTTTTTCTTAAAAAAAAAGGTCCTCCCTTGCCAGATTCAGTAACTTACACTCTAACATACAGCCTACTGGCAATATGTGAAAGGCAGGCAGACATGTACGATAGAATTACCAGTGTACTTTGGGAGTATAGACGTCACTTGATGCAACTTTTGGAACTACAAGATGGTATAAAATTTATCCTTAAGTGGATCAGGTGGCTAAGTTTGTTAATTGTAGACAAATACACGGTTGCATTTATTCTTCCTTCACTGGTCGGCCTCTCGAGAGCACTCCAGACCTCCCCGTTTCTTTACAAGCCAGATCAGCTTATGCATGTATATACTTATACACAACCATTACTTAAAGAAAACTTACTCGAAAATATTCGCTGTGCAATCTTGAGGTGTTTAAAAGAGCATCCGGTAACATCCTATAGTCGATACATTCTTGACCGCTACTGGCAGAGCGGAATGCCATTAAGTAGCAATCGAGTTGTTTACGATTTCCTGAGCACCATTAGGAACGTATCTATTAGTGTCGTTGGTAATATTAATCCAAGGGAAATTAAGGAAAGCTGGGAGTGTCCAGAGTCTGAAGAAAATCGTCGTGCGGCTGCGAAACTACCGCTGTTACACCTACGCTCTATTTTACTTAAACAACCTGCAAAGAGGCTTGATCTCAGTCTCTCCGACTTGGATGAAAAAAATGTTTTGTTGAACAAAACTTTGCGAGCTATTTATGTCATGAGCTTGGGCTATTATAAAGATCTTCGAGAATTTGCAGAAAAGTTTGTTCAGGATGGAAAGAAGTGGTCTAAAGATATATACATGACAGAAATTCTTAGTGCAAGTCTGGTAAGTAAATCTCGGCGATACATGTTACTGCTGTTCTAATTAGATAATTTTGACTTAGCATGTTGCTGCTATTTCATCTGCTTATCTACACCAAGAAGATGATGTTCTAAAAGATTGTTTGTCAAATTGTCTCTTTACACCAGTACAAGTTGAGGATTCCAGGGTGCATATGGCCGCTTTGGATGCAGTTACTCTGTTGACAGTCAAGTACGGGTCGTTATTAGGGATGACAGGATATACCACATTCTAATCAATTTTCACAGTTTTCCGTATCTGTACACCAGTATGGCTAATATAATCAGCCGTTTCCTAGTCACTCCATCTCTAGTATTCTTGATTAAGACAGAGTCAGATGAAGAGTCCCAATCTATTCAACAGTTTGCAATTACCAGACTTGGACAATGCATAGAGGTAATCTCGGTTTTTCCAAAAAAAAATATGGTGTAAGTGGATAACATTAAATAAATATATAAAACTATAGGCACAACCAGTTTCACAACGACCTTCATTAGCTGCATCTCTTCTGTATGCACTTCTTAATGAAATAACCCGGTACACGAATGAGGATGGTTCGAGTGAAAGCAGCCTGAGTAGTTTCTCAAGAACTAGCACTATATATGGCGTTCCAAGAACAGATCAGCTCTCAGAATCCGAAAAACAGCAAGTTTGTGAGAATGTTTTGGCTGCTATTGCAGGTATTGCAGCATACACAAAGGATAGTAAGGTAATAAATTCACGTCATTTTATTTGTAAGCCTACTCACAAGTTCAATTAATTAGATTGTTATGCAGGCCTATTCTATGCTTGCCTTGCGTCGGAAAACTCTTCAAAAATCCTTGAACTTGATATTTGTGAAGAGACTTGTGGATTTGGCACTAGCTAGCCCACAAAATGTGTTTCAGGACATAATCAATCTGATCTCTATACTGAGCTTTGAATCATTTAGCTCTGATAATACAGATCTAGCTACAGCGGTAATATATATATCACATTTGTACCTAATGTCTAACATTTATTACAAGAAAGAAAGAAAGAAAGAAAGAAAAGGAAATTAATTTTTTGATTTTTGAATTTTATTTTATTAGGTGTTGGATGCTCAATTGGATCTTGCCCAAAGAATCTCTTGTGTTCCGGAATATTATGACTTTTATCTCATTAATCTTTTGAAACTTTTTATTAATATTGGTAACGAGATTCAGCGTAAAGACAACAGGGTCAACAGGGAACTGGGGACTGCATACACTTCTGCGCTTGGCAAATTACTTCCTGTATTTGCTACGCTCCTAGACCACAAAGATTTCCACCCCCATACATCGGCTACTGAAGAAATGGTTCTCTTCTTCCGTAATTTCTGGTTTCACTGTGTAATTTTCGGATTTGTATCTGATCGAGCATGGGTTCGAGAATGGAACAATGCGCTTCATAAAATTGCATTCAAGACACCTATTCTTGCAATAGAAAGTACGACAGAGCAGCTTGAAAGTGACATTGCATTCAATTCAGTCCTTAGAGGCAGTAATGAAGAGGCACTTCTTTTACCGATACGAGAGCAACTCGCCCAACTTTTTCCTACATACTCTTACGAAATCAAGTACTATTCATTTCCGTACGCCGTGTTTTCTCTCAGTGTATATTATGTTGAGATCATGCGGAGCAGAATGGGTGATTGTAGCTTTGTTTTACGCTATTTTATGAATACTGGAGTAAATCACTGCACTGTCTCCAATTGTCTGGAACTTGTTGCAACACGTGTGGGAGACGAATATATTAAAAAATCTATAAAAAGCTCAGCCTCTCAAGATCTAGATAATGGACTCTCCGAGCAAATTAAAACATTACTCAAGTTTTGTTGTCATCGCCTCAAACGTGTTCATATATTGGCTGTTCAATTGACGGACAAAATTTCCAAGCAATTCCCTCAAATATTTTCAGAGAAACCAGTGATTACTTTATTGCTAGAGCTATTACATCTTCTATGGCTTAGCTGTGAATCAGAATACCGGGAAGAGGTAAGCTTTTATTTTTCCAGAAATATAGTTATATAACTTTGATTTTCTATAGTACACTCCTGTATTTCACTTTACTTCGAAAATAGTAAATGTAACGATAGAATTAGGCGATTCTTATAGTTATCGACATTCTGTCAGCACACACCTGTATGTTACGGCTAAGACATGGATTGAGGCAGCAATCGAGTGCGCCCCTTTTGAAACAAATGGCTCATTACAGTGCTACCTGGCAAATTTTGACAAATCGGATCTTTACTCTTTGTACGAGGAAGCACATGTGGGGAGATCTCTAGCGTTAGAGTTAGCTAAATCGGCAGTAGAGAGCCAGAATGGTACAGGTAAGTACACATGTAATCATAGTTAATGTATTTAACCTGTGGTATTTTATCATTGTAGTATTTGCTTTTATGCCTCATATACCATCTATGTCCCTTGACAATACCTCGAATTTTTTGTATCGGTTAACTGCTCGAATGTATTTTATTGGAGAAATTAGTGGAATAAAGTATATTTCTAGCTTCAATGAAGTCAAAGGTAATCTATGCCCCATTGTATGTCTCTTTTTTATATAGACAAGCTACTAAGTCATTCACTTGGAATAATATGTAGACAAACCCCTTCACAAAATAAGGGACATGCCTCTAGAAGACCTCGTAAATTTTGTTATAGAAACTCTTGATGATCTATCCAATTCTGTAAAAGAGAATAAACCAGTATCGGCAGAGAATTTACGTACCCTACTCTTTCAAGCTGGAGGATTTATAATATCTATGAAAACGATTCACCCCCTATTGGTTAACCACATAGTTCGTATTCCTATATATATGTTTACACCCCAATCACTTGTTATTGGTACCGACGTTTGGAATTGGATCTTGACTGAAAGACCAGAAGTAGAGCATAGGTTAATGATAAATATTAAGAAAATGTGGGATTGGGCTATGCAGTATCGAAAAGGCATGTTTTCTCCTATGCTCAAGTAAGTTGTTTTTGATTTGGTACCATGTTATTATCTTTGGCATACCTCCCAAGTATATGACTAACATTAGCATAGTATAACACATCCATTCAACCGAAAGATGACATACACCCCGTCTGTAAAGTCTATTGCGATTAAGAATGTGCAGATAGCAGATTCGTTATTTCTACCCCACATTACTTGGATAAGATTTCTAAGAAGCTGGTTTCATGCTACAAGACATCGAAGCAAGCACCTTATGATGATTTTTGTGTGGCTTCTTCGGAACTCGTTTCGAAATGCAAATTTAATGAGGTAAGAACAATTCCAACATAAGACAGCACACTTACTATTTTATGAATAGCAATCATCCATTAGCAAGAAGGGTTAGGTTTGAACTCTTGATCTTAGGAATGGACGTTCTTAAATTAGTAAAGATGGAGACCTTAGCAGAATATACACTGAGATCACTAGTGTATGATGCTGCGTTTGATTGGTTCTCATATCCTCCAAGGTAAAAGCAGTACTAAATTAACAAGGCATTTAACATTATTATCATTATCTTAACTAATAGATGGAACTATGGATCACAGAAGAGCCTTGCCTTACATGAACTTAAGATACTTTCGACATTTTCTAAAATAGTCATGAATGATATGCCCAATCTTGAATATTCCGTAACTAGCTTTAGGACAACCGGTTGTCCTTCTGATGCATGCTATAAAACGCACGTATTATTTAATGGTAAGTATACTTAGCATTATCAAAAGCATATCAAAATTAAAGCTTGTTTTTCTAAAATAATAATAATAATAATAATAATAATAATAATTTAGGAATGAATAGAGTGGATATTCTGAAGCGTCATGCAAAAGTCAAAAAGCTATTATTACTTTTTGTGGATAGCGAAATATCTCGCCTTTCTGTATGGAGTAACCCTCTGAACTCTGTTGGAGTCGGAAATCCTCCGGCATATATAGGAAATACAGAAAAATCATTAACTACGGAGGTTAGTTTTTTAAGTATATTCTAGTTATAATTAGTAGTCTGATTATATAATTTACCTTTCGTCAGGAAATGTGGAGAGAGATGGTTCGATTTGCTTGGTGTGTTTCTCCTCGTCTGTCGGTCCAATTGGAATCACGTTTTGTTCAGCCAGTAGTCCATAGAGAATTGTTCAATCTTATATCTGATAAAGCACTTGATGTTGTGGGGGTTCCAGAGGCTTTGACTATTTTGTTAGGTGACAGACTTTTGCCAGAATCGAAAGCAATTTTGAAGGTAAGACTGATAATATGCGTGTGTTTGATAATATATATCTAACAAGTAAGTATGACAGTACTTGAAATATTGGGCTCCAGTGCCAGCTATAACAGCAGCCAGCTATTTTCTCCCGAAATATTCAGCAAACCCACTCTTATTACAATATGCTATGCGTAGTCTAGAATATTATCCAGTTGACACCGTATTCTTTTATATCCCTCAGATCGTTCAGGCGCTTCGGTACGATGTTCTAGGTTATGTAGAGAAGTATATTATGGAAGCCGGACATGTATCCCAACTCTTTGCCCATCAACTCATATGGAATATGAAAGCCAATTTCTTCATCGATGCTGATAAAGAATGCGTCAAGGTAAACACAATTTTTATCATGATTTTTTATATCGCTAGTCTTAGTACAGTAACTTAATGTTTTCTTGACTTAATTGCAGCCCGATTCCCTCAAACCGTCTCTTGAAAGAGTTATCGAGAAATTAACAAACTGCTTTACGGGCGACGATCGTGTATTCTTTGAACGTGAATTCAAATTTTTTGGCGAAGTTACGGCTATCTCTGGTTATCTCAAGGAATATATAAAATACGGACAAAACGAAAAAAAGCCAATGCAAAAGGTAATAAAAAAAAATTAGCAGGACTGTAAAATATTTGATATTAATATTGGACGTCTTTAGAAACGCCTTGATGAAGAGCTTTCAAAAATTCGTGTAGATGTTGGTGTTTATCTTCCAAGTAATCCAGACGGGCATGTTATAGACATAAACCGTACTTCTGGTCGTCCGCTCCAGAGCCACGCAAAGGTACATTAGTTAAATAATTGTTCATATTATTAATATTTTATAGGCGCCTTTTATGGCTACATTTTTGATTGAGAAAAAAATAGAAGACGCGGATCCTATTTTGAGTGGCTTAGAAGAGGTTAAGAACGATGTAGATTCTATAAGCCAGAAAGACTCTACTACAAGGGTCTGGCAGGCTGCGATATTTAAAGTCGGCGATGATTGTCGTCAGGATGTACTGGCTCTTCAGTTGATTGCCGTATTCAAGAACATATTCATGTCTGTGGGCTTGGACCTATATGTCTATCCTTATCGTGTTGTGGCTACTGCGCCTGGCTGTGGAGTTATTGATGTTATTCCAAATTCTCTTTCACGAGATCAACTCGGCCGCGAAAAGGTTAACAGTCTGTATGATTATTTTGCTGCTAAATATGGTGGACCAGACACAATCGGATTTCAGAAAGCACGAACCAATTTCGTTCAAAGTGTTGCTGCCTATTCTGTCATATCATATCTTTTGCAAATCAAAGACAGGCATAACGGAAATATCATGCTTGACGACTCTGGACATATGATACATATTGGTATATATCTATTGTGTGTGTTTTTTGAAATGTCATTTTTTTTTTAATATTTTTTCTTTTCTAGATTTTGGATTTATATTTGATATTGCACCAGGTGGAATCGGTTTTGAGAGTTCACCTTTTAAACTAACCGCAGAAATGATACAAGTTATGGGAGGCGGCTCCCAAGAACAAGCTTTCAAACAGTTCTCAGAGCTAATTGTCAAAGCGTATCTTGCCTGTCGACCATATGCAGAACTCATTATGCAGCTTGTTTCCCTTATGCTTAACTCCAGCTTACCTTGCTTTAGAGGGGAGACTATAAAAAGAATGCGGATGAGATTTCAAGTCGATAAGTCTGAACGTGCAGCTGCTGATTTTATGATATTAAGAATTGGAGAATCGTTTGAAAATAGAAGAACGGTCCTTTATGACTACTTCCAAAAGCTTACTAATGGTAAATAACTTATTAAATCTCTTTAATATCTAACCATTTTTTTTACTCTTTAGGTATACCATATTAATTAAAGATCCAGATTAAATATCTTCTCTCTCCACTCATATATAACAATTAAATCAGGCTACAAATCTTTATCAAGCTATTGAAATATTATATTATATTACATTAAATTTATTCTTACAATAAAATACTTCTGGATCTGTAATATGAAGTGTACTATATGTAGTAGAATTACGAAAAATACAAATTTTCTGCTCTGAAATAAATTATTTATTTTCTAATTATTGCGTATAGTCATATATTTCACTGTAGAAACATCCTGTGGTATACACACCACAATTGAGTGAAGAACAGACCCCACAATCAAACACTGGTTCCTTCTTGCTAATGAACCTGGCAAGTTAACAATCTCCGGAACTGTTACACACCAGGCACACGTACACTACACACTCATACAGTGTAAACCAACCATTACACAACAGGGATTCGAATTACAGGGATTCGAATAGTAGCAGATATAAACAATATTATTTTGTCTCTTTAATAAATAACACTCTCACAGTATCTACTTTTCCCATTATTGAGATACTAACTCATAAACAACCCCGAATACCTCACATCCAACACATCTATTATATAATATATATCAGAGAGCAAATCATTGACTCAATACATTACTCTTACAAATATTGTATGATCTAATAAGTGTATATCTACTTGAAAAGAACATTAAAGAAGTAGTTAAAGCTATAGATCAAATGTTACTGCATATAGCATTTAGATTTATATAAGTAATTTTCTAGCTATAAAGATAATCATAAAATTTAGAGAGTTTTAAAAACATAGACAAATAGATTTTTCTTTTTTTGTATAATATTATTATTTATTCTTAATAAATAAGTATTTAATTGTTAAAATAATTTCTGAGTATTATACAACTATAAACTAAACATACTTTTATACTTGTCTATTTTTTGAAACATACTTTCTGCCATTGATTATATAGAATTCAAGTAATATATGTTTACATATGTTTTTTTTTAGTTTTGACTAATATTCTTAATAATATTATTATAAATGAGTATTGATTACTGCTGAATCTGAGAGTAAGACTGAAGGATAAAATAATATCCTCAGCTATTCTAGTCAAATGGATCTGTCTTTATGATATTATCTAATATACAGATCATCATATACATAATTGATTATGTATTATTATTATCATGACATAGAATATATAAATGCATATATATTCTATATATAGCATTATTATATTTCATATACATATTTCTTTTATTATATAAATACTTAATTGAGATACTACAACTACAACTATTTAATATTATGAAACATTACCTAAGTATCTGGGTTGATGTTATAAATGAGTATTGATTACTACTGTAATTGAGAACAAGTCTGAAGGAAATAATACAAGGTCTCAGCTATTCCAGTCAAAGATGTCAACCAATTACTTTATTATTTAACACGCAGGTTTATCATGCATGATAGTGATTATATTTCATATGATGATATCATCATAATATGGGATATATCAGTGGATTATTATAAGCATAATTATAACTTATAAACACATTTACTTTCAATGTTAATACTTCAGTGAGACTACACACATTTATATAATTAATCATATATTAATTATCCTAAGATCACATTACTCTGATTAAGGTTTGTGTTGTAAATGAGTATTGACTACTGCTGTAATTGAGAATAAGTCTGAAGGAAATAATATAAGGCCTCAGCTATTCCAGTCAAAGGTGTCTACCGATTACTTTATTATTTAACACACAGGTTTAGCATGCATGATAGTGATTATATTTCATATGATGATATCACCATAATATGGGATACATCAGTGGATTATTATAAGCATAATTATAACTCATAAACATATTTACTTTCGATGTTAATACTTCATTGGGACTACACACATTTATATAATTAATCATACATTAATTATCCCAAGATCACGTTGCTCTGATTAAGGCTCAGATAGGATCGATTACCTGACCCCAGTCATATAATTTTCCCAATCCAAAACAATATAAATAGCAGTAGTAGTTCAGTGTAGGAACCTGGTCAAACTTTGATACAAAATCTTTCTCAATAAACAAAACCTACACAAGTTCTCACGAATCTTCGTTCCTAATTTCAAATCTTGAATTCTTCCTCTTAAAAACTTCTTCAACTTTAACCACCACAACAGTTTGGATAGGATTGATTACCTGACCCCAGTCATATAATTTTCCCGATTCAAAACAATATAAATAGCAGTGGTAGTTCAGTATAGGAACCTTGTCAAATTTTGATATCAAGTCTTTTCTTAATAAACAAACACTATACAAGTTCTCATGAATCTTCTTTCTTCAATCTCAAATCTTCAATTCTTTCTCTTAAAAACTTCTTCAACTTCAACCACTACAACAGTCGGAATACTAAAATATTATCAATAGCATAAATGTTCTTCTTTACCAAAACTCTCAGACTGATCTGACTGGAGAAGTATCATATTAATTGGTTTTTCCGGATCTTTCTAGAAGAACAATACTCCTGGAAGATGGCTTATTATAATAAAGATTATTTAAGTACACACTAAATTATAAATTGGAAAAACATATGGTATTTCAGGTACAAAACAATAGAAAAATAAAATATTTGATAATAGAGACGTATAGAAATACTTTGAGATTATATATAAGTTGTCCTTTATTCATAAATAAAAAGTGTTCCTTTTTATAAGAAAACACAATCTGCTTTTGTCATTACATCTTAGTCTCTTAAGGCTTTCTTTCTTTACTATATTTGGTTATTAGAGTGTATTTACTGCTTAACTAGTGTCGGTGTTACAATTATGACATCAAGTCATAAATCGTACTTCTTTAGCTCTTAGCTATTCTTTTCTCTTTTATACTAGAGCTTTAGGACTTCCTACTAAATTAGCTCCATATCGATCTGACACAGTTTACCCAGCAGTATGATATAATTATCTTAACAATCTTTAAGATATTATCTACAGTACTAACTGTAATAATTATTGGGCTGATTACTTAATCATTTATATATATTTTATACTGACAAGATGATAGCTACTATGCTATCCCAATATGAATATGTTCTTATATGTGATAAATCCAACATCTGAGTGTCTGAATCACCACATATACTTCTTTACTAATTCAAGTTGGTTTATAACTTACATTATATATGTTAAAATACATCTAATCACATGATTAGCCATGATAGTATAGTGGCAGTACGTCGCGTTGTGGCCGCGCTGACCCTGGTTCGATTCCAGGTCATGGCATCTTTTTCATTTCGCCGCCATTTTAAAGCGGCGATTGGATGTTGTTTTTTGGGTTTTAACTTTAGATTGAGGCACTTAGTTTTTTTTTCTGATGAACCAAAATTAATTTCTGTCAATCTGTTTTACTTTTCTTGGATGAAGGAAACTACAGCTGGAACGGAAGGCTAAAATATGTCAAGGCTACATCTATTTTCAAACAAAAAACCTATAAATGTTCAGCTAGTCAATGATTTGTTGGAAGACCATACTGAAGTAGCAAGAAAAATAAAGCTTGAAACGATTCTGCAGGCGGAACACCGTACTCAAATGACAGATAAATTTGTCGGCATATCTTGCAAAATACGAGAGATCATGATCCGTTCACAGACTTTTAGAGATTACTACATACTTTGCCAGGCTGGTCAACCTGTAGACAAAAAATATATATGCAGAACTTTTGATATTCTGTATTACAAATGGTACTAAGCAGACTAGCTACTAACAGAAACAACATTAATCATGACTTGGTTGCATCCTGGAACAGTTTCGCACCCAGATATCTGCAAGCCAAATATGATGGCCAGTTGTTTCCTGATTATGCTCAGTGTTTATTAGCTGCTCACATAGAAATGGGCACTATGTATACAAGCTTGGTAGTAGAGCGTTTCGCGTCAATTCTGAAACAATATCTATTTTATTCAGTAAAAATGTTGTTCGAAGAGATAAATTGCTTCTATATATAGTTATTGCCAATCAAAAATATACCTTAATACTTTCTTATATTAATATATCGCCAGAAAGGCCATATATATGGAACATAGTAGAAATACTACTGCCACCAGCTTATCTGCGGTGGTGCGGCTGTATAGTCCGTAAAAGATAGAGCTGTGAGCCTTGCCTTAAACGATCAAAGGTCTGCTATAGGCGCGTTATTCGCACAGCCGTCTCTTATTGATATCCCTAAGCCAACCACTAAGGCCCGTTTATCTTCAAATCCTGGTGTTTACATACCAGTGCTTAGAAAAATCGTAAGGCAGTATGAGAAACTTTACCAAGTTCTCCAGAAAGCTCGGTCACAATCCCAAGAATTTCAGGAAGAAGATCAACAGGAAGCGCTTTCTCATCTGTTCGTGTTGTTCCCTAGATCTTTTTTGAAATAGATATTTATAACAGTAGATTATATCAGCCTTCCGGCACTATCCGGTTTAAGAAGAAGAAATACCTACCAGGAGAATCTAGTTTTATTTAATACTGTAATATGTTGAGATTCAGAGAATCTCTATTATATTTTTTATTAAATGTAATTGTCTTTTTTGTCTCTGAATTGACATTAATAATCGAGCCAAATGTCCCCCAAAAGTAATTGTACGGTATCTTGAATGAATGCGATACAAAATTTGGAGCTGTTATTTCTAACAAATTTCAAGATAACTTTTTTTTGTTTGTAAATAATAATAATAATAATAATAATAATAATAATAATGAACTTTACAAAAAATGCTCAGGAAGAATGTTATGAAAGTTTATCAAAGGGTATTGTGGTTGATTTCTATTATATCATTTACATATGATTTAATGTAAATACTCAAATAGGGCTTCCAACAATTCCAATACACAAGTGAATTGGAAATAAGTTAATAAATAGCACAAAGAAAAATTCAGTAATTATTATTCAGAGGTTAAATTTAACATATCATTTTATTTAATGGATTGAGATTTTTGGAACGATCATGTTAAGTTTTATGTTATATTAATAAAAATATTATTGGGATTACAATGGTATTGGAAGCTCTCAGTACTAGAACATTTACTCATATTGATATTGTTGTCTGTTACCATTAATAGCTTAATAGCAATAGTAGAAACAATAAAACATACTATGACTGATTCATATGTAGAAAACTGAACAAAGAGTTAATCAAGTTTTTCAATAGAACTTTCGCGATATATTCATTGTTTCGAAAGACGCATTCAATTAATATATGCTGATAATAATGACAGACAAAATTGAACTGGATATAATTCTGGCTTTACAAAAAAAAACTAATAGGTCTATCTTTTAAACCAACGTTTTTTTTGGTATTTTGATTGTGCTTAGAGTGGTCAAAGAGACCAATTATGTGTACATTTGTTTTTACAAAAGTAGGTATAGTATGTTTTGAATACATTATTCAGCACTCCATTTTTCAGCTGAAAATAAAAGTATATGGTCCATCTACAAGAAACAATAGTAAGGTTATTGTATATACATAATTTACTTTTTTGATCTTTAGAAGCTTTATAATCCCTAAATATTGCCAATACTTAAAAGGTGTTTGTTGTCTAAAACAAGTTGTTGAATATTGTCAAAAAAAAAGACTTTTTGCTGACTTAATTATAACAACTTTACAAAGTTTAAAAACTATATAAATAAGAGTTAATCTCCCAGTGTTTTACGATATCTTTCTTAATAACATCAAAAAATGCACATCATCGAAAAAAAGACACCTGTGGCTCACGCCAATCCCTGTATGTTTTGCGGCAAGAAAACTCACACCTATTCGTAAGTACTGATTTGAGTTCATCAACTATTATCTATTGTGACTTATGACCAAATATTTTCTATAGAACATGCCCATACGTTTACCGCCCTAAATAACGTTAATCAAGCTCTTGTTGACCCTCTAGAAAAGAACTATTCTATTCATCAAGACTAAAACAGCTCCCTTGACTCTTTTCTTTTCACATACAGCTAATATCATGTTAGATATTCCAAAGAAATATTTTATTGTAATAAATAAATGCGGACTGCAAGTGTTTCCACAATAAAAGCCCTACTCATCAGAGCTTACTTTTGTCTTCACTAAATTTTATACTTTTGATAGCTAATTATTCACAAATAATTGAAGCTCACCAATTGTGCTAACAAGCTTTGATACAAATAAGTAGCACGATTAATGCCACTTGCTTATGATATTATCGATCCTTTCGTGAATTAAAAAGCCACAAAAGTTAGTGATAGTTGTTCCCATATGTTTCATAAATGAAAGAAGTACATTAAAAGCTCGATACAGTGATAAGAATTGGAAAGAAAAACGCATATTACTCTATTCATATATTTTACTACTTTTGGTTTCTGGACTTGTTATACATAATCTTGTATTTTTCTCTATCTCTCAAGTTATCTCACGCTCGTGTGGCCATTTACTTCTCCACAGATAATTACTAATACCTTTAAATTATATGATCTGACTTGACAACTTAAAAAATAGACTTACTTCAAAGAATACAGCAGCTTTATATATATGCTTTGGCTCAATATATAAAGTGCCAATAAAGCTAACTTTTTTCATGTCATTTGAAAAACTCGCTTTCTTAATTTAAAGATTATAATTAAATCATATAAAATATGAGATTCAAGACTTCTCATATCTACTAAAGTCTATAGAACTTTTAGCTGTAGGGTACATACTTTTATGAGTAATATTATAAATTCCAGAAAATTGCTTAAATGATGACAACTACTTTTAATGTAAAGTGATCCTTTTCTGTCGTGACCTTTTTTCCTCGGAAAACCAACTTTAAAAAAAGAATGCACCTCAGTCACAAAAAAAAGAGGTACCAAAATTATGCTTCAGTACTACACTCCGACAAAAGAATGTTTGGGCCTCTCCCAATAATCGCAAAATAATAATAATTTTGTTTTAAATAAAAGTAATATTTTCTGCTTATTCTATTAAGCAAACCCACAACATAAAGCTCGTTTATATTATATAACAGCCTTGACCATTATTATAAACCACACTAAAGAAAGCCCGACTGTGATTGAGGAATAATAATGTCAATTGGATAGATGCCCAATGGAGCAGTGTTCTCTGGTCTGATGAATACCGATCTAGAGTTGAGAGTAATAATGTGCGTGTTGGAATAATTGAAGAAGGAAACAAAAGGTATGAAGAACATATTATTTCAGGAACACGGTAAGATAAAAGCAGTATCATGATTTGGAGCTGTTTCTGAACTAGTAGTTTTGGGACTTTAGCGTTCCTTGAAGATAGTGTAGACCAGAACGCATATGAATACTTTTGTACAAAACTTCTTACAATGGATTAAAAAAAATGACGCAGTGATGTCAAAATTAATTCAGGCTCTAATAAGACCATGTCAATTGTCATAAAGGTGCCTATACGAACTAATTGAAAGAGAGTCATGATAGTAAGATTTTTGAGTACTGACCTGCTCAAAGTCCAGCTCTCAGCTTTATAAAACATGTTTTGTGGGCTATCAAAGTCATATTGAGTGGATTAGGAGCCTTTATACAAAATATGAGTGGTTTGAAGCTTCCAATCCAACGAGAGTAGAAGAACATACTATCCACTAAACATGAAGCGAGTTTGCTATTTATATCATCAAGGTACCTGGCAGTAACTGGTACTAACGGTAGATATAATCGTTGGAAAGCTTCTACGTTTTATCATTAAGTAATAAACACTTATATCTTCTCATATCCCAAGTTTGAAGCTCTTAGCTGTAACCATTGACGAGCAGTTGCATGTTGAATATGAATAATATTTTCTTGCATGAGAAATTTATCCTCGGAGGTCCAAACATTTTTGTGTGTGAGTATATTTGAGATGCAGAAGATCATGACCAACATCAACAAGCCACCAGCCTCATCGTAGCGGAGCAGTAATCCGTTTTTTTAAAATGATGGGAAGGACTGGGGCAGACGCCTGCTCTCACGAATAAGCTCTTTTCTTTTGCGCGTCCAACAATGTCTCACGACAAGTATCAAAGTCCTTTGACCTCCAGATATGCCTCCAAGGAGATGGCTTTCAACTTTTCCGAGGACAAGCGTTACATAACCTGGCGCAAGCTTTGGCTCAACCTCGCCAAGGCTGAGCAGCGTCTTGGTTTGACCGATATCACCAACGAAGCTATTTCCCAGATGGAAGCCAACCTTACTCACATTGATTACGAGGTTGCCGCTGCAGAGGAAAAGAAGAGACGCCATGATGTTATGGCTCATGTCCACACTTTTGGTTTGGTCGCCCCCAAGGCAGCTGGCATTATTCATCTTGGCGCCACCTCTTGTTACGTGACCGGTAAGTCCTTTCATAAGTAACAGGATCATATATACATATAAAGTGTGTGGGGATTTCTCTAGGATACAAACTTTATTTAATATAAAAGAAAATTAAGAACATCTGATTTATATTTTTGTCCTTAGACAACGGTGATTTGATTATCCTCCGTGACGCCTATGATCTTGTCATCAAGAAGTTGGTTCATGTTATTGATATTTTGACCAAATTCGCTCAGGAATACCGTGCATTGCCCACTCTTGGCTTCACTCACTTCCAACCCGCCCAACTTGTAACTGTTGGAAAGCGCGCCACTCTCTGGATCCAGGAACTCTTGTGGGATCTCCGCAACTTTGAACGTGCACGTAACGATCTCAAATTCCGTGGTGTCAAGGGTACTACTGGTACTCAGGCATCATTCATGGCCCTATTCAACGGTGATCATGATAAGGTAATAGCAATGACAATTATAAAAAGCTTACTGCCCAAAAAAAACAGCCTTGACTTATTTTGTATGTGGGTTAACATAGGTCGAGGAATTGGATCAATTGGTGACCGAGCTTTCCGGTTTCACCGAGGCATACCCTGTGTGCGGTCAGACCTATTCCCGCAAGATTGACATTGATGTTTTGAACCCCCTGTCTGGCTTTGGTGCTTCCGCCCACAAGATTGCCACAGATATCCGTCTTTTGGCCAACTTGAAGGAGGTCGAGGAACCTTTTGAGAAGGATCAAATCGGCAGCTCGGCAATGGCTTACAAGCGTAACCCTATGCGCTGTGAACGTGTTTGCTCTTTATCTCGTCACTTGATGGTCCTCGTCAACGACGCTTTGCAGACCAGTGCCGTTCAGTGGTTCGAGCGTACTTTGGACGACAGTGCCATTCGCCGTATCTCTCTTCCCGAAGCATTCTTAACCACCGACATTTTGTTGACCACCATGCAGAACATTTTTGAGGGTATGGTAGTATACCCCAAGGTTATCGAACGCCGTATCAACCAGGAGCTTCCTTTTATGGCAACCGAGAACATTATTATGGCTATGGTCAAGAAGGGTGGTGATCGTCAGGAGTGTCACGAAGAAATCCGTGTTCTTTCCCACCAGGCCGGACATGTCGTGAAGATGGAGGGCGGTGAAAACGATTTGATTGAGCGTATCAAGAAGACCAAATACTTTGAGCCTATTTGGGCAGACGTAAGCAAATGAATATTTTACTTATATATTTGTAATGGTAGATCAAGTAATGCTTACATTATTTTATATGTATTTTTATAGCTCCCCGCCCTTTTGGATCCTTCAACCTTTATTGGTCGTGCTCCTGAGCAGGTTGACTCTTTCGTGAAGAAGCACGTTGAGCCAGCATTGGCTCCTTATGCCAACGAGCTTAAGAACAAGACCAAGGCCGAGTTGTCTGTGTAAATTAACTGCCGAATGGCAATATATTGTAAATGTCTAAAAAATTGTTCAGTAAACTTTTAACTTGAAATTATCCTGATAAAATAACAAAGCAATTTCTATCATATTTTGAGTTCAGGCAGATTTTTTTGTCATTTTTGGCTTCATATAAATAGAAAGAAAGAAAACCCAATATTAGCCTTTTTGATTTATGAAGTGTAGAGTGGGGATAAGTTGGAGCAAAACCATATGGTTCCACATAGTAAACACAATCTTGGTTTAAATGGGTAATTATACCTACTGATAGTTTTTTTTGCCAGTTTCAAAAGCCTTTAAAAATACTAGCTTTAAAATAACATTATCGCTGATCCTGCAGCTCCTGTTCTTTACACAAAACTAAATATGTATGCACATTGATTATTAAGGAAACTTTGCCAAAGGTTTGTTTGGACTACATTGCAGGTTGACTTATATGTTGAGATATGATACTAAAACTGTATTTCTTGCTAATTAGTGCAAGAAATACAAAAATGTACATGCATTATTTACCGATCGGTTATTTTCAGTAAGGTGACCATTAAATAAATGATGTGTACACATGCTGACAAAGCGCTCCATAAAGTCTTCTCACGCTATCAAGAACATATATAAATATCTACCATATTTATTGAATCTGGCACTCCAATATATTTATTTCCCTCACTTTAACACATTTGCCCAATATGACTGCAAAAGAGTAAATACTTTATTGTAAATTCACAAACTTTGAGAGTTGGAGACCTGATAGTTATTATAGGAGCCCTGGTGCCGATGAACAAGCACATTTGTCGATATTCATCAGATCAAAACGCCAAATTATTCTAACAGGAACCGAGACGGAAGAGGAGGCAAAAAGAGCTGTGACAATTCCAATTTCTATGCTTCGTGCACCAGTATTTAAAGATGTCCACACACAAAGAGTGCATATGAAGCAAAAACTGGCGGCTGGTTTCCGCCTATTAGCAAAGTACGGTTGGGACGAAGGTAAGTACTAGGACGCGAAGGAAAAAGAGCCAAATACTGATGGCCAGTTGAAGGTGTTGCTGGACACATGACATTTCGCGACCCTGAGTATCCTGATTTATTTTGGTAAGCTAATCTAATGTACATTGTCATCTTTATCTAATCATGTAAAAAAAAGGGTGAATGCATTTGGTCAATACTTTGGTCACATCAAGGCCAGCGATTTGATTCTTGTTGACCATCAAGGAAGCATTGTTCGTGGTAATCAGTTTGTCAATAAGGCAGCCTTTGTAATCCACAGTGCTATCCATGAGGCGCGTAGGGATATTACATGTGCCGTCCACACGTAAGTTACACCAGATAGTATAATTTATGACATCTTTCTCAACACAAAAATATCATACTCTAGGCATTCGATGTATGGCAGAACATTCTCTACCTTGGGAAGACCTCTTTTACCGATTTCACAAGATGCTTGCGCATTCTACAAGACACACAGTGTCTATGAAGATTTTGGTGGTGTGGTTTTTGATGAAGAAGAAGGCCAGAATCTTATCAAGGCTTTGGGCCCAACCAACAGAGCACTTATTTTGCAGAACCATGGCTTGTTGACAGCAGGATCCACTGTTGATGAGGCTATCTGGTTATTTATTTCCATGGAACGTTGTTGTCAGTCTCAATTACTTGCTGAGGCTGCTGCTATTAATGGGTACAAAGATCTTAAGTTGATTAGTGGCAAGGTTGCTGAAGGTGTCAGCAAGAATATAGCCGATAGCAAAGCATGTTATTTCCAATTTCAACCCATGTTTAATATGATAGTCAAAGAGAATCCTGATTGTCTTGAATAATATATATATTTTGTTATTTAAATTAAGAACTAAATATTAATTTTACTCGTAAAAAGGGACCCTTTGAGTAGTCTTATGGAGTCCAAAACAGGTACAATAAACTCTAAAAACACAACAGGTTTAATCACAGATCATTCAAACACAATTTATTTTAACTTTAATGACCCTTTAATGTATTCAGGCATATCCATTCCCAATACGTTATGTACATTTAATGCCCTCAAGGTTTATTTGACTTTCTGAAGTAATGACTACAATTGTATTTTATGCTTCAAAATATCATAAGGTCAGATTCTGTGCAGATATTATACGGAGCCTCATAATAATTTCACGCATTATTTTTTCTTGAAGAGTACAGGGAAAATCTTATGTGGTTCAATGGGGATATCTTGAGTATAAAAACCACAACAAAAGAGGTTTATGCAAAACTTCTGCAGTATAATATAATACTGGCCTTAATTTCTAATATTTTTAACTTTCTTCTTGCTTGTTTATGTCACAAATAACTGCAAGTGCTTTTGAATTTGCACATTTCTTAGACTTAAACACCCTGCTTATATTTTCAAGCAAAAATTCGCAAAATACGAGGATAAGATAGGTAAAGAATGTTTATAATAAAATAAGGGAATATATATACAGATACATATACAAATGGTTTTGAATGTACTAATGATCGTTAAAAATGTACTAGAGCTGTGGATCTTTTTAGGTGATGCGTATTTTCAAGAATGGTGGGCTAATATTTCAAGATAATATAGAAGGCATGAACTTAAAGGTAAAGTTAGCATCATGTACAATTGTGTTGTAAATAATGTCATGTATAAACTTACTAATACCAGGAATATATCCTAGACAAGTCAAACATATATTGATAACAAAGTCGCAACCGCAGCCTTTTTCGAACATGACTCCAAGAGGTGGTAAAATGACAGCTATATATTCCAACATTCTTTAGTTTTAATGAATCGGCTAAGTGATGTACTGTGGTTACTTACCAAAGAAAAACTTGAAAATATCAGAGCATGTAAGGGCCATAGTGAATTATAATTTATTTCTTTTCGAATGGAGAGATGAGTGGGTGAAAAGTTGGTTTTTAAAGAAAGAATGAAAGAAAAAAGGTTGATCTTTTATATACGTGAATTTAATTATTTGCTAAGCAACATTTATGATATATTTGGACAGGAGATAAAAAAATATATTAGAATTAAGGTCGTGGCATAGAAACTAAATATAGTATCACAAGCCATGATATCATTGCGTTACACATACTATACTAAATGGCTTCTATTGTTCCCCAAATGGTCCGTTTAACCACCACAGCTTTTTTCTTTATTTTCTCTCTCTTTAAAATAATGATGATAGTAATAATGACAGTAATTAATTATTGGTATTATTGGATAGAAGTTGCTAAAATCTGCCAAGAACTCAAACGCCAAGGAGCAGCCATGATTGCCCTCTGTGACTCACGTATAGCCTTTTGTCCTTTACTTGCTCTAGCTACACATTCGTATGCAATTGCCTTATCTTCAGCCGATGGATTCTTTTCTCCTAAAGTAATGGCCAGTGCAGAAGACGTCATAGTTTGTAGGACATTTCCACGTGAATCCGACGAAGAGTTTACTAGATCAGAAGCCAAGTTTCTCCATAGCAATGCAAGCCAAGGAAGCTGATGAACACTCTTTGCAATCGACCGACTAGCCTGAGCTTGGGAGCCCTATAATTATAGCATTAATAAAATAATTTCATAAGTTTATATTTAGCTTGACTAAATATCTGACCTGGAGTTTGTAGAAGCGAGAAAACAACCAAGGAATCCACTGTTCTTTATCAGATTCGACTTCAAAGTAAAAAAAAACGAAATTTAAACAACATCAGTTTAGCAATTTTAGTGGACTGACGTATCACACTCACATGCATCGCTAACTGACACCTTTGCCAGTTCCTGTAATGCTGCACCAGTCAGTGTAGAATCATCTTCTAACATGCCCATGACGCAAAGCGAGAAGATCGCAGGCAAATAGTTTGGATTATCCGCAATGCTAGTAACCGAAGATGTTATTCTCAGAATGAACTTGTAAGCCATCTCTTACCTTGAGAATAGTTGCTCTTTGGCAACTTCCCGCTGTTCATCACCACCAAGTGCCCAAAGAACTTTGCTTAGTAGAACAACAACATCTTGTCGCAATAATGGATCTGATTCTGTTTCATTCAAAGCAGTCTCAAACATGCCAAGTGATTCTTCCAACTGATCTTCAAAATAGTAGGCAATACCAGCACCCAACTGACAATAGGTGCGGGCTGACCCTTCAGTCCCACCCATAGCCAATGCACTGTTGTAGCTTGCAATAGCACCAGAAAAGTCACCACTGGCGCACAATGTGCGTCCCAAGTTACCGTGCACCTTGGTCATCCGCTTCTTCAATTCGATCTCACCAATACGGCCTTGCTCAGCCTGAGTTTCCAGGGCAAGAATAGCACCCGCAAATGCTTCAGCAGCCCGCTCAAACTGTCCAAGACGTTCCAATAAAAGACCAAGCAAATTGAGTGCCAAGGCGTCATTCAGTTTCTGTTCTGTTAATTTCTGAAGCGCAAATGCAGGGGACAGAAGACTTGCACCATCAGGTGCATTGCCCGTTACAGACAGTTGTGTGAACACAGTATCCGCATAGCCATAACTGGCTTCCAGCTAACAATAATAGGTCATTTCAGTACGATGAATTATATTTTGGTAAAACGGTAAACCTACAGCTGATCCATTGCTTGACTCAAAAGCATGCTCAAATATAGCAGCAGCATCAGTCCCCCACAAAGAAGCAACATAAGCTTGTCCAACCCAAGCAGATATCCATTCAGGGTCCAGGGAATGCGCAGTCTCAAAAGCCTGATTTGCCAACTCGTAATCCTCGAGAGACAGACACAAAAATCCATAATTTGTCCAGGGTGCAGCACTCTATAAGGATTCAAGTATCTCATTTGTAAGCTTTATAAAATTCTATAATTCTTCAAAAAAAAAAAAAGCAACAACAGAAACCTCTACTTACTCGGTTACTGTACTCCATAGCTTTAATCAAAGCATGCTGACTCAGTTTGGGATATCTACGCATCGAAATTACACCAAGAGCGTTCCAATAAAGATACTGAGCTGGTTCGATCTTCAGTGCCATCCGAATACATTTGATTGCCATATCAGACAACCCATCATGAGTGGCTTCCGCAAGATTATTTTCAGCCATCCAGTGGTACACGAGAGCAGTATCGTGCCAGTATGCTGGTGCAATGGCCGGATGATTTCTGCAGAGAACAATTGCTTGCTTGTAGGAAACTCCTGCACAGGAGTATACAACGTCAAGAACAGTCTTTGGTGGCAAGTAGAATTCTCCTTCTTCAGGAGAAACATCAAGTTGTGTAAAGTCATCGACCAGTTTGGAACTTTCGTCTTCAGGGAGCCCAAGTTTTTTATGAGGGCTCTCTTCCAAAAGTAGCATGGCCTGTTGTAAAGGTTCGTATGCGCACAAGCTCAGATAACTTGGAACAAGTCGGTACATAACACATGCATCACCAATAAGTTTCCACAAACACATCACACTTGGATCTTGTTGTAAACCAGTCAAGGCAGTCTGGATAACCAGTCCACATTCGGTAGCAGTACGCCCAAAGAATCCCTGTTGGAAATCTTCTCTGGCACGATCAAGATAAGTATCTGCCAAGCCTAGAATACTAGGCATATAACTACTTTGATATTTCTTTTCTGCCAAGGCAAGAGTTTCGAGAAAACCAGAGATAGCCTCTTCAAGCATGCCAACCTTTTGCTTTACAAGCGCCTTTTGATGATTAGCATGTATTGATAGAGGATCGAGGTCAGTAGCTCTTTCAAAAGCTCTCAAAGCCGCAACATAGCGGCCTTCGTGAGCATACGCTTCTGCGAGACCTTCCCAACAACGCACATCGCTTGTGTCCGTACGCAAAGCCTTTTGGAAACAAGTGATGGCCTCTGAGTAGTTATCTACATTCTAAATAACCCCGAGTAAGACTTTTCTCTCTCTTTGAAGAAAATATAATAAAACCATACCATTGTTGCATAGCCCAGTCGCCTCCAGGCCCAGCTAGTTTTTGGTACCAGCTCTGTGATTTGTCTAAATATTTCCTCTGCTTTGGACCCTTCCTTATCAGAAATGTAGTATTCACTCAATTGAAAAGCAATATCAACATCCAAAGGATTAATCAAGTAAGCCTTTTGATAACATTTCTTTGCACGAGTATGATCATGCTTAACAATTCGATAATAATGGCCCAAGTATGCGAAACCACCAGCAAACTGAGGATCGATTTTTGCGGCTTGTAAAAAGTACTTGAACGCATAGCCTGGATCTTGTTGATATTCTCCTATTGTATAAACAAAAATATGATTGAGTATCACAAGTGTAGAACGTAGTATATACACTATAATATAATATATTTACCACCCATAGCCCAATAAACACGACCAAGTCGGTAATAGTATTCTGTGACATCCCCAGATTTTTCAATTGCACTTGAAATATATTCTATGGCCCTTTCATACGCTTCTTTTTCGCAGTAAATCCACCCAATTTCTGCAAGTGCAATATGACGGGTGGGGTCTGACGCATAAACCTTTTCAAAACATACAAGTGCTTCATCATATTTCTTATCTGAGCAAAGAATCAATCCAGAGCCCTAAGTATATACATCATAACAAAAAAAATAAGCACACGGCCGGTTTATTAATATATTTATTACCTCTAGTGCGCTTAGTTGGTCAGGGTATGTATCTAAGATTTTCTTGTATAACTTCATAGCATCAGGATAGTATTTAGCGTCTAATTGACGGTAGCAATGAGCCATGAAAAGTTCCATAGAAAGTAATACACTAAGATATAGTCAATCAAGATTGCTCTACACACAAGCATGTACATATATATATTCCCATAAGCTTACTTCTTTAAAATCTTCCCAGTTTCCTTTGCAAGTTCATTAACAAGTTCACGTCCTCTGGTGGCATATTCCAAACCGTTGTCGAATTCTTTAGATTCATAATATATTTGACTCAGGCATTGATAACCGTACAAGCTTCGGGGAGACAGATCCAAGCCATCCTAAAATACTCACCAAAAAAAATGTAGTATATGTAAGAATCTCTTTTTGTCTTATTGTTAATGTTCTTGTTGGTTTCAGGACGACAGTATATTACCCCAAAAAAATCAAATGCCTCGTCAGTTTTCTGTTGTTTATAAAGAGAGTAACCTTGGGCCAATTTAGCCAATCCCGTTTCAGGATAATTTTCGCATAAATATGTCAATATGTCCTCATCGTATTGGTCTATACATTAAGATAAATTAATAAAACTTTCGATAGTGAAGTGTAAAGATAGGCCACAAAGTTCAATCATTTACCAGCATTTTCAACATCAGACATCTCAATAATCAATTCATAAGGAAGAGGATCTTTTGCTTTCAGGTTAACCAATGTTTTAGCCATCTTAGCTATTTTTTCATATAGCTATAGATTTCCATATAATAGCCACGTAAGATAAAACATCGAAATAATAGGATATATTTCTTGTAAAAAGAGGCAAATACATACCTCAGCCTTGTCTGGTACACCAGCTAGTTTCTTGCGCCAAAAGTTCAGCAACTTGATTTGCAGCTCTTCCATATTGTTCGGATTGAGGCTCAACATTGTTTCATACATTTCTCCCAACTTTGAATTTCCATATACTTGCGCCTCCACTTCTGCTGTGACTTGACTAAGGGGGCCTGCACTGACCATAAAACGGCGAGAATGTATTCTGCTCTCGATCAGTTTAGCTTCTTCATCCTCTGTCTTTGCAACAAGCGTTTTCCAGATATCCAAAGGATGAGGAATGTCGGATGCAGTTTTGACTAAATCATAGTATTTGCTTCCTGGAAGGAAATATTTCATAATCTCAATGTACTTGAAAGGTGGAAAAAGTATCATGATATATAAGCAGGTATTTACAAGCTATTCCACAAAAACACACATACACAAACGATTTATACCTTTTCTTCATCTTTCTCTTTTGATCCATAAATATCCAAAAGTTTATTCAAATAGTCTGCCAGTCGATTCCCTTCCCCACTAAGAGGGATATTATTATTCTGTTGCTGAAGACAGAACACAGCCAAAATTTCGCCCTTATATTTGTTTTTTTTTGTCTTTCTCTTACCTTTTCACCACACGTGGTAATAGGTGATTGATAGTATTAACGACGTCCTTATAGCGTCCGCGTTTTTCATAAAAACTAAGAAGTCCTTGCCAGGCCAGCATCTGAGTATCATTAATCTCGATGGCACGTTTATAAGATTCCTCGGCATCTTCGTCTTCATCCAGATTAGCATGTGCAACACCTAGAAAGACCAGACTGCAGAATTGAATAATGTCAATGTAGGCATGGGTAGCTGGAAACTGGCAACATAAATCTCGACTTACGCGTTGTAGTTCCCAGACTCCCACATGAGAACTCTTTTACATGCTCGTATGGCTTCACCATATTTTTTGGCACCAATCGCTTCTCTAGCTAATTTAAGATCTGCCTTTGAGTTCATGAAACTTGTTAAAGGTTGCTCAAATATTAACGAGTAAAACGCATTAAAGATCAGACAAGTTCATCCAAAAAGGCACGCTCATGACTGCTATTTTCTTTACTTGGTTAGCTGTCAAAGCACAATTGAATTCAAAGTGGAAGAAAGGGTTGGAACAATTTTTGTAGTGAATAGAGGCGTATATAGACAGAAAAAGACAGGGATGAATGAAGATATAGAAAAATAAAAAAAATAGAAAGAGAACGAGCTTTTAAAGGAGAAACATGGGAGAATCCTAATTTCGAAGCTTGTAGGAACCATGAGCAAAACTCAAAGGCACCAAGAATTCAAGGTCTGCTCTGGCAAGTTCTTCGAGAGTAACGGCATCCAGAACAAGTACAAATGAAGTGGCAAGTGCAGCATTCATAACAATGCTTACAAGAACACCGTCGTCTTCTACTGCATTTTCTCCGCCCTTTGGCGAGGGAATAAAGATAGCTTCGCTAGGAAAGCAAAACTCTTCATGCCATGAAGCAACAACCGCATTGGTATTAACATTCTGCAATATAAAAATTCATTAGAGCTCAATTCTTTTGTTCTAAAACCGCCTTTACTTACAGTTTTTACAATGCTGTCCCATATCTTTCCATTCTCATTAACTGTATTTGGCGAGAAACCAATTCCATAAATAAATGTATAGGGTCGTGCCTTATACAAAGGGTTCACCTGAGGCAGTTCAATAGGATGCTCAAGGCGCTTATCATAGGCAGCCAAAGGGATCCACGAATGCCATCCAGAAGAGCCTGTAGCAAAAGCTCTACTTTCTTCGTCATTTGTTGCACCAGGCACAGATTGTGCTCCACGCATATATCCCCACAGGGATGATACACGTGAGCTAATACTGGAAGTTGTAGGAATAATGGTATTGTTAGCATTAAATACTTTACTGGCATCAAGAACATTGTTAAGTCTGTAGCGCCTGACTTCAGATTTGGCTAATTGTGCAGGTTTCATTGTCTCTGGATTACGGAGGTTCTCCAGAGTAAGCTGATTTGCAATGGTATCATCGGGATAACAGACAATATCAACAAATACATTATTGTTATCATCATCGAATGCATTCACATGATGGAATCTGCAGAATCAAATGTGTTATAAATATATTACATACGTTGAGATTAAGCATGTACTTACGCAAAGCAAGGGTCTGTACGGTAAGTGGCTACATGCTTATTCTCACTTCTTGAAATGACATAAATTAAAGTAGGTTCGGTGGGGCAAAAGGTAAAGGAATCCATGATGCTTTCATTCCATGCATATTTGACAGCACCAGAGTTTGCCAGCAGAGGAAATACGAACTAATAGATAGGAACCGTTGAGATACACATCAATCTACGAAGAAAAAAATAGTTTACTCACCAGAACAATGTACTTTTCAGTCAGTGCAAAACTGTTGACGTATCCAGTAGGTGCATTGTGAATAGATGCAATGATGTGTCCCTTGGGATCTTGTGCAGAGAGTGAAAAGAAATGATAGCTCGTGGAGCTGTAGCCAATATCCATTGTAAAGTTTATGTATTCTCCAGTGCGTGCATCCACCTGTGGATTTGGGCAAGAGTTGTATCCCTTAAAGGCAGGATTGATTTCTTGTGTAGTCAAAACACGTGTTGGCTTCAAATCAAAAGGATCCAGTTCTTGAATCTATTATATGGTTAGTAAAGATCCTGACACAAAAATGGTCATCCACATACATGGTTTGCCATGTTCTGGCAAAAGAGACGCCCATCAATACCAGGAATACTGTGCATAATACGTGCACCACAGGGTTCACCATCAGGCTTGGTTGCCTTGGTGGATGATTTAATAAACTTGACAAGAACAGTCTGGTTACTATCAGTCTTGAATAGACCAGCAGGATGACAAGGCGCATATCCATGGTGATCTCTCAGCTTCTCAATCATACGACGACATGTTAATTTGTTGCGATAAGTGATTGTATTGCGCGACCCATTGTAATCGAGTCTGTTGACAAGTGGTAGTCTATTAAATTAACAAGCATAAATAAGCAAAATGTACATTAACAGCTTTAACAAGATAATACTGCTTACGAATCAAACCAGTGACCAAAGGAAAAGTTACCGGTCGCACTCTGAAGGAAGCCGTCAATTTCGATCTTACGCGTATATTTAACTTCATATGTGCCTGGACCAACTGTGAAATGCTCTCCAGTCAGCCATTCGGGGAGCTGACCTTCAACCTTGAGTTCTTTAATATCACTAATATCCCCAGTGTTGAAGAATCCCTTGAATATAAATCGTTAGTCATTCTGTTCACTGACTTGTCAAACCAAAAAAAAAAAGAAACTGATTATTACCTTTGCATGTGTAGTATCCCCTTCCAAGTTGACTGTATTTCTCTTGACCGTGCTTGGAGGAAAAGGTGAAGAAGATCGACTCAAAGCTGGCTGGCCTTGATCGTCCAGCAAAGAACGTTCTTGTTGCTCCCAGTCATCATTATCATAGGCCGAGGTAATCTCCAGAGAAGGATCCTAAATTCCGTATTCAGTCTAATGGACCTCGATAAATAATATGTTTGGTTATCTTACAAAAGAGTTATCTTGTGAGTCCTCAGGATAGTCAACCGACAGATCTTCCATGGCATTTGTGATTCGAGTTGTGCTGTCAAGCTGGGTAGAATGTGATAGTTCATGCTCTTCATGTTGACCATTAAAAGGTTGGTCATCAACTGCCATTGCAGAAATATTGGTAGGGTTCATTTGTTCGGCCATAATAATTAAGGAAGAGTACTGACAGACAAAGCGTGTTTGAGAAAGGGGCTAAAAAATAAAGAGAGGCCGTTTCATTCAGAGAGCGCTGGACCCCGACATTTCATACACATACACACACATATATATATAGTATATATATAATCTATCTTGATTGTTCTCCTGTGATTTGTGTGTGGTTGAAGCTATTGGGTATATCTTGTACAATATTGAAAGCCTCAAGTCTTGTGCGTTGGACAAACCTGGCTTTGAGAGCTATACATCTGACGCCTAGATTTAACGTATGATAGATGAGCTTAAAAATCAAGTTCTTTCTTGAAGTTCAAGGCGTCCAGACAACTGCACTTCTAACCAAAAGAAAAATTGTTCTAAAAGAATTGAGGAATTAAATCCAATATATTATTTATTGTGGAAGAGAAAGAAAGAAAAGCACGCCAAGAGTTTAATGATATTCATTATCTCTACCTCAGCACAATGTATTGTATTGATTTCTCACAATATATTTTGCCCTTCTTTTTGCAATATTAATGTAGAATAATATATGGTTATTTTCATTCTAGGACATAAACACTTTATCTTTTCATTTCTGTTTATGATCTCCTTTAGATTCTAAATTAAATAAGTTTGATATCGATGTTTCTTGAAAGACCAAATACCTTGCCAGATATATATTTTAAAGTAAAGTGTCTGTATGACAAGCCTATGATGTCCACATCACATCACGGTATTCTTTCTTTTAATAATTATCACAGTGCCATATTATAAACCCCCTTTATTGCATTCGGTCTGTGCCTATTCTTAAAATTTATTATCAAGGGTAAACATTTTTTCTATTGCAGAGTAAACCTTTCAACTCCATCAACAAAGCAGTTTTTAATACAAAAGTAAATGATTTTTCACTATAGTGAATTAATTAAAGGGTCCTTTCTAGCAATGCAGCATTTAATATAATCTCTATAATTTAGATGGCAATGGAGCCTGAGCATAATAGTTGCAGAGAAGCTTAACAGCAGAATCAACTAGCTCAAGTTCATTTTGAGTAGCTCCATTATTCAGTGCACCGTATCGATGGCCTTTCAACTGAGCAGGGAGATTATCACACAAGAGACAAGCAACCATAATTAAACTAGTTTCTTTTGCCCCAATAATCTTTGTCTCGGACAGTATAGAGCCATATAGCTGATGAAGGGCGGCCTGAGCCAGATCCGGATGAGAAGACCCCATGTGAGTAAGAACAAGGTCAGTGTAGCGTCCATAAATCTTCTTGAACAAAGAATTGCCTCTTTCTCTCTGTATAGAGATATCTTCCCAAGTATCTTCTGAGCTTAGATCATAAACGTTGGATTAGAATACACATATCATTGTTCATCTATAATTATTTTATATATAAGAAACTAAATTTACCGTAAAGGTGTAGTCTGTATCATATCTCTAATAGCTTCCGGAGTGGTATCATATAGGTGCTGAAGACCATTGATAGCCTGTGCATAAGTTTTGTTAATAATGGATTGTTTGTTAGTGGAAAACCGAAGAAGAGCAGGTTTACTTTTGGGAATCCAGTAACTATGAAACTTTTTAAAATGGCTTCTCGAAGACGTAGCACTACTTTTACGGTCTCAGCTTCTTTGAATTCTAGGCTGATTTCTTGATCATTTAGAGAATTTGATAATATGGCATATATCTCGGTAAGGTCTTTTGGGTGATTAAGTGCACTAATGATGACTGCCTAATGATAAGAGAAGGAAGAAAAAGGAAATTAATGCTTGTTTATAGCTAACTCAAATGACTTACAGCAATAATATACCAGAGCTGATTAGAAATTGGGTTAGATGATTCTTTAAAGATTCCTTGAATCTCTCTTAATACTTTGTTCAACTCCATGCGAATCAAGCTTACAAACCCACGCCTAGCTGAGTTGCATTTCTTTACATAAAATACAACGAAGCTTGTATTTGTGGGTTTCGTTATTTATATAATGTCATTTTTATGAATATTTTTATTGCAATATCAAAGAATAGAATAACTGTTGTAGTGCACATTAATTACTTTATTTATTTATTTTCACTTAATACAATCATTCTTTATATTTTTTCACCGATTTTCATAGTAGTTTTGAAAAAAAAACCTTGGTAGATTTCATAAGATTATTCTAGAAGTCATTCTTAGTAGAGGTGTTTCAAAGAACGGTGGAATCTCCCTTTTATGTGACTGTACACAAAACACAAGAAAGTAGTAGTGGCCTTTATTAGCTTAATCTCAATAGTTTTTTATTCAACACTCCACCATGAACACATCGCCTGGGTCATCATCCACAAGAGCCTCCCCTACACATCAAATCAATTCACAATCTACCGAAAGAGACACCAATATCGATTCCACATTGCCTATCGTGTTCAGAAAAAGTGATTTTTCCTATCTGCCTGAATTCAGCGACATCATCAATCTTATATTGATAGGATCTCATCAAGATGAAATTGGAAAAGCGGTAGCGCAACTGGATGACCGTTTTGAGAACGGTCGGCGAGTACTGCAAGACTTACCAGGACTGCAATACGTTAAAGAAGAACAAGAAGCCATTTTGAAACGTGAAATGGCAGTCTTGGACGCGAAGAAAAAGCAGCTGGTAGAGCACTTGGCTTCACCACCCTTTGTTCCTTGATTCATCCGGACTCATTATTCTTATAATGTAACTTGTAATATTCTCTCTACCGAGCTTTCTTTAAAGAAAAAGAAAAAGAAAAGAGAGTTTCTGATTGTGGTTAAGAGAGAATTATATATATATAAAGGTAGATATATATATATATATATATATATATATATATTTAACATGAGAGAGGAAGAGGTAAAAAACAATAGTAACATGTAAAAGGAAAAGAGAAAAGAAAAGGTGTTTTTTTTTGTTTTGTTTTAGGGATAGAAGGAAACGAAACTATTCGAGGTTTACTACACAACATTGAATAGCGCATCTTCATCTTCATCCTCTAGTTTTGATTTTTCCAATTCTTCTTCTTCATCGCTCACAATACCAAAGTCATTCTCACTTCGTACGTCCTCGTCATATTCGGGTGCTCGTTGTTCGACTGTAAATATTGGTGTACAATGCTTTGAGATCTAAAGACAAAAATAAATAAATAAATACACCAAGCTTAAGAATAAATGATCGATCTCACCTCCGATATCTGGCTACAAAATATGTCAAAGTCTTCTTGTGTTTGGCAATAGAATCCCAAGAGCATCGAGGGATCTACCTGTGTGATGTGTATTTTTCGGGGAATGGGACAGTGGTATGTGCTCAAGTCCTACAAGTTAAGAAATACACTATTGGCTCCTGTTTTAGTTACCCGGTCAAAATCACTTGCCTTTTCTGAATACTCGGACACATTCTTAGTCTCAAGGGCTGGACGTGAGAAATGAGGGTCTAAATAGATAAGCTCATCTCCCTGAAGACCAATAAAATACAAAGATGAATTGGGTCGACCGCTACACACACATACACACATATGTATATAAAATAATTAATGCCTATCGAGTTTATATTGTGTTTTTACTTACCCAGCAATGCCAACAAAACAAGGTAGTTCAAAACACGCCTTTTTTGTTTTTTAAATATATATATACAAATTTATTATGAGGGTTATTTATTTATACATATATAAACTTTAAATGCAACTATTTTGATTATCAGCATACCTTTAACGCGGCGTGGTATGTTGGGTGGAGACTATCTATTCCCAGTCGAAGGGCAACTAGCAATAAGACTGGCTTAAACACACCTTCCGATACGTGTGATGGTATATTTGGTGGATTGTATCTGTTATAAATAGCCATAGCCTCTGCTCTTCCAGAATCTTCAGATTGTAGGTCATGAAGCCGGGATGATAGATAGCCAAATTCGCCTCGTGGTTTCTTTCCAGTTGCTACATCACGTACGTCTTCATGATAGATTACACCATCAGTGGCTATACATACTGCCATGGCAGCGGGAGGAAAATCAGATACTAATGCTCTATTGAAGTGTTATAAAGTACCATAGAGTAGAATAGAATTCATCAACAAATTAGCTTTGATTTAGTACAGGTTATCCTGTAGTCTTTCAATAAGTTTTTGTTATATTTTATTTTATTGTGTTATATTTACCCAAAAAAAAGAAAAACTTACTGAATAACTTGGCTAATAGTACTTGGGCCAAACCATTCACCAATATTCTTTCCTAGTTGTTTGCCAAGAAGAGCAATGCGATGAATGGAGAATGGTGCACGTGGTGACAGTTCATCCAAAAACCAATGTACAATCTTTATATATATATATTAATCTCACATATCTTACACATGTATAAGCCATCATCAATACATACCTTTCTATATTCTTTCCATGATGGATCTTCAGGTTTTGTGCGCCTCCAATCTAAGACAAAACGAAAATTATTATCATAGACCTTTTGTATATGAGCAGAGCTACCTCTTCCCAGCATGTGTATCATCAATGCATTCGCTAAAAGACTTTGACCACTCCGTAGCATACACCCCCAGCCAATATCAGTAGTGTGATTAGAAGGTCGGATGGGTGGATAATTGTGTCGGTAGGTCATCCAGAGGCGGGATGTGAAATCGGCATAGAAGTCAGGCGGCCACATCAACGACATGGAGAACTGCGGCGATGGCCTAGTTTTGGGTTCCGTTTGATCACTACTATCAGATATTTCAGTCAATTGCTTTATCTGTTGCATGTCTTCACTCTGTGCCTCAAGCATGTTCTCTTGGACATTGAAGTGATGATCTGGTAGTTCGTATCGCTGTCCAATCAGCCAGAGAGATGTCGGGAGCTGGCCAGAGTTGGAGGCGTCTCTTTGAAGGAAGAGCGAACTCGATAGTTCTGAACCAGACGTCCATAGGTTTGACATAAAATGACCAAGTTTGAGAGGAATTTCCGCTGCCAGATAAGAGGAGTTTGTCAGTAGTTTATCTTTGAATGGAGCTGTGCTGATATGATTGGAGTTCTGTGGTTGAGGCAAGTCACTGGCTGTGATGGTGCTATTAACAACCTCTGCCGAAGTTGTGGTTGTTGCAGTGCCTTTCTTGGTAGGCCACAGCAATTGCGGTGCCTCTTGTGTTGGAATGGGGTTCATAGCAAATATAAATATATATATAAAAGGATAAAAATGCAATAAATAAAAGTTGGAATGAGGCTGTTTACTAAACGATACGCGGCCGACGACGTCCCATGAGCCTGAACAAGAAGAGAAAGCCCCTTTTGCATGCAAATGCAAAAGAGACAAAGGACGGGTCACGAGTCCAACGAGTCACATGAGACGTATTCTATGCGTGCTTATATCTGTTAAAGACAACAAAGAAGGTTGTCATGAGAAGCACGTTCTACAGCATTTGTAGACAATCTCACTACAATAGACAAACCAAGTTTATTATTTCTTCATTTCTTTATTTCTTCCTTCCTTTCTTCTTTCTGGCTTGCTTATTGGATTAAAATAGAATTTTACTTACAGCCCATTATTATCATGAAAAGGCCTTTAATTAGCAGGCTTCATTAAACATCTTGCTCTTCACAGAATGCATTTAGTACATTAATGTTTTGAATTCCAAAAAGAGAAAACGAAGAATCTCATATATCAACTCAAGCTCCTCTAAAATACACATTATTACTGTATAAGTCCTATAAATTTGTATATGCATACGTATAATTCATAGTAAAATATAGTTTTCAGGTACTAAAGTTTTTGGAAACTGTATTCCAGTCATACAGCTGAAGTCCCACCAAATAATTGATAAACCAAAAAAAAGAAAACAATCAAGTTTGTAGTGCAATATCCCATGAATAATAGTTCATTCTGCAAGGATAAAAACACAAGCTTGAAAAAGAAGCTCATCTTTAATACATATATACATATACAAGTCGGTGCTTTATTATCATTATCGATATCATTATTATGAAGTCAAAAATAATAGATACAAGAAAGAAAAAGGTTTTAGGTGATAAAAGTTTGGATATGATGTGATGTGCGTGTACGTATGTTTGCGTAGATATTGTAGATACGAGTATTAATGGATGGAGGCTTTTGTTTGTTTCTTCTTCTACCGCTTAAAAGGTGATGTCTTCCATAAGTTTAAATATATCGACATATTGTGTTTTTTGTTCATGAATTTGACTTGTGGTGATATGAAAGATAACAAAGATAGCAATGTTAAGTCCAACAAAAAGGTACAACGAAGGTTTTCTAAATCCTATGGTCACTTGATTGTTTTTGAGTTGTATTTCGGCAGATTCAAGGGTGTTTAAACGCATAGTCTTTGTTATTTTTTGACCCATGTAATAACGGGCGATCGAGACTTTATTTAACGACATGAAAATAAGAAAAAGAAGAGGCTATTCGAGGCTGAAGTAGAAGTGTTTTGTCAATTAAAGAAAGAAAGAAAAGCAAAATTGAATTGAATTGAATTGAATTGAATTGATAAGAGTAAGCTAACAATCCCAGAATTCATTTTTAATTGTCATTTATACTACTTCCCTTTCTTTATATATACATATTCTGAGATTGTTTGAGATAGATTATAAGGACAGCGAGAGCGTATATGATAGACAAGGGTCAACGTGAAACCTACTCAAAATCAGGACGATAAAACCCATTATCATGGATTCTTCTCTCTTTTTGAAGGTTTAGATCCCCGCTTAATGTTATAAACTGTAATCATTTCCAGTTTTTTTTATTAACCAGCAATATACATGTATGGCTCATAAGATTTATTCACTCACTACCCCTATTGTATAGGCCCCCAATACACCCCTTCGATCCATTCAAAAAGACTCTTAAGCTTTTACGCACAAGACAAACCAAACCAAACCAAACCAAACCAAGCCAAGTCATTCAATTATACACTAGAATTAAATTTATTTTTCTTGGGGAGGCTTTGTTTATTACACATTGTCCAGTCAATTCTATCATAGCAAAAAAGAAAAGAAAAGGAAGATAAAGAGATAAAGAGACAGGGTTGCTTGTGTTCTGTTGCTTACTTCCTGATAGACTAGTAAGAAGACGTGCTCTGCTTGTTCGCCTTGATACTCTCGGGCATTCTCATTTGATAATCTGTTACAAAAAAAAGTCAGGGATCATTACCATTATTTATTTATTTCAAACCACCTGTTCCACCATCAATATTCTTTGTATTTGTCTATTTTCTTACCTCCGTTCTGAGTAATGTAGCGCACCCAAGGGAGTGCTTGGTATCCACTCTTTTCCACAATCTTGAGGTATCTTACTTGAATTCCAGAGACAGTAAAGTAAGGAATCTCGAATTTGATGTTAATCGGTGGCTTCTTCTCTGTTTCCTCGGCTTCATTACAAATTATTGTATATTAGCTTAAATTTACAGTAAAAGAAAACAAAAAAGAAAGACAGAAAGATACAACAGCACTTAAACTAGTCCCTTACCAGCTTGAACAGATGGCAACCCAAAGTGAGCACGCATGATAAATTCTTTTCCACCTTGGAATTGTTTGAGTTTCCACACCAGGCAAGAACGTTCAGGTTTGTAGGTCACAGATCCACTACTGCACTAAGACCCCAGCCAAAATAACCCAAGAAAACAAAAACACCAACGTATATTTTACATTTAAAATCAATAATATTTCCATGAGTCGTAATAAAAAAAAAAGGGGGGGGGGGAGGTACCTTGAACTTGGGTGTGTCTGCATCGTCAGCTACTGGTACTTCAATTTCTACATTGTTGGCTGTACTCTTGCGCTTAAATTGAGCTCTTGCCTTGACCAAATACTCAACACGAGATCCAGAATAGGTTTCTACTACAGCTTCTACCCAAATCAAAGGCTTCACACTTGTCTGTAGCCGGTAGCTCATCAATTCAAAATCACCATCTGGGGGAATAAAGCTAATGGTGCGATCATTTTCAAACCGAGAAAGTCGAACGCACTGATGGAATTTGACATCTTCCATTTCAATAGCTTTGGCCGAGGTATTTGCTAATAAAATTTACTCCACGTTTTTAGTTCTCCAAATTCTTTCCCTTTGTTTTTTCTCTTCCCCTCCTCCTTTGCATCGAATTATTTAGATGTAATTCTAGTAATAACAATAAGACTGTACAAGAATAATATATGCATATAATTATTTACCTCTTCCTGTTGCTTCAAACATCACCTTGTCATTTAATCCCAAACGGAGTTCGGGCATGCCTGACAAATAACATCTCATCTTCACAGCCCCGAGAACTTCACTTCTCAGAACATTGCCATTTGCGTTTACCAATAAATTGACACTCTCAATAACGTCCAAAAAGACCTCATTCTTTTTGTATTTGATACCCTCAGAACGCCACGACACTGCATTGGTAACTGCCATTGGAGGTCGAACCTGAACCTCCAGCTTGTAAGCATCTTGAGTGATGTACCTTTTAAATTAATAAATTAATAAATTAATATTAAAACTTATTAATTGTTATTATTTTTTATAAAGTATATATATATGAAATTCCAAATTACACTTGAAAAGATTTTTTTTGTACTTACTCTTGTAAAATTTTTGTTTCAGTGGTTTGAGGGTAGCCGAAATCCATCATCTCATCCAATAGCTCGTAAACGATAACAAAATTATCCCTAATAGATTCCTCTTCCAATTCTTTAAAGTATTCCGCAAATACTTGAGTAAGTTTGTGGAGATAGAGCATAATAGCCGCGGCATTGGTATTCTTTCTCGTCAGCGCAAGTACTAATATAGATCATCATCATCATTATTTTTAGTTGAGTTGAGTTGAGTTGAGTTGTGCTTCCGCTGTTGCTTCTGCCTCTACTTCTATTTTTGTCTCTCCAACTGAAGTTTATATATATATATATATACAAATCTTCAGGGTAGATAATTACAGTAAAGGTTGCTGTGCTTCAGGTAAAGGTAGTTGATTCCTTCGTGCGTAAAACAAGGTAAAGGAACTTGCTCATCTTCTGCTTCTGAAATCTACAGAAAAAATAGTTAAATATATACATGCATGCATACACAAGTATACATAGAGAAAAGTTGCGAATCTCACCAGGGGCATAAATTTCTCCACAGCACTCATGGGAATATCACCACGATAGTTGCGGGATATCAGCACTTTGCCCTTGAGGTCTAATATAAAGACTGTACACAGAAAGAGAAAAAGCGAAAAAGAAATAGATAGTTTGTAAGAAGCATGGTAATCGAGTGAATAAAAATAATAATAAGTTTCCTGATCATCCGAATTCAAATTCTTATTGCCGTTTACCTGCGGAAGCCATGAGAAATGATGGTAGATTGTAGAGCGAGATGAAGCTATTCCTTACCCGCTTCGTTCGCACACAAAAAACGCGGACAAAAGGCCAAGTCACTGAGTTTTAAAAAAAAAGATGGACCACAGAGAGAACTGTCACGCCCAAAGTTAGTTTTACTTGCTTTACTTTTAACTTTTAACACATATATATTATTTCTTTATCTTTATCTTTCTTTCTTTCTCTCTTTATTTTTTTTTTCTGTTCATCATGTCACTCGTTGCAGACTATGGAAGCTCAGATTCCGAAGATTCCGATGTAGAAACCACACTAGTACCAAAGAAGCCTTCCTCATTCGCATCGTTACTGCCTCTACCAAAAAAGAAAGCAACAACAACGCCTACTAGTTCGTTTGCATCCTTACTCCCAGCTCCAAAACAGGCAACTCCAGAAAAACCCGTGTTTTATGTAGAAGTACCCTCGAAACATAAGGATTTAGAAGAGGATGAAGAATCGACCAAGAGATCCAAGAAATTAAAATCATCGGGTGCTACAGATTTTGCAGATCTACTTCCTGCGCCCAGAAATACATCCTTACACAAATCTATTGTACCCGTCACAAAAAAAACTACCGATGCATCTCTCATGCCACTCGCATTGGCACGAAAACAAAAGGCAGCCAGGGAAAAGAAGGAAGCACAGGAGAAAGCAGAGGCAGAAAAGTTATTGAAAAGCATCCCAAAGGTTAATTCAGCACCAGAACATGAAGAAGACGAAGACGATACAGCTGTAGAGCACACTGGATCGTTTTTCCCACTAGGTATATATATATATATATGTATATGTATATGAAATTATAAAAAATTAGATATTTATTTAAGAGGTGTACAAATGCTAAATGATGATTTTTATTTTATTTTACTATTATGTAGGCCCTGAAGTTTCAAAGATACCTGCTTATACTCTTCCTATCCCAAAGAAGAAAACACTGAATACAGATATGGCAGATAAAAGGACCACGTCAAAATCCGAAAAGGTAGAACCAGAACTAAAAATGGAAACGACATCGGCAGCGGCAGCGGCAATGACAACTACAACGGCAACAGCAGTAGATGCATATGCATACTCATATGATCCAAATGCCATGTACGCTTATGGAACCGATACTTCGGCATACTACCAACAACATTACCTGGAGGCCAATCAATATGGTGGTGACCAGTCACACAATGGTGTTGACTCGAATACCGATGAAGTTGATGCTGATGCGGTGAGTGTTATCCCAAGGCCACCCTCCAATATTTGTATATATATATATATTAATAGATCTCTTATATTCTGATTATTCTAATTATTATTACTGGAAAATTAATATTAACAATAATATTAGCTTGGAAGATTGGCAGGCAAAAGATTCAAGGGGCAGGACTCTGGTATTCAATTCAAGACAATTAACCAGGCAGACATGCTCCCAACAGAGGAATGGCGGATGGCTGCACTTGCGTCTACTCCAAAATTCACCAATGATGGCCCTGCTGTAAGTCTCGTGGACCTGTAGAAGTTGATCCATAGGCAAACTGATATTATATAATTCTGGATTCCTTATAATTCTTACTATTCTTACTATTCTTACTATTATTTATGTGCCTTGTAGATTACGGCAACTACAGCGCAGAAAAAGCGAAACAATCTCATGGCATTGGCTGCTCAGGCTGTTGAGATGCAAGAGAAACTATCTGAACAATACGCAGAGAATAAAAGAACCAAGCGTGAGACGAAGAACAAATATGGTATGAACACAAGATTTTTCTCTCTTTCTTCTTTGATTTTGATGGATCATACTAATCAAATAACTTCTTTAGGCTTCTAATTATATACATATATACATATATACATACATACATGTATATAAATATGTATATAAATATAAAAGACCTTGACGGCCGAGATCTCAATGAAGAGCAAGATGGTAGGAAAGGCGAGAATGAACCTTAAAGCGTTGTCACAAAGGGTGACATGAAGCGTATGTGCGTAGGCACATGTAAATAATAATAAAAGGCACATTTTATCTATCCATCCATCTATCTATGTATCTATGTATATATGTATATATGTATATATGTACTTGTATTTCAAAGAAAAGGAAAAAGGAAAAGAAAACAATAGAAAAATAAGGAGGCTTCTTGCTTCGTATGCGTATATACATATATATATATATACGTATGTGTTTGTGTTATATATTTTTTTGTTTTAAAACCAACTCCTCTTCACCCCCTCTTAACGTTTTCTCTTCTTTTCTCTTTCTGCTTCTGCTTCTTTCTCTATTACTATTTTTATTGTCGCTACTGCTCTAAGTACCAAGGATAAACACCTGGACTTCTTGCTTTATTATTTCCACTACTAGTGCTACCATCACCATCACTATCACTATCACCACCACCACCACCACCACTACCACTACTACTATTGTTACTGTAGCCCGTTGATGCACTTTACAGAACCATGCCATCAGGACGTCGCAGAAGTTTATCGACAGGAGCACCTGTCCTACAACCTACCTCTTCTGGACTATTGAGTCGTGGATTGGACAGTTTACGACGCCATCACCGCCATACGTCTGAGCAAATCAATGATACCACAAGGCAGGAAGTAATTACTTCGACACCACAACCAACCTCAGACTGCCGTCCTCATTGTGATCCAGAGGCATGCACGGCTTCGCACATCAGGCTTATTCCTGATCTTGGCTTGACCAGTAGATCGTTTGTATTTGAAGTAATCGAACGTACCTTACATCCAGGAAACATTATACGATTAGGCAGATATAGCGAAAAAACACCGGCATCTGAAAAGGTGTCCTTTAAGAGTAAAGTAGTCAGTCGATGTCACGCCGAACTGTGGGTAGAAGATGGAAAGGTATAAAAATTAACATTTTTTTTTTACTATTCTTATTTTTATATCCATATATATATAAATTATTAGGAGTGAAATAATTAGTTGATTTTTTTTGCTGGTACAGCTATAAGCCAAGTCTAAAAGAAAGAAATGATATCCAAAAACCAAAAACCAAAATATATATATATTTATATACATCTATACATGTTAGGTCTTTATTAGAGATGCAGGGTCATCTAGTGGCACATTTTTGAATCGTATACGTCTCAGCTCTCCTTCTACTTCAACAGCTGGTGCTCACGAAATGAAAGACGGTGATATAATACAACTAGGCGTCGATTACAAGGGCGGCACTGAGTCGATGTACCGAGCAGTGAAAATGCGTTTGGAAGTCAACCGAGAATGGCAATCTCGCGCCAATCAATTCAGCCGAACGGCATTCCAGCACCTACAACAACGGCTAATAGCCCCAGGAACAGCGACCACCATGTTAGTCCAAGACAATTCGGATGTCTCTACGCCAGGCCAGTCCAAGGACTCCAATACAGATATGTCAGACTCTGAATACAACAGCCACACAAAGAACGGCTGCGGTCCAGAAAAGCGACCGTCGACACCGCAAGAAAAGGCATTTGAACAAGAGATCCAGGAGTGCTGTATTTGCATGTATGCAATAGCGCCATTCCAAGCCCTATTTATTACCCCATGCTCTCACGTATACCACTATCGATGTATTAGACCTATACTGAATCAGAATCCACCAGGGTTCTCATGTCCGCTCTGCCGTACTTATTCTGACCTGGATGCCAATGTGGCAGTTGAAGTGAGCGAAGTACTAGAGATGCTAGGTCTGACACCTGTAGAAAACCAAAAATCATCCTCGTCTTCTGACAATGATAACGACAACGACAACGTCAATGACAATAATGACCATTATACTGATGTTTACAACTCCCGGACACTACTTCAAAACGATGAAGAACTGGGTACCGAAGGGGAAAACAGAACAGCAAGTACGGTGCCTGCCATTGATCTAGTGTCTTCCAGATCTGGATATCCCAACAAATTCCCACCTACATCCTCCCTATTTCGCGCCAGATCAACTGCGACTGCTAATGGCGATGGATTACTGTCAACCACACTTGTGGGATCACCACCAACGTTTGGGGATATTCTTCCTATAAATTCAGATAATTTACCAATATAGATATATATTTCTTATTTTATTTATGTTTTCAAAGTAAAAATAAAATAATCACAGAAACACATAAGCGCACACATACACATACACATACACATACACATACACATACACATACACATACACGCACAAGCACAAGCACAAGCACAAGCACAAGCACAAGCACAAGCACAAGCACAAGCACAAGCGCACGCACACACACACATATATATATATATATATACATGTATATATATGTATGTATAGCTTTTATAGTGTTAAAGATTATAAAAGGTCTTTAGGTTTTATTTTTATATAATTTAGCAAGCAAAAAATGAGGAAAACATATTAAATGAGGTGTGAAAAAGAAAGTGTACAAAACAAAATAAAATAAGAATATAGTAAAATTGGGAATCGTCTGATTATTACAATAGTAACAGAAGAAGAGCAAAAAAGGAATCAGGCAATTCTAATGGATAAATGTAGGAGCCGTCTAATTGAGGATCTGGACCTTGATGGCACCGGTAGAGTAGTCGGCAGTGGTATCAAAGGCCTTAAGGGCATCCTTAAAGTCAAATCTTTTAAAAAAAAATCAGTCAGTCAGTCAGTCAGTCAGTCAAAGTGTCATGATTGTACAATTTTCTATGTATATGTATGTATATATATATATATTTTAAACAAAAATTACCTGTGGGTAATCAAATGGTCAATCTTCAGATTTCCACTTGCCATCAAGGCAATAGCACGAGGGTAAGTGTGATGGTATCTACAGATGTACACATAAAGAATTTAATATACATTGTATAAATATTTTCTCTCTCTCTCTCTCTCTCTTGTAATTTTGAAATTAGTAGCTATCTATATGATAATATATGTACCTGAAGAGACCGCGGATATCGACTTCACGCATGGCAAAGTTGTTGACAGGGAGAAGCTGATCGTTCTTGCCTACACCGACAAGACAGCACACACCAGCGTCCTTGGTGGCCATGATGGCAGTACGGAAAGAAGACTCTACACCAGTGCACTCCAATGAGTACTCGGCACCCTCACCGCCAAAAATGTCCCGGATTTCTCTGGCAATCTCAACATCCTTGCGCTTGGGATCGACCTGATAAACAAAGTCAGCACCCATCTTCTTGGCATACTCGAGACGCGAGGGCTGGACATCGGTGATCATGATGGGGCTGATACCAGTAGCCTTTGCTACGGCAAGGACAATCAGACCAATAGGACCAGCGCCGGTAATCAGGAGTGACCGACCAAATTTGACACCAACGCGTTCAATGGCGGAGATGGCAACAGAAAGAGGCTCCAACAGGGCACCTTGCTCGTAAGTGACATTGTCAGGAATCCTTTTTTTTTTAAAAAAAAGGGAAGCAATATCGTATAAGTAACGTGAAGAAATAATATCCATATACTTATGCGTATAAATACTTACTTGTACAACCAACGAGCGGGGTGGGTGATGTATTTGGCCAACTGACCGTGATGAGGAGGTGTGGACTTGAAGATGACAGTGGGGCAGAGATGGTATCTACCGCTCATGCACTGATCACACTTGGAGCAAGGAATACCACTAAACCCAATCAAATAAATTAAAGCAATTTAAATTAGATAAAATAAAATCCAATTAAAATGATATTGCTCCACTCTTATTATCATCATTATTTTACGTGTTGATTTTCTACTGCTTGCCATTGTCATTGGCATTTTTGTTGTTGCAATATGTTAAAAAAGAACAAGCTTAGGTACTTACGCTTCAACTGCAACGCGATCTCCAACCTTCAAGGTGTCAACACCCTTTCCGACAGCAGTAACCACACCAGCACTTTCATGACCGAGCAGCTGAGGGGTAGTTACAGGGAAGATACCGATCTCTCCATACTTCCACAAATGGATGTCTGAACCGCAGATACCAGTGGCCTTGACCTGAATCTGGACCTCACCTTCTTCAGGGATGGGAATGGGGAGCTCGACAATTTTGAGGTCATCTTTCTTGTTCAACAGGACACCGTGGTTGAGGGTGTTCTTGCCGGGAATCTCATAGGTGGAGGGGTTGTAGTTAAGAGCAGACATCTTTATTTTGACTTTTTTTTTTGATGAGTGGGAGATTATGTAAGAAGATCAAGACAGAAAAAGAAAAGAAAAAAGGCAGGTGATAATGTGCCTAGTATTTATACTCTCTCCTCTGGGATTTCTTTTAGGGAACTCACATCCATCTCTCTGTTTGTCTCCATATATATCTTTATTATCCATTGAAAGCCAGGAACCACTAGGCTTTTTTTTATATATCCTTTTCTCTCTTTAGGTTGATAGTAGTATTTTGTACATAAGATGTATTATAAAAATCGAAAAATCTCAATTCTAAATTAGTTGCTGGGAAGAATAGCCTAGTTTGGGGTAAAATAAATAAATAGAATACAGGGTCTTTTGAAGGTAGTTTTTCATTCACCAGTAGGAAGAATACTATACCTGGACACCAAATGGAGAATTAATAAGTGACCTTTTTTTTTAGAAATAAAATTAAGTAAAAGTTTTGGTGATTATCCTCCGGCCAAAAACAACCCAATGAAAAGGTAGCCTTCATTGCACCCCAGAAATCCCCTCTTTCTCGTCGTCGTCGTCTTCCTTCTTCTTATTCCTTCTCCCCCACATAAAACGCGACACAGAAAAAAAAAATAAGAAGGAAAAAAAAAGTCCCGGTAGCGGGCTTCGATGTTTCTATGTAGCGTGTAATTAACTACTACTACAAAAAATAATATTTGAAGAAGTGTAGAGGTATCTATGTGTGTGTGTATGTGTGGATATATATATATCTTTAATATTATTTCCTGGAGGTTTTTCAATTTTCAACTACTTTAAATGCTTGTTGACCACGCTAAAGGATCATTGATACTGAGCGATAAATTAAACACAGTATCTTGGCAACTAATTACTATAATAATTATATCACTATAGCAACCTATACACATAAATATATATAATAAAAAAAGTTTAAATAATAATATTTAATATTGGGATTTTGGTGTCCGCTTAGAGTGGCACAAAAAGTTACTTTGAGGAGGTTGATTGCCGATTTTTTTTTACTCTTATTTCATCAAACAGTATATATTGAATTTAACGGGGATACTTTAAAATAAAAAATAAAAACATATATATAAATAATAAAAAGAGGATAATATCATCAAAACATTTTTAACAAAGTGTCTCATTGTCGTACTAAATAATAATAACACTAGTCATCTCAATGTTTCATCTATCCTTGATGATTTTGTACCTTTTTTTTTCTTAATACAGACATAATCATGCCGATGAAATGGATAATATATGTATTGATTTCTTCGCAATAGATCTAATTTCTAGAATATTCCAGGCTGCCTGACTCAATAGAACAAAACCATCCCTTGTTTCCAATTTCCTCTCTCTTTCTTTGTGATAGCAGTTAGACATTCTTCCTCTTCTTCTTCTTTTTCTTTCTTATTTCATTCAAAAAGCATGCGTGGAACTTTGTATACATATAGTGTGCATTATGTTTTGCATATTATTAATCTGTTTCTGTCAATACAAATGCATTTGGTATGCGAGAATAAACAAAAGAAGTAACAACAGAAAACTAAATCACATTGTTTATTGAATTAACTTAGTATAAACGTATTGTTATTGTTATTGCTATTATTGACATTTTTCTATTCTAGTTGGTTAAAGTAGTATTTGAAACAAACAAACAAAAAAAGCACACACATACACAAAATAAAGAGATCTGCTGTTGATGATTAATTTTAGGTGATATCGCCGAAGTGATTTACATTTTCGGTAGAGAAACTCTGCCCTGAGAAAACCAAGAAAAAAGATGAACAAGAAATACAATATAATAGTACAACAGTTGAATCACACTTTGTATTATTTGTAACACTATGAATAAACAAAACGTATGTACCTCTGTTTCCATAAAGCTGTACATAAAACATAAAGGCATTAAGGTATTGTATTAATCCAATACGCTGTATCATTTTTATTTTCTTTTGTTTTTGCGATTGTTTTTGCGCACCACATTATAAATCTACTTTGAAAAGAGAAAGAAGGAATGGCACAATACAATACAATTCAATACAATGTAATACAATGTAATATATTAAAATAATTGGATCAAGGGTCAACCATTTATTACTATGAAACTGAATGGTCTTGTCAAACTCTGATACTAATTAATATTAATTTGTCTTGCTGGTTCAGTGACTTTTTAAACTTGAACAATCAATTCTATCAACAGAACCATGCCTATCTATCTCTACTTTAATTCCGGTCTTAATTTTTTGACAAAAATAAATCGAAAGAAAAAGAATTCAAGCATGGTGAATGTAAAGCTAAGTAAACAACCTTACGCCTCAAACTTTCCATTGGATTTTGGACAACGGAAAACTTGCGTGTGGCGAAATTCTGCATAGTAAAATATAGACGGTATGATGCTTCGTGCACATGGAGTGCATTCATGACACCATTGACACCATTGACAGCTTACAGGAACTTGGTCACTTCCTTCCCACTAATTTATTCTAATCCTTTGAATTGAATTCTTGCTCTACCAGATATTTATTGCGTTATATATATACACAACAAATTTTAAAGAGCAAGAGACAATTTGAACGAGATGCTTGCAAAGGTCAATAAAAATTGAACAAAAACTAATATATTTTATATCCGGAAAAACCAAAAACCAAAAGTATATATATATACATCTTCTGTTTCCCATAAAAAACAGTAATTGTAGCTGTTTCATAATGACTGTAAAGGCGGTCTGTGTGTGTAAATCACAAATGATTTGTATATGTATGTATATATGAAATGGCTCAGTTTTCTTTGCGTGGCTGTATCGTTAACAAGAGCTGTTGATCAAATACTTCTACAGAAGCTACTCAATAGATTTAGACATACTATGCTTTTTTTTAGGATTTGATTATGTACTATTTAGATTTTGCAAATATTTTGAACATTTTGGTTTTCTTTGTAAAGAATAATAAGTGCGTATTTATGTATTTATACATATATTCTCTTTTTTTATTGTATTTTCTTTCAAAGGAAGAAGGTTCTCAAGACTCAAGTCGTTGTCTGTGCTTGTTTTTAATTATTTGTTGGGTAAGAAGGGGAACCATGGTAATAATAAAAGAATTTTTTAAAAAAAGGGGGTGGAGGGGTGGAGGAGGGTTAGGGATTTGTGTGGAATCCGAACAGTAAATAACAATAATAAATAGAATCTATCGGGTCACACCTATAGACACTTGTTGCAGAAATTGAATAGAAATTCTTTTTATTATTATATTGCATTTTATTTAATTGAATGAATGAATGATTGTGAAGTGTAAATTTATTTACGGCTTGTGATAATCACCGTATATTTCGGATCAGATTATCTAGAGACAACTTATAAGCACATGGCAGGTACGAGTAAGAAAAAGAGTGAGTAAGAGTAAGATATTACGAAATCTAGAGAAATCCGCAATAGGTTTGTCAATAGCTGATTTATTTATTTATTTTTCTATTTCAAAAAAAAATAGTATAATATTGTGTAGTTACACTTGTGGCAAATGAATAGGTCAAGAGGTTTCTTCTTCTTTTGTATATATTTGTTAGGTAGTCTAATGATAAGTTATCTTTAATACGATTATATATACATGTATGTATGTATGTATGTATGTATGTATGTATGTATATTGATAGCAAAGTCAGGCTCTAAAAATAATGGTAATACTCTTTCTTCTTTCTTTTGGTCTTGCTCTAATTTGATATCCCAAGACAAAGTATGATTCTTATTATCATTATTAGTATATCTTGCTGTGCTTACAGCTCAAGAAAAATAAGGACATAGCTAGGTTGTCCACAAGTATCTCACAATACCAAAAAAAAGTCTCGGCTATAACAAGCAATCAAAGTATGGGGTCAACAACAACAACAAAACAAAAACAAAAACAAAAAAATATACAATAATTTTACAAACACACACATACACAATCGACAAATGTTTCTAGGTGCTGATGATGGGTCAGTGTACCCTGACAAGTCATTTGGTTCTACAGTTCATGTCATGGTCGTACATCTTCTTCCCTTTATTTTTTATATATTTACTTTTGTTTTACAACTCTTCAAAAAAAATCGGCTTTCGGACCAAGGTTATCCCCCCCCCCCCCTTTCCCTCCCCCGCAAGTAATAAAAAAAACAGATCTTTGACTGTGAGATAGAAAAAAAAAGGAGATATACATATGTGTGTATATGTTAAAGGATATGAGTATAATTATTACTACGCTCATTATACTAGATATAATTATTAAAGGTAGTTTTGATTAGATCAAAATATAATTGCACAAATTTGCAATGCTTAAAAGCAAAAAAAAAAGCCAAAAAAAACGCAGATCAAGAAAAATTAACAAGATATCTCGATTTTTTGGTTTTTTGGCTTTTCTTTTTTATTTACAAAGATTATTATTTACACTTTATATCTGGAACTCGGTTCTGTTCTTTTGCTTTCATTTTTCTTTTTGGTTCATTTATTTATTTACTAGAGAGCAATAGAAAAGAAGAAGAAGAAAAAACGACGTGAGCCAAAAGGCAAGGGTGAATGTACATAACAAGAAAGAGGGGCGAGGGATACATAAATGAAGCATAAACAAGAAAGAGTATGAAAGAACATATACAAAAAAAGTGAAAAAAAAATAAAAAAAAATTGAGAAAATGGGCATATAAAAAAAGAAATATAAAAAAGAAATTAGAGCCATTTACGATGAAATAAATGGTATGAAATGATATGAAATGGTATGATATGATATGATGTAAAATGAAATGAAGTAAAATGAAATGAGAGAATCGTGAATAAGGACAAGAAGAAATGATTGGAAAGGGAATCGGAAAAAGGGAAATGGAAAGAGGGGGGGGGGGGGGGTGAGAGGAGGGCAAGGGTTGATGTACTGGTTAAAAACAAATAAGCTGTGAAAGATGTACAAGAAGAGATAGATAGATGACTAGTAAGGCTGTGCGTGTATGTGTACGTGTATACGGTGTGCAATATGCAATATGTAATATGCTGTATGTAGTATGAATTGTGTAGTATGAGTTGTGTAGTGTATGGCGTGTATATTAAGATGAGCAAGGAACAGGTTCTGGCTCGAGACTTGGAAAGGAAACATAATCGTCTTTAAAGGACCAGGTTCGTTTGTCGGATTGCCAGTCGATACTATAACTTGATGGCGACGATACTGTGGAGTTAATAGACGGCATTCGAGTGATATCAGTTTGGGGGAAATCTGTGCTGCTTTCGGACACAGTACGGTGAGTGCCGTGGCTCTTTCGTTTCCAATCGACTAGAAACTGGAACATGACTGAATATCGTTTGATTTAAGAAACACAAAGGTGGAGAGGGAGAGATAAGTGGACAGACAAACAGACAGGCAGAAAGATTTATTGATTGGTGAGATTGCTTCAATGTATTCAATACAAAGAAGACGCGCTTGTACTAATTACTAACAGATAGATAAAGAAGAAGCAAAGAAGTGTTGATAAAAGTTTAAAGTATGACGAGAGAAAAAAAAGAAGAAGTGAAGGCGAATCCAGAGGCACTTTATATATTAGTAAAATTTAATTATTTTTATTTATTTATTTATTTATTTCTATAGTAATACCTGTATTCTATTCCATCGTAATGTACTGTATTGTACTGTATTCCACCTTATTCCATTTATTTTATACACTGTATTTTTAATTCTTTTGTATCTAAATATTGTATTTTACTTTATTTATTTATTTATTTTACATTACATTACATTACATTACAGTATAATATAATAGGATTTTAACCTTTTTGGCTCTACTGCCCTGAAGAACTCATTTCTTCCCTTTGTATACGCTTTGTATTCTATATAAATCTACTCATACTCTCTCCCTCCCTTTCTAAATAAACATAGAATCAAAACCAAATCATAATACTAGTACTAATGCTAATACTAATACTAATAATAATCATAATCGTATTCTATTCTTAGACAACGGAGCACACAACAACCGAGAGATCCTTTTGTGCCACACGAGGCACATAATTTCAACTGCCCTTGGTCCGATATCCTCCTGTGGGTGAAATCTTCAACCGCTAAAATAGAACAAAATAAAAAAAAAATATCATACAGTGAAAATATAGTGCTAGATGGCTGGCTTCAAAACAGATTATCGGGATACAAACTACACATAGGCGGCTTTTAAATATCCAGAAAAATCACGCTTTCATTCTTGTTATAAGCACATTTGTGTTACACAGAATACAATAAATATTGAACTTTTTGGAATAGCCAACCAAACTGATAATTACGCTATGGATAGAAAAGACACCACAATGCTCTTTAAAGCAAATGACAAAAAAGCTTATTTAAAGCTACAAATATAGAGTACTGATACACTTTATTTTACTTTACATATATTTTGAAATAATAATAATGATAGGTTTGTAAACTTTCCTTAGGCAATTGTTAACAATAAAATTTGGCGCTATAATTTCTTTTTTATAGACATAAACCACAATGCCTTGTAGAGAGAAATAAATAACTCTGTCAAAGCCAGACTTTTATTTTACTGCGACGCCAAAGCAACATTTGTAGCAGCATTTTTGCGCGTGATTTACTGGCTGGAAAAGATCTTACAAAAAAAAACGATATAAAGCAGAAACACACCCGATAGCACCAGTGATTTAGTCACAGGAAGTAACGAAGACTTCTAGTTCATTAAATTTTAACAAGCTCATAGTATCTGTTCTGCATTCTGCAGATACTTTTCAAAAGTCCAAAAGAATGAACTTATTTAAAATACTTCATTTATCTACCAAGAAATGGCAATAATAAAAGTACATTTTGGTATTACAAGAAAAGAGAAAGAAAATGTCGTATTTTTAAAATTCAAAACACCTCCTGTTGGTATTTTATTTGCCGAGTATAATATTAAACGACCGAAACTTGGCACTGATTTCAATATATACAAATCTCAGTCTATTTTTTCTTAAATTCGATATATAGTAATAAAGATAAAAATCTGTAACAATCTTAGGCAGAGTAAAATGTAAGCTTTTTTTTTCTTTAAAAGAAGTATAGCCTTTCTTTTATTATCTAAGTTACCTTTTCTTATAAGCAAATTTATCATTACGAAATATAGGACGCCTTTACTTGATATAAAATTTTGCCTAAACCGATATGGGGGGTTTCTTTTTGTTTTATTGATATCGAGAATCAAAATACATTACATATATATATATATAAAATACAGTTAATATTACTATTAGTATTTTTAGAACTATACATCAACATATCCCTGCCTTGCTTTTTCTATTCTTGATCAATACAATCAATCGAATACTTAGATCTGTTTAAATAGCCAGGTAGATTTATATCTAAAAGCCTGCATCCTGTTTCTCCTTGTCATTTCAGCATATTGACAGCTCAAATATTGATGATTATATATCTGTACAAAAGATCTTATTTATTTGAACACTAATATTAATATTAGTATTAATAGTTCAATACGTACATGCGTTATAAATGCATCAAAAATAAAATAAAATGTAGTTATTTAAAGAGTCCCAAACAAGTGGCGAGACTATATTGACGCGTTCGACTGAAAATATATAGATCTTTCTCTCTTTCTCTCTCTGCGTGTATGTGTCTAATTATATATTTGAGAACATCTATATCGGTGCTACATTACGCAACATGAATAATTTTCTATTATTATTATTTTTGTGAGTGGTCTGTTTTTTAATGGGGTTGAAATCCAGAGCAAAATATTCAAGGTAAAATCAAAAGGTCATCGATTCTCTCGATTTTCTGTAGAGATCGATGTGATTTTTAGACTTTTTTTTTAAAAAAAGAAAAAATCAATACGTTAATACGTATATAAAACGTTAATGACCTTTCAGTATTTAAATATTTACACACCAATAAAGAGAAAGAGAAAGAGAAAGAGAAAGATTATCTTGTTGCAAATAAAGACTACATATATATATATATCCTTTTTATAAACAAGACAGAAAGGAAGAAAAGGGAAGAAAAGAAAAGGCAAAATTATAGACTTGATCTTCGCATTGCAGCTACCGGGCAGATTTATTATTCTTCGACACACCTTTACAAATAAAGTGGCATCGATCCCTCTCTTTCAAGTAAACAAGCATGCCTGCATCGTATTATTTTAGTCTCTTTCTTTCTTTCTTTCCTTCTTTCTTTCTTATTTAGAGCTCTTGTGAGCCAAGAAACAACAACAACAACAACAACAACAACAACAACAATAAAGGCAACAAGTTTGCATATGCTATTTCAATATCTTTGAATATCCAGAGAAAGAATCTTCTTTTTGTGAGTGAAAATTAGACATAAAGTAATGCAGTACCACAATAATGTTTCTGCCAATAACTAGCCTTCCCTCTCCAAAAAGAGAGAGAGAGAGCACCTTTTCAATTATGTAACTTCTTTCTTCTTTTGGTTTGCACTTTTAGATACTCCTTTCTCTCTCTCTCTCTCTCTCTCTCTCTCTCTCATAACAAGGTGACCTTATATATATATATATAAATTCCACATTTGAAACAAAGTGTAAATGTTCCTGGCCTTTCGATTAGTCGATTCTTTTTTCTCTATTCTTTATTCTTTTTTTTCTGTGACACACCAATGATCGGAACCAATGGAAACATGCCTCGATGCTTCTCATAATATATATATATACATTGGATGTCCGGTCCGCACGGATGCCGGAAGAAATCTGCCTTTACCTGCATCATTGACAAAAATCAATAATATTATCCCCTCAAGCCTATCCTGTTAATTCAATAATTAGGGCAATAAACAATTATTAAAGAATATTGTCTACTCTTTAGATATATATATACATTAATTTCTTTAGACAAAGGGTTTCTCTCCTCATACATCTTTCTCTTTAGCTTGGTATACAGAGCTTTATCCACAATTGCACGAACTGGTTTAGATAAAGGGTTCTGATTTTGTACATATACATATGTGTTATTTTATACTATTACCAAGTAAATAAGAGAAATACTAAAATAGATATATTAGATATCTATTAAATAATAGAAATGATAATGATAATATATCTGTATCTACAGTGTCCCTGGCAAGTGATTCTGACTAGACAACCCTCAATCCTAATATGTAATATGTTTAATGATTAGTACGATGGCGTGACTATTATAATCTACAAATATAACCATTGGATAAAGCGAAAATAAGGCAAAAATAAAAAGTCTTGGTAAAGACGGTACAAGACGAAACCAGGCTAAATGAGACTTTGTAGCCTTTAGATCACAGATAAAATAGCTCGCCAATTGTATAAATAAACAAAATAGTTATATGAAAATAGTAAAACCATTAAAACAATAATAAAGACTACCTTTTTTTTTGCAATAAAATTTACGTATATCACCAGATACGTTGCGTGTGTCTGTGTTAGCATTTATAATTGGTTGTGGCTGTAGATGGTCACCATGGCTCCTTAATGAGTCGAATGAAGATACCCCCCACTCCCTCATTATTTCTCCTTCTCAAGCCACGATACACAGGCTAGTATAGGCATCTAATATCTTATTGGAATTCAAATGAAGAAAGAACGAAACAAAGATAGAGATAGAGAAGTCTGGCAAATGATTAAGAACATGACAAGCACCTTAAGAGTTCATACATACTCTAGTTACTCACATGCTATCATATATATATGTGATAGTACTACTGATCAATTCTTGAAAAAACTTTTGCACGGATAATAAATTCGATAATTTTCATCCAAGACGGACAAGGGCTGGTGGTTATACTAACCAAGGTCACCTGAATAGACCAGTCCTTTAATACTGTTGTATAGTATATATCAGTTGTAACAAATTATTCCAAGAATAGTTATGGAGATAAAACAAGACCTGAGATTGTTTATTAATGTGTCTTATTGATAAACACAATCAAAACTGCGATGTCGCCTAGGATTTGGGTATATAATTTCTTTAAAAAAAAACACCTCTAATAAAAAACCTATGAGGTAAATTATTAAATTATTAAATATCGCCTCTTACTTTATATACGTATATACCAAAATTTAATAGATATACACAAAATAACGGAAACATCTTGGTAATAGATACTAAATAGAGGATATTTGGATATGTCAATAGAATATTTCTGCTGTCTTTACAGTTAATAAAGCTATTTTCTACGCAGAATAAGCTTATCTTGTTAAGTAGAATTAACCTTTTTTCATTTACTTTCTTTATTTCAAGATTCTGCAGCTCATTATACAGGTATATTTTTTTTAAAAAAATGCTTTTGGTACTTTAGATGCTTCAGTCACTTCAAGCATATCAGATACATCAGGCACATCAGGCACATCAGGCACATCAGGTACAACAGGGATATTGATACTCCTATTACATCCCAGTCATTATAATCTTTGAACTTTCAAGCTGTATCAACTTGGCATAGTAACCATAGTAACTTTTCTGAACGGTTTACACTTCAAATTCATTGTTTTATATCTAATTAAATACACAAGACTTAGTTTTACTAAAATACAAAACTCAAACCAACGCACACAAATTGAAAGGAAAAGAAAAAAGGCCTGCGCTAGTAAAATATTTTTCAAATAATTTCTTTAACCCAAAAATATGGTTTTTTTTGTTTGTGTGATATTACTTAATTTGATACCATTTTTGCAAGTAGCTACTACTACATGTAATCTCCGATACTGCAGGCGACTTTACATTATAACTTACTTTTATAAATAAGTAGATACTTAGAAACAGTACAAAAGAAATATAGCGTAGAAATGCTTAGAAAATACGCAGAATCTTACATTCAAGATGACATTAAGCAAATTCAATTGCAATCTTAATGCCAAATGTACGTTGAAAATATTCTTAACAAAGTCGGACCTTAAAACGAATGCTCTGACCTTTAATAGCTTACATCAGAAAAAAGAAAGAGTGATTCTAAATATATATATTTATGATTTCCTTTACGTCACCATTGGTGCAAATAGTACGTAAAGTTCGGTTCAATGACAGTTTTTTTTTCTTTTGCTTTTTTTTATATTTTATTATACATATTCTTATTCGCTCACCGAATTAGAGAAACTTTCTTTGGGGTACTCTAATGAGCGAATTCAGTGAAAAACGTGACGAGTACAATTATACTCCAGAGGCTGAAGATGAACACAGCAACCAACATTTGAATGAAAACACGACAAACATGGATGATACAAAAATGGAATTTGTAAAGTCAACTACTGACATTCCATCAACAGAAACAGTTCCAATGGCAACAGACGAAAATATAGAAAACGTAGAAGAAGAAACACAAGTAGAAAAAGAAACACAAGTAGAAGAAGAAAATGAAGCAGAAAGAACAGCAGAGCCAGAGCCGGAGCCGGAGCCAAAGCCAGAGCCAGAGCCAAAACCAGAAGCAGAAACAGAAGCAGAAACAGAAGCTAAAGCAGAGGAAAAAGCAGAAGCAGAAAAAGAAAAGGAAGAAAAACCAACAGTAGCTCATGAGGCAGTTGATTCCCAATCTGCAGCAGCAGCAGCCGCAGAAGCACGTTCAAAAATGGAAGAAGAAGCGAGAAAATACCTTTTAGAACAAACCGTGGAAGTTACCGTACCTACCTATGCATCCTGGTTTGATGTCAATACAATCCACAACATTGAGCGTGTATCTCTTCCAGAGTTCTTTACTGGAAGAAACAAATCAAAGACACAAAATATTTATCAGGATTATCGCGACTTTATGGTGAATACCTATCGACTGAACCCAAAAGAATACTTAGCTGTAACTGCATACAGACGGCATCTTGCTGGTGATGTGTGTGCCATTATGCGAGTTCATGCTTTCTTGGAACAATGGGGTCTCATCAACTACGAGGTAAAAAAAAACGCAAACTAAAAACAAATTACAATTGGGATGAGGATTCCCTTTTGTTATTTTGTTCTTTCCAACGAATGTGTTTAATTAAATGAAATGAAATCCAAAAAAAAAATCATTTTTTTTTAAAAATTATTCTCTTTTTTTAATAAAAAAATAGTGTGATCCTGCAACATGGCCATCAGCAGTAGGTCCCCCTTTCACAGGCCACTTTAGGGTTACGGCAGATACACCACGAGGACTTCAACCTTTTAAGCCAAGCATTAAACCCACCGCTACAGGAAATGAGGAGAAAGATGCCGCAGGAGATTTGGGTATGAATGTGAAGCTGAGACAGGAGTTGTTTGATTCCGTAACTGAGGAGCCAGAGAAACAGTATTATTGCATTACTTGTGGTGCCGAGTGTGGGCGGGAGAGATATCACAGTTTAAAGACAAAAAATATGGAGCTGTGTCCTATCTGTTACAAGGAAGGCCGCTTCCCGGCTACAGTATTCAGTAGTGACTTTATTAAGGCTGAACCAGCTGCATTCAAACACCCTCACGAGGACGACTGGACTGACCAGGAAACGCTATTGCTACTGGAGGCGATCGAATTGTTTGACGATGATTGGAATGCAATCGCAGAACATGTCAGCACCCGTACCCGCGAGGAGTGTATCATGCACTTTTTACAATTACCCATCGAGGAACCCTACAGATCTTCCCTCCCAACCTCTGTAGCCATCGAACATCAACGGACACCATTCTCGCAAGCAGACAATCCAGTCATGTCTATCTTGGCTTTCCTTGCTTCTGCTGTAGATCCTGAAGTGGCTACCGCTGCAGCCAGTGCAGCTATTGAGTGCCAGGAGCAACTCAACAATAGGAATAAACGCAAAACCCTTGACAACGACGGTGATGTTGAAATGGGCACAGATCAAGACGGGCGTGGAGACACAACAGTAGATAAGAAGAAGGCACGGACGTCAATTGAAAAGGCTGCCGCTGTTGCTCTCGGATCAGCAGCAGCCAAGGCCAAGTCGCTTGCCAGTATCGAAGAGCGTGAGATCCGACGACTTGTACATGCGGTGGTTGACACAGAAGTCAAGAAGCTAGAGCTAAAGATGAACCATTTTGATGAACTTGAGGCTGTCTTGGAAAGTGAATTAGAGCAGATCTCACAGCAGCGCCAGGACATCTTTATCCAGCGCCTTGCTGTCAAGAAAACATCAGTACTCTTGCAGGACGAACTTGACAAGAAGGGTGGTGTGGTTTCTGCAGTTGAGTCTGGTTTGACGCAAGCACAGCTCCAACAGTTCGTTAGCAACAACCTCTTGAAAGAACACTACCGGCTGGTTGACTTTCAAGCATTGTCAGAAAAGAGTCTCGCCCATCCTTCCAATAATAAGAACAAGAACTCCACAGGAAACAACTCTTCTGATAAATTGCAAGAACAACCGTCAATCCTGTCACTTTGAAAACAAAAAACAAAAAAAAACTCCTAAAAACAACAACCTATAACTATAACTATAACTCATTTACATCGTATCGATGTCTTTCTCCATTTACTTTTTTTCTTTACGTCTTTTCTTTCTTTCTTTCCTTCCTTTCTGTTGTGAGCTAACAGCAATAAATCGCATATATATTTGTACAGAAAAAAAACACATACACCAGCCACAATCACAATCACACTCACATTCACAAGAGCAACAAAGAATATTAGGTTTGGATAATATTAATAATATTAATAATAAAAGTAAGATATTAGTTTGGATGCCATGGCTTTATAAATAGGCCTATCTGTTTGAATTCATAATATACCTTTTGTCATTAATCACCTGAACAGTAATTCAGTACAAATATGTATATTGTATATTATATGATTTCAAAAAAAATGTACCAAACAACAATAATTTATTAAAAGGATTTATGTATACAAATTCGTGGTAGTATTATTCAATATATTATTCTTTATTACCTTTACAAGGTTCGAATCAATCTTAATTCTTCTCTGAAAATTTGAAGTCATTAAATTTCAAAAAAAAAAACACATTTCAACCATAAAATTAACTCGAGAAACCAATTATTTATGCACTACTTCTTGTCGCGTCAGTCGATTGGCCAAGCGTAGAAAGGAGAGCCAAATAAAGTAACCACCCGGAATCAGAGCACAGTCTATATATATACATATATAGAAAAATAAAAAGAAGAGACCAGTGCACAATGGGCTTCAAAAAGCCTACAATGTTGCTAAGTCATGTGACTCTCGTTTGAGGGAATGAACGTATTCTAATTTTTTATTTTTTTCCTCATAAATTTTCATTCACGCTAATATTTTTGTTTGCAAAGTGTACATTTGGCACCATTGGAAGACACGACAAAGATGAAGACAGTAGACACTAAAGGTCGTAATGACACCAAAGAAATTTCCCAAACAAAAAATAACAGCCACAACAACAGCTATAACTTCTACAACAACAACAACAACAAGAATAGCACAGAAGATATTACAGAGGCAGCCTTTGTAAATGCAGCAAATAGCAAGGTTGTGTCTCTTTTGGCAAAAGAGGCAGGATTCAACTCCGTACAACGATCTGCACTTGACTCTCTCTCAGACATATTAGGAATCTGTGAGTTCTTAGACAAACGCAAAAGAATTGTTGAGGACTCATTGCGAATGTCACACACACAAACACATACACACAGATCTCGAAAGAATTCTTTATTCATCTCACACGTATGCAGAGCTTGGGAATCGCATGAGACCCAATTATCATGATGTTGAACAATCCCTCAAGGATGAAGGACTTCCCATGCAAAACTTTGAGAAGTACTTGGAGAAAACAAAAGCAGACAAAACATTGGGTACAAAAATAAAAATAAAAATAAAAAGAGTTAAAGGGAAAGAGAGGGAGATGTTATTGATTTTGCTATATCTCTCTCTATATATACATTTAGTATATATAAAAAAAAAGTCGAAGCATATTTCTAATCTAGAGAACTCTGTTAAATAGTTAAACCTGCGAAACGAGTATTACGTATTGAACGCTCAAAGTCCCAAAATATGGATCAAACATCACACTTTCTCCCGTCTGAAGATGAAGACGAGGATGAATTTTCAGATGAAAGAAGAGAGTCTTCTGGTCAAGATCTGCCGTCTTATGTGCCTTCTCACTTGCCACGTTTCCCAAGTAAACACTCTTTTCGACAAACACCTGTAAGGATCCAACTTTAAGCAAAAAAAAATTTAAAATATGAAACCAGGGATTCTTAGCACACAAATATTTACATGCATACATATATGTATTTGTGTGTACAATAGGTATATATACAACGTCCGGATGATCCACAAAAGGTGCGCGCGCTCAATTCGCAGCAGTCTCGTACGGTGGAAGAGAACTTGAAACGCTTGATGTCAGCCGAGAACCAACACGGGTTACATACAGATGATCGCAAGGATTCTATAGCATCCGGAAGCACCGTTGCTATGCCACTGGTGAATTATGAAAACTCTATGCAAAGAAGAGCGAGGGCAAAACAATCGGGTTTCTCAGACTTCAGGGCAAGTGGCAGAAACAGTTACAGTGGCGATAAACCGGTTATACCATTGAAGCGTTTTTCAGATACGCTTGATAGCCCTCCAAAAGATGCCCGCAAAAATGTTGGGCCTGTAAATTGATGAGCAAGATTATATTTTATGCGTACGTGCGTACCTTTGTTTGCTTGATCTTCTGCCATAATAAATATAATATATGTAAAAGGTATTCTCTCTCTCTCTTTCTCTATCTATCTGTATGTATATTCAGCAATCCAGTTCAAATTTTAATTAGACTACATTTAATGAAAGCAAATAGGTAGGCTGAGATGCCTGGCACAAATAAAACTCTCAGGCATTTTTTGCTTATGTATGTATATTAAGCATCTAAAATCAAGAATTGAAATATATCGGACTTGTCAAGAAGAAACCTTGTTCTTTTAAATCTCAAAGAAAAAAGAGGGAAAAGAAAACAACCCAATAAATAATCATTCATATATATATTACTTTCATTCTTCCTTTCTTCCTTTCTGCTTTTTATGGTGGTTGTCTGAGATAAGCGCAGTTTCTCTATTGTAACGCTTAAAAGATTATTTTAATTTCTTATTTCCTGGTCAGAATCTGGATTCAATCTAAGAGTAAGATTTCCTATTGTTCCCTTATATATATATATATATATCAGTTATCAAGAATTTACAGCGTTTAGTAATAACAGCAATTTTCGTTATGAGACTATATCTCTAGCTAGAATATCAAAAGGCTGGACTGAGCACAAGATTACATTAGATATGAGTTTGATGATTCAAATCACAATGTACAACAAGTGTAGCTGTGTACCAAGATTATCACTAACTTTACAATACGTCTTTCAAGACAGATAAATATATAAAAGCCATTGGAGAATATTATGCTTGTCTTGTGAATACTGTATCACAAGTCTGCTATTGTTATCAAGGTTCGTCGTGTACGCTTCAAAAAGGGGAGAAGAAGTAAATTAAAATTTCTCGTAAAATAAAGCCGACCAGTTTTGTGGATAAATAAATAAAATAGACTTTTGGACCATTTGAGTTTTTTCTTTCTTTCTTTATCTCAATACATTTACAATAAATGGAATAGAATATACCTCTTCATAATCACTCTACTTTCTTGATAACTTCTTAGGGTACGTATATATATATATATATATATATATATATATGCATTCATTATACTTTATAAATAAAATAAAATAAAGTAAAACTAATTTGGTAAAATCAGATATACATTTTTACGGAAACAATATTTTGCCGAATTAAACTGCGTTATTGGCTTTGAATAAATATATCTTTAATTTTTTATTTTTTTATTTTTTTTAAAAATATATAAATATGAGATATTTTGTAGAGAAGCAACGTAAGAAAATAATAGTTAAAATACAACAAGAAAGCTCTTTAGAATATGCGATGTTATAAACAGAAAACACAATACTTTAGATATATATATCCCAACTGTAAACAATAATTGAATTTAGAGGTAGTCATGGTGATGTTGTTGTTGTTTATGCTACAGGAGCACAGGCTGTAAACATTAAGCTCAGATGAGGCTGGTGATGTGTTGCGCAAAAAAAAAACCAGAAGAAATTCAAACGGTATGTTCTCTCAGCACCACCAATTGGAAACCAAAGAGCTTCTTAAATATATACCTGTGTGTCTACTATGTATTCTTTTTCTTTCCTTTTAATGAGATATGAACTAAGACTTGGTGCATGGTTACAGGCGGGGTTTAATCACATGATTTGATTACTTCACTGTTTGATAGGCTGAAATCCCGGGACTTCACGTGCAGGGCTACAGACACGTTCCGATTGCCTACAGATCTTAAAGAGCGGATGTGGGGTTGGGCAACCAAAGGCAGATCGGACTGTGTTTATTGTAAAAATAATAATAGAATAAAGAAGCAGCCGGGCCTGAACCTTGTACAAAAAAAAAACAAAAAAGACACTAGCAAATAATAATAGAAATAAAAACGCATTGGAACCTTAATATCGGACAGCGAATAATGACTCAAAGGAGAATACAGCCATAGACAGCCATTAACCAAGAAGGAGTTAAACATGTATAACATGTATACATGTATTTATATTTATACACACACAAACACAAGCACACCCAGCCAGTCGGTTAAGTAGTCAGTCAGTTAGTCAGTCAGTCAATCAGCCAACCAGCTAGCTAGCCAAGCAGTCAGATTTTTTTTTTACAATCCTGACTCACCTCCTTTGCTTATTTTTTTTCTCTCTCGCTTCCTTTCTCTTCCTCTTCTTCCTCTTCCTCCTTCTCTCTCCCACTTTCTCTGATATGGCACAACAAGAGGAAAAGACCAGCCTCGGCATGACCGATTACTACAGAAAGGTCTTCCAGAAGCACGCCTCGGTTCAAAAAGAGGATGGTAAATACATGTCCCAGGATGATTTTTTGGACGCTGTGGCTCCCGGAGAGGACTTTAAGAAGATTCAACGCGAGCAGTTTGGCCTTCTCTACAAGATCGCCGACCAGTCCAAGCGCGGCCTCATCTCGTTCAATGACTTTGTCATCTTCCAGAATCTCCTGAGCAAAGCTGATGCCGAGTATGAAGTTGCATTCCGTGTGTTCGATGTCAATGGCACCGGCAAGATTACCTTTGACCAGTTCAAGTCCGTTCTCTCTACCAACCTCCCCGAGGATGCCGTTCCTTTTGATTTCGACTGTGACTGGCTCAAATTGTATATCGGTAACAAGGAAGGCCATCACGAGCTGGCTTATGAGGAGTTCGCCCAGCTTCTCAAGGGTCTCCAGGGTGAGCGTCTTCGCCAGGAGTTTAAGCACTACGACAAGAAGCAGGCAGGCTACATTGCACCCGAGGACTTCAAGCGTATCATCCTTGACGTGGCCAAGCACAAACTGTCTGACCAGGTCATCGACCACTTGCCTACCCTCTGCAATCTGTATGCCGGCACAGGTACCAACATCAGCTTCTCCAACGTAGTCGCCTTCCACAATGTGATCCGTAACATCGACATGGTCGAGCTTGTCATCCGCCGTGCCATCGAAGAGAGTTCAGAGAAGAGCATCACCAAGTCTGATTTCTTGCGTCAGGCTGCCCAGGCCAGTCGGTACACCATCTTCACTCCCATGGAAGCTGACATAATTTTCCACTTTGCTGGCGTTGACAACGCCTCGGGTAAGCTCACGCTTGAAGAATTTTCCAAGATTCTTGACCCTCGCTGGAAGGTCGCTAAGCCTCAGCCCGAGGCCATGGATACACACGATGCCAAGGACAAGAACAATAAGAAGAAGAGCGGATTTTTGTGGAGTTTGGTAGAGAACAGCTATGCATTTGCCCTGGGTTCAATTGCTGGTGCCGTGGGTGCAACTGCTGTCTATCCCATCGATTTGGTCAAGACCCGTATGCAGAACCAGCGTTCCAAGGTTGTTGGCGAACTTCTTTACAAGAACAGTTTGGACTGTTTCAAAAAGGTCATCAAGAATGAGGGTGCCATTGGTCTTTACAGAGGTCTTGGTCCTCAGTTAGTTGTAAGTATATAAAAAAATATTAGAATGGGAAATATTACATATTATAGTGTGTATACTTATTGACGTTCTTATTATAGGGTGTTGCTCCTGAAAAAGCCATCAAGCTTACCATGAACGACTTTGTGAGAGGAAAGTTTATTAACAAGGAAACTGGCGAAATTAAGTTCTGGCAGGAGATGATTGGTGGTGCTGCTGCTGGTGCCTCCCAAGTGGTGAGTTTCAAGGATACCTTTTTTTTTTAAAAAAAAAGATATCCGTGTGGCTATTAGCTTGTTTTAAGAATTAAGGAATCAAACTTTCTGAAAATTTTCTGTACCTACTAGGTCTTTACCAACCCTCTTGAGATCGTCAAGATTCGTCTTCAGATCCAGGGTGAGCAGGCCAAGATGGCAGACGTGCCCCGTCGCTCGGCCATCTGGATTGTGAAGCAGTTGGGTGTTGTGGGTCTTTACAAGGGAGTCAGTGCTTGTTTGCTCAGAGATGTGCCTTTCTCCGCCATCTATTTCCCTGCGTATGCCCATCTCAAAAAGGATGTGTTTAAGGAGGGCCCTGACCACAAGCTGACTATCACCGAGTTGCTTACTTCTGGTGCAATTGCTGGTATGCCAGCTGCTTACTTCACCACACCTGCCGATGTTATCAAGACGCGTCTCCAGGTCGAGGCACGGAAGGGACAGACTTCTTACAACGGTATTGCCGATGCTGCCCGCAAAATCTACGCTGAGGAGGGATTCAAGGCCTTCTTCAAGGGCGGACCTGCAAGAATTTTACGATCATCACCTCAGTTTGGTGTCACATTGACTGTGTATGAGCTCTTGCACCAGCTTATTCCCCTTCCTGGAAGCGCTCCCCACAACACACCTGGACCTGTCCTGGCAACTGACGAGTCTAGAGACAATGCCTCTATCCGTTCAAGAAATGGTCTCAAGATGTTGTTGGACTTGGACTACAGATTTGGTGTCTACAATAACCAGCCTGCTGCTGCCGTTGCTGCTGCATGTCCTTATGTTCCCAGCCCCGCAACAGAAAAGGCGTAGATTTTTTTTATATTATTATTTTTAGGATTCCTGTGTTATTTTCTTCCTTTTTTTTTGTGTGTGTGTTTTATTTCTTTTTTGTGCTGTTCTTGTTATTCGAAACATCTCTTTGGACGCCCTATTCTGGAGCCCTTTACCTTTTTTTCTCTTCTCCTTCCTCAACATTTTTTTTTGCTTTCACTGCGTAGATTTATTATTACCATGTCACTACTCCTCTATAGCTTATGAATAGAAACTAAAAAAAGTAAAACTAAAACTAAAACAAAATATTGTATATTCCCAGTTATTCCCAATTTGCAATGTACTCTAGATAAAAACAGGACACGCATATTATTTTTGGCTTTACTTGTTTTTTTTTTGTACAAATGGTGACGGAGCTTTATACATTTACAGACATTTGTCCGAAACGCGCTCTCATAATCCCCAAAAACCAAAAACCTTGACAAAAACGGTGTGGATCGTTTAGAAGTTATCCCACGTTTAAAAATATATATATTTCTTTTAGTCTAACCGCAAAACTAGCTTTAATTTCTAAATAGTGCATAAATTATATGGATTTTAAATAGTTTCTAAAGAATTGATAAATTCCACCTTAAAAAGGTACAACCAAAAAAAGAAAGAAGGAAATATAAAAAAAAGGGTGTCTAGCAGAGCCCCCGCGCCTATACAGCCGTACTGAACCAATCAAAACAGAAAACATTGGACCATCCTCTTTGTTACTAACATATCTTCATCTATTTATCTCTTTTGTTTCGTTTATAAAACATCTTCATAACCAAGTGATGCTCTTACTAGTACACACAAGACGCGTCCAGAAAATAATAATATATACAAAATTGAAGTGGACACAGTTACTAAGCTTTATTCTGATGATCTTTTTTTTTTGGCTTGTGTCGCCCTTCCGAGAATTGTCTTATTTGTCTGTCCTACAGCTTACAAAAAAAACCAAAAAGATTGGTGTTACCATAAAAGTGTACACGTTGTTTCGCGTAGATCTTTCAAGCCAATACCATCAAGTCTACAAACAAAAAAGATTAAAGTAAATGAAAAAAAAGACTCGTTTGGAGATATTTAACATTATATAATTGACAGGGTTTACTACTTCCCACACAGTTTTGTAGGTTAATTCCATTTTCTTGGTCATTTTACTGTCATCAATGCGTTCTTTTTTTTTATAAAAAAATGATACCTTGATATATTGCTTTTGTAGTATCCATAGAGTATTTACTTTTTGTAGCTTGCCTAAATTGTCTTGCACCGTTTACTTGGCATTTTGTTCTTGATAGGGTAAAATATTATACCTTTTTTTTCGCACTAAGTTCGATAGCTGTATTCGGTGAAGGGAATTTTCCCTTTTTCTCTTTCTTTTTGCTATATATATTGGTGTTCCTAGATAAAGATAAAGGTAAAAATATAAATATAAATAAAACTATAAAATATAAAGTTATCTGGGCTGCAGCCAGCGTGTACTAAATTTTGTAGGGCACAGCATATCAAAGAGTCAAGGTAATCGCCATAAACTTTGCGGTTTACAATTTAGCCTTTTGATTGCACAATTTCTCATCTCGTGTGGCAATATATATAATATATAATATCTTATTTTTTCTGTAACCAGCTCCCCACCTTACTATTATGATTATTACTATTACTATTATTATTTTACAGAAATTCAAAGTACCTTTTATAAACATATCCAAAAGGTTCAATAACAGAAATAAACAATTCTATTTAAACTCTCTCTTTTTTTTGGAATATAAAAAATAACCCGCCTACTTGGAGTAATTATTATGCCATTAGAACAACAGCAATTTCTTTACACAAAATCATTGTACCTAAAACTGGTCTTAAGATCTTAAGATTCTGAATTGTATTTGTATCTTGAGGATATTTCAGCAAGATCTTTAATTCTTTATAAATTGTACTGAAAATATACTAGATGCTTACGGGAAGATATAGCTAGATTTTTTATTTGAAGCTTTTAAGAGAGATATATATGTATGAAGATATTGTATCTAGTGATTCTAGCGTCAATTATATACAAGTTAGCATACATACATTTATTTTATATACTGGCTTTGTTTGCAAATAAAAATACAAAAGCTATTGATAATACTAATATTAACAATATTTGGCTAATTTCTTATGTTTAAAATTCAACAAAAAAAGGGAAGAATGGTAAAAAATTAATGCACCTAAATAAACTTTTCTTTCCTTCCTTTTCTTTTCTTCTTGAAACTCAGGAAATCTAAAGTCACCAAGACAAATAATTCCTAGTGATCAAGTCTAAATCTATTACTGCGATGAGTAACACATCAATCGAATTCCTTCATTTCATTCCTCAGGGACAATACGAACCAGATATACAATTGGATTCCTCTATAAATAACCAGAGTACAAATAGCGAAATATATACTCTCCCTCCCTCTCAACAAAACTACAGTGAGTAAAAATAAAATAAAGAAAAGAACCCTCCCATTTGTAATGAGTTGAAAACATTAATCTTCATTACCTTTACACAGCATCAAATTCAAAGACCTTCTCACAGGAAAGCCAAAAACTAACAAACAGCAATGATGAAGCTAGCTATAACAATGCAAGTAATCATATATTGTAACGTTTCTATTTTCACAATCATCATTCCGAATGATAGTACTGGATCTCATCCATTCCCGTCTAGATTCCTAGTGATCCCAAATTAAAACGGAAGCTGCAGAACAGAGAATCACAAAGGGCATCACGTAAACGTAAAGATGTCTATATGAATGAGCTCCAAACAAAACTCCAAACTTTCGAAGATTCCAAGGCAGAATCTATGATTAAGGCACAAGAGGATAATGCTAAACTCAAGAAGATGGTAGAACAACTACGAGTAACAAAGACTGCCTTGGAAAACAAACTTTCTAGCTTATTTGGTCCTAACTCTTTCAAAGATTTTATGAAAAAGAAATCAACCCCACCTTCCACTCCACCTGCCATTTTCGCATCCAGTTCAACCCTTATACAGTCACCAATGCCAAACAGTAGTTTCAGCACAGACCAAGAGAACGATGATCCTCAAATGTATTTCTTACCACGAAAGAAACCCAGTGAAGAGACAGGCGAGCTTGTCATGCCAACAGACCCAACGTCTCTTCATCCAATATATTCCACAACCCCTCGTCCTAAAGAATTAGTAGAATCCTGGGAAAGGTTTTCAAAGCATCCTCGGTTTGATGATATCGATTTGGATTTTGTGTGTACTGAGATGAAGAAAAAGGCTCAGATCACAGATCACAATGAGAAGTTGAATTCTATTATAGAACTTCATTATCCAGCCTGATACATATACATATAATTAATTAATTAATTAATGATAATGCTGTATTTATTGAAGAATAACAAATTAATATATATTCTTATATATAAAGAACCAATTTAAGAAGTCATGATAGAAATGCCCATGATAATGCAAGCAAGAGATACATAAGGGCTCAACCTCTCGCCTACACGAGATGCTTTCCAAAACAGACCCAATACACTATATAAAGATATATATATATATATATTGTAACCGATAAAGTCAGCAAAAATAACGAAGCATTTTTTTATCTTCATTTTCTAAATAATGAACGCATACCCAGTTTTGTTGCGGTCCATCAAAGAAGGAGCCTGAGCTCTAACATATGTACATGTACAGATCAAGAGCAAGACTACGAGAAGAAGAGACTGAAAGTTGAAGATGGCAGACTAAAAGGGAGCAAGATTTGAGTTAAATGTCATGCTGATGGCTTCACCATCCAAATTACCATCAATCACGCGAGAGAACACACACACAAAAAAAAATGCGCTTGTTAGAAGGCGAATCTTTATTGGCTAAGTCGGCCTCACCCAAAAACACTTGGCAACGGTCATGACGCATGTGCATTTAAATACCAGCTCTCTGCACTTTTCATTTGTGGAACCACCGAGAGCGTGCTTCTCTTTATTACATTCTTTACAACTCATGAGTAATACTCTCCAACCCTCATGGGATGCCTCCCTGAATCCCGAGGAGCGTACCCAATACAACAAGCTATTTGATTCTACCAGTACAGACGGCCACACTATCACCGGTGAGCAGGCCGCTGCTCTCTTCGCTCACTCCAAACTCTCTGCTCAGGCACTAGGACAGGCAAGTAGATAGAACAATAAGACCATCAAGTAATCTTAGTCTCACTTTGATTAACAATATGTCTTTAGATATGGGATATTTCAGACGAGAGAAATGCAGGGGTCCTGGATAAGCAAGGGTTCTTTATTGCTCTCAAACTAATTGCCTGTGCACAGCATGGTATTCGACCATCTGCCAAAGCACTCTCTTCAAGTAATATACCTCGTTTTACTTGTATTTTATACCAATCATTGGCCTACCGTCTTGATTGGCCGCCCATACTAACGATAAAGCATGTTTCACTCAGAGACGCCGCTACCAATGCTCCAACCGGACACCCACGAGACAGCCCAAGATACAGATGTCATCAGCCCAAGTGACCGCATTAAATATGTGCGCATATTCAAGGCACTTGAACCAGTCAATGGGTTCATCAGGGATGAAAAAGCAAGAACTGTATTCATGCGATCCAAATTGCCTGGAGGAACACTGGGCCACATCTGGTAAAGCAATAACATTACTAATTATTCGTTAAATTTTTTTGTTGTTGTTGTTTTTCCATTATATACACACACATTTATTTAATTATTTAATAGGAATCTTTCCCACAAGAACCAGTCAGATTTGATGAGCCAGTCTGAATTTGTAATTGCTATGCATTATATTGCTCGTTGTATGGCCGGTGTGAAACAGTTACCAGATGTAATTCCTCAGTCTGTGATCGCTTCTGCAAGCAGTAAACCTCCCCCTCCCCCTAAGCGTAAGGAACGCCACTCAATGATCCAGCCGAAAGAGGTATCAAGTCCCAAAAAAGAGACCTCTCCGCGGTCTGTTCCAAAGCCACCAGTACCATTGATGAAAATGAATGAACCCTGGAATGTGGATGCAATTGAAAAAGAACAATACAAAGTTGCTTTTGATAAGCTAAATATTAACAATCGAGAGTACATTGATGGTGAGTTTGTGTTTCTTTTGTTTTTCATTGAAATTAACAACAACAAATATTTATTATGCAAATGCAATACATTTAATTAAATAGGATCTGAAGCTGTAAACTATTTCAAGAGTTCACACTTGTCAGAATCAGAGCTTGGCTTAATATGGGACTTGGCAGATACACAAAACAGGGGTTGTTTGTCACTCAAAGAATTTATAATTGCCATGCATCTCATCAGAGTACGAAAAGAAGGCTACGCTATTCCTCCCAAACTTTCAGATTCTCTTCTTGCTTCTGTAGAAGACTTGGATAGGGGTATGTTAAATCTGCAGATCCATTTATAACAAATATAGCAGGAATTAATTAAGTTTTTGTTTCATTTTAGTGTCTAGCAGTAAAAGAGTAGAAATCCCAATTCCAGGTATACATCGATATATATATATAGTATTTATTTTTATAGCCAAAAAAGTAAATGCATTCTAACTATATAATAATCATTATGTATGATCTAATAGAGCAACCAACGATTCCAGAGGAGCCAGAGATTGAAGAGACAACCGACTCAGATAGTGAAACTTCAGAAGAGGAGGATAAAAAACATACTACAGAACAACTAGTTGCTGCTCCTTTGCCAACCACCAATTTGCCTTTGTCTGACGAGCGAGACAGATCCAGGATTGTAGATCATTCTTCAAAATTAGATGAGGAAAACTCCGAATTATCAAACCTACAAACCTCTCTTGATCAAACAAGATCTAGAACTGCCCATCTTTTGCAGAAGGAAGGAGATCTTATCGAAGACTTGAAAAGAGTTTCGAGCGAGAAGATCAGAGTTCAAAAGGAACTCGAGGAAGCAGAAAATGAAGAGCGTGTACTCCAAGAGAGAATATCTACTTTGGAGAAAGAATGCGAAACTATGAGAACAGAGCTTGCTTTGATCTCAAAGGCTTCCGAAGACCAAGAAATTAAAACCGGGGAAAGACAAAGTGAATTATTGGCTGTAAAAGACAAACATACTTCATTAAATGCACAGTTGGAGAAAGCCCATGCCCATGAAAGTACTTCTTCCAAGACAGGTATAAGTTTCTAAATTCATTACTGAAAATATTTACTGATTGTTTTTTTTTAAAAAAAAAACAGTAGATATTGTATCCCCCCCTACCCAAAAAGCAACCCCTCCTCCCCCTCCCCCTCCAAAGAGCCGGATGCAGCGCAACTCAAGTATACTTGGTGAAGGTCTCACCAAATCTCAGAGCGTACGAAGAAGAGCACCAGCACCTACACCAATAAAAAGGCAACCATCATCCGTAAAGTCTCCCCAAGCCGAGGAAGCATCGGCAAAATCTGATGAGAGCGTACTTGGAAGCACGTTTGCTCCTGTTGCTGCGGCAGCGGCAACTGCTACCGCAGCTTTTGCTACAGCAGTGTCATTTATAAATGGCGAAGATAAAGATGAAGAGGTTAGCCGAGAAATTGAGAAGAAAGATGCAGAGCCAAGTGCTGAACCCAGTTCGACTGAGCCAACACAGACCACCAAGGTTGGGCCAATTCAGTCCCAAGCAAAGTTAGCCGAAGAACCCAAAACTGAATCAGCTCAAAAACCTCAGTTTGATTCAGTCCAGACACCTCAGGTTGTTCCAGTCCCTGAATATCAGGTTGAATCAGCTCAGGTTCCACAGGTGGAGCTTAATTCAATCCACGAGTCTTCAGTAGATCCTTTTACTTTAAACAATGAGACAAATCAAGCTACTGATGCTGGTGACACTTATCCGGATAAAAATATGCAGGAAGTTGACGATCATGCCGTTGAAACTGCAGCTGATAATAGACATACCATGACAGAGGATGAAATTTCTGCTGGAAGTATTAGTGAATTGAGACAGGAAGAAAGTAACGAGCAGCCACAAAAATCTGAAGATCGTACCGAAAATTTGCCTTTAAAGGAGACTGCCCTTGAACAAAACAACATTCACCAAGACGTTATTGGGGGACAAAATAGCGTCCAAGAGGAGCCTGTGCCAAAAGAAATTCCTGTCGAAGTCTTCCCTGTCACTGATGATGATACTGAAAATAAAATTTTAAACATCCAGCCTATCGAAAACACAGAAAACGTGGATACACCAACACCTGCAAATATCGATTTTGAGCAACCTAGTGGTGTAACATACCAGAATAATGATGTGCTCCAAGAAGATGAGCTTCCGGTCCGTGAGCCCACGATCGAAAAAGGCGCTACATCTACTGTGTACCCCCCTGCAGAAAGCTCCTACAAAACAAACAGTGTATACACAGATTCTAACCAATATTCCGATAATGTACCGCAGAGCTACATGGAACAAACCACTCCAGAAGAATTGGGTTCTCAACAAACAACTATTCTTGATGACAAGCCTGATGTGAAGAATGACCACGTTTTAGCTGAGCCTACTTCTACTTCAAATGTAATTAAAGATGTTTCTAGCAATTCTAGCATTACATCGGAAGAGTCTGACGAAGAAAGCATCGCTTCAGAAGATAAGCCCCTTTCTAATGAAATTGGCACTTTTGGAGTATCAAACACTTCACACCATGACTCAGAAAATATTGATCAAAACGACACTCTTCCTGCGTATACAGCAGATACCTCAAATGATTCGATTGCTCCACAAAATATGCTGATTAAAGAAGTATCTTCTGCAGATAATTCGTCGCCATTCGAACAAGAAAATACAGTTGCAGAGACTGGTAAACCTGCAGCAGAGTCAGATAATGAGCGCTCGGATACAGAATCTGAAGAAAATTTTAGAGAATACAGCACTTTTACTCCAGGGCAGTATGCCAATGACACTAGTGGTATTGATGTCCTTGCATCTCATCAAGAAGAATTTGGACAAAGCAACAGCGAATCAAGCAAAACAACAGAGCATGATTTTGAGGTTGTGGATAATGCATCTGTCGCATCTTCGTTTGTTTCCGCACACACGGGAGATTTTACATCCCACCATGGTTCGTTGGATGAGTTTGACTTGACTTCATTTGGTGCAAACGATCCAAAGGTCAAATCGACAAATACAACGCCTGACAAGGAAATAAGTGCATTTGAAGCCGAGTTTGATGATATGGTTGATTCTGATGACAATTATGAAAACCCAACAAACCTCTCTCAGACAGCACACATTGACGAGAATCCATTTGATGTCTCATCGGAAATAGAAGACAAGGCTGAAAAAACACCCACTTTAAGCCAACCTGAACCAGCAACATTTTCGGACAACTTTGTTCCACCGGAACCCTCTACAGAAACATCGACGACCACCTCAGGAGGTCATAAATCAGTTTTAAAGGGATTTGAAGGCTTCCCATTCGCATTTGGAGATACAGAGGAACCCAAGCCATCAACAACCAATTCACAGCAAAAGGACATAAGCACTCAGCCTCAATCATCTCAACCTATCGAACAATCTCCACCTGTTGAACAATCTCAATTTTCCACACAAACACCCACGGAACAGAAACTCTACTCCCCACAACCCGAACAAACCAGACCCTCCTCTAACTCCATTAATACTACTCCCGAAAACACCAGCGGATTCGCTTCATCTGTCCACAACTCTATTAATCATGCAAGTGAAAGTATCAATACACCTTCGGTTCACACTCTTGCACCAAAGGAAAGTGAATATGTAGGTGTGTTGATGAGCATGGGTTTTACAGTAGATCAGGCAAAGGATGCCCTACGCAGATATGATAATGATCTGCAAAAGGCTACAAACTTCTTACTCGATCAGTATTAACAATGGATCTTAAAAATTCATGAAAGTACATCAAATAAGAGACAAACTAATGCATTCCTTAAATATTATTTATAATATTTGTTCAAATTTTATCAATACTAAAGATAACTATTAAATTATGATCTTTAGAACACACACACACACACACACACATACATACAGAATATAAATATAAATATAAATATTAATAAAATATAAACATTTAACAGTATATTTGTCTATATCTTGGCTTTTATTTAGGCGTTAGTTTTTTTTTCTTCTTCTCCAAAAAAAAAAAGAGAGTTAATTATGGGTTCATGATATTTTGGTTGTACCAACTCTTCAAGTAGATCCTAGTAAAAAAATACTCTCTGCTAGAATTAAGGAATAGCAGAAACATAGTACATAAAATTCAATAATACACATGTACGTATCATAGTATGCAGATAATTCCAATAATATGAATTTCACAACAAAAACAAGATATATATAAAAAGAAGTGGATAGATTTTCAACCCCTTTTTCATGTTTTTGACTATGCGTGTCTCCTATTGTCAAACTCGACATCTGGAAGGGACTCTTGGTTATTTTCTTCACCTTCTCCAAAGTATTCAACCGAATTGAGATCTGTTTCTTGGATCCTGACTCTGTAGAGGCTTGCAGAACTAGTTCGCCACGCTGAATGACGTGCAAAATGATATTGAAAATTTCTCCAAATATAGACAGCAAGATTCTCGGTAGTACTATAAGTCCAATGATATGGAAATATAAGACCAGTTTGTATGACACAAGGAATAGTACGGAACTTGATTTTACCTTGGGTTCTTACGGAAGAAGTCCACGTCAAGATCCTAATGGCTGTTTTGGTCATCACTCTCTGTGATTTATTTCTTTTTCGGATTCTTATAGTCAATGACTTGCCAGATTCTTATGATCTAGTGGATCTAATACGGCGTGCTTGATGCATTCTTTCAAATCAACTAGATTCATGACCATGCCATTGCTGGGATTGATCTCTCCTTTCAAGGTGATCTCCACTAGATCCAAATGTGAATTTAATTTATGTTACTATTTTTTTATTATTTTTATTTTATTTTTATTTTTACTGGCCATTGTACCTTTGTAGTTATGGCCATGGTAGTTTGGGTGGTTGCATTTTCCATATAGTGCTAAATTTGCTTCGTCTGTAAGATGAGGAGAATGTAGACGGTGGGCAGCCGAGAATGACTGTGCACGAGTAATGTAGCTAACTGGGGCCATGAAAAATATAAAGAAGTAATTAAATAGCCGTGGGAAATATCATACAGTGAGGCTATCCTTACGGACAAGACGATGAGACAAGATTTCTGGAAACCTTACGGACAGCCTGGACAGCTTGAAAGTATGCAACGTCACTAATTAGTATCTTACGGTTACACGCATTTTTTTGGGTTGGGGGTCAGATTTTGCAACAATCTTACGGGAACGACGTTTTCTGGTGGGGCATGACATTTCTATCTAACCGGACTAATGGATTATGACTACCTGTCCAGGGCTCTGTGTCTTTCTCTACTCCTTGAGGGCAAAACGGTGTGTCCTGAAAGAACACAATATATTCATTGTATGCATTAGCTTTACTACTTTTCCTCCACACTTTGAGTGTTCATCAAACTTTCCCCAGGCACATAACTCTCATTCTTTTAAGAGTTAGAGCCTGTTTTTGGGAAAATTAATAATTAAATGTTGTTTCATACAAAAATCAATTCCTGTATATCCAATTAATAGCCGTTTGCGTTCCTGATTTAGACTTGACAATAAAGAAATAATAATTAATCACAAATACACTATATCAATAGCTACTTATGCAGATCATAAGAAGTTGTTGTCCTTAGAGTGTGACGCAACCTTGTTGAATATTTCCCTATTTATTGGCCTTCTTACGCGTATCATGTATTTCTCTTTATTTCACCTACTTATATTCCCAAGGTCTGACAGCACCAACTGGTAAGTAAACCCCGTGCACTCTTTTTTGCAAAGTACAAAAGAAAATATTTACGAATATTTTGTATCCTGGCTGCTATTAATTATAATAATAATAATGAATCCTTAGGGGACCATATATGGTTATTCCATGTCAACAAAAAGGTTACGATTTGTGGCCTAGTAGAATCAAAATGTCGCCCCCCACTAGGGAAATGTTGTCCCCCTAAAATTAGCGTGAATACTCTAGTTGTTGATGTAGAAAAATAAGCTCGAAATATTTCCAGCTCTCTTGATGGTGTAATTTATGTATGGATATGAGCGGTAAAGCGTTCTTATTATAGCCACTAATAAACTCATTGATTGACAATAGAATCTGCAAAAAAGGAGGATCAAGACACGCGATGCTGTTCGAAAGTTGGTCGCCACGAGCGTCGGAAAAGAAGACTATGAAGCACAGCTTTTAATTGGTTTAGCAAACGTAAATTTATGCTGTATTACTGTTATATATTAGTTGTATTATACTAATATTTGCGATAATTTAGGATACAAAAACTTCCATCCCGAAATCTCTTATCCACTACAACTATTCGTGAAACAGAATTGTGGAGTAGTGTATTTGATCCCATTCTCACAACATTGTTCTCTGATCCTGACCGTGATATATTTCTTAGATGGTTACTCTTTTCTTTTTGTGGGATTTTATTAAAACAGGCGCTAATATGTATAACATGCAGGACTAATGTTGTGCCTGAAGAAGGCTGTGTCAGTGAGATAATTCGCGCACAGACTGATGCAATGATCTGTGAAATCGAGCAGCTTAGTTGGGGTTGCACAATTGGTTATGGTGAAGCCAAAATAGCAGAGCCAAAACCGAATATTGGAAGTTTAGCCAACGACCTCTTGAGATTAGCGTTCGTGGCTGCCAATACTGTTAAAAAAATCCAAAATACGTTCTAGTCTTGCTTTCCAAATTCATGGTAACATAAATCCCAGTTTTTGTGTTGCGGTCTACTATTTTTTATACTAGGTTTTTAATCTATTTCTTTATAAGGATACAATCTTAAAGTTTATATCACTCAAAAATGCCAAATGGCTCATTCTACCATGGTAGAATGATTTAAATCACATTTACTAAGGCAATTCAAGAAGTTGATATGTTTACAAACAGAAAAAACATTAGTTCATTAATTTGCCTATATAAAGTATTTTGGACGAGATGTTGTGTGACAAAACAAGATGAAGTTGAACGGAAAGAGCCTGAATGCTCGAGCCTTGATATATCGACTGTCCAAACTATTAAGGATGAATACATGGATCGTTCGCGAGAATGCCCACTAAAATACTAGGAGTATATATATCATATTGTCAAGTTTAATTGTAAACTGTTGTAACAACATCAAAGTAAGTACCTCTCAAAAGCCAAGCTATATTCTTCTTTCGTCAATTTTTTATATTTTATTTCCAAAAATAGCTTCAACCATTGAGATACATTTATTTCAATTAACTTGTGTTATTATAAAGTACATAGCAGCATATAGCGTTGTACATATTCTATTTTTAAGAATAACTTTTACATTTGGTTAAATGATTGACTAATGAAAAACTCGAATATGCTATACGGGATCTATTAAGCAGAGCCGTTATTTTGTGTGGTACAATTTCTTATATATTTCAAATATAAAAAGTAAAATCGAAGTAGCAATCTTAGAAAGAGTAAACCTTTACTTCAACAAAATAACCCAAAGAGATCTTAAGATTATATCAAGGCTTGGTACAGCCTTGTCGCCATGTTGCATGACATCGAGCGAAAATTCCTTCTCAGTAATTTTCAAATTTTCAAGAAAAAACTATATATTTATCAACGAAGCTGGATTTCATATAAACTTTAGAAATGATGGGGTAGAGCAGATACTGGGCTTTCCATAGAGAAGACAACTAAAACCAAGAGCCAGCTACAGAGTATGTTGATGATAATAAAAAGAGCATTGCGCAAGATAGTTCAGAATCGATATCAAAAGATACGACAACCGCGCACTTGATAAAATTCATGAATTCTCTGCTTGATATCATGGATCTTAATGAAGATCTAAAAGGGAATTATTTAGTGATCGTTAACTGTACTATACATAAATAAAAACCGATGATGGGAAAATTTGAAAGTCGTGGCTATAGGCTGATATATCTGCCCAATTGAACAGTCTTAGGAAGTCTTAAAAGGAAAATTGAAACGCCACAAACTATTGCCTGAAGAAAAAATGTATGGTACAATTGCTGAGAAATGTAATGACATATATGCTAAAATTCTATACAATTTTACCGGCTAAATGACAGATCATTCAATGTTATAATAAGGGAATCTATTTATCAGAATAGTCCAATTTTTTTCGAAAAGAAAATGATAGGTATTTTATACTTTTTTTTATTGTATATTTTCTCTATATATTTATAATGTATGTGTGGGTGATCTAAGGAATTGCATGACATACGAGACCCCTTTTACTTCTTGGCTGACCACCATTTGCCCAACTTCTCTCCCATATACCGGGTTGTTCTCAATGGTCCAGCAGTGACAATACCTTTGATGCTCTGCGTCATGGCTGACCGAGAGATTGTATCACGAAGAGCTGACAAATAATAATCGTATTAGACAATCCTAGTCATACATGGATGTACAAAGGAAAAAAGAAAGAAAAAAAAACTAATTACCTAGGTCAATGTAAGAGGATACCCCGGGAGAAGCAGCAATTTGCTGATACAGCTCTTGCTTGTCTTGAGGGATTTCTGTGTTGTTCTTGACGGCATATTGGTGATGCTGGTTAAGAACCTTGCCATACAATGTCTTTGGCAACTTCTGAACCATCAGACCACGGAACCGGGGGTTTAGGTTTTGCTGAAATACAGTATTAATAAAGACGCATTTCTTGTTTTTAGGTTTCTAAAATTAATATTCTACCTGGTATTGACCATTCTGCAAAACAGCAAGGTTGGGAAGATCGTCCAATAAACCAAAGTACAATCGGCGGAAATGATCCATCTGAGCCTCAACAATATTCTTCACTTTGTTGGGGTTCTCGCCCACTACCATTCTAAAATCGCCAACGTAGCTGATGCCAGCAATACGTTCAAACAGATCTTGTTCATTGAAGTTCTCTGGCAAGGTTAATAGAGCTACGCGCACTGCCTCTGTCAGGTTGACCTGGTTGGCCAAACGGACGCGAGGATCATCTCTCAATATCTTGACAGGTTTGTGCATACGTCCGGCCAAGTAAAGTGTTTCCCAATCGACAAGGTCTCTGCAAAGGGTATCGATGGACACTACACCATATTTGATCATCTAGTATGAATAGGTGAGCTTTGTGTACATAAATTATTTAATGCTAAACTCACCATGCCATTAACTTCGATGTAAGGGTTAAAGTAGACGCCAGCACCCACTTTCTCTTGCAATGATGCTACTGCACGCGAACCCAACAGACGTACACTTGAGTAGTGATGGGGATTTTGTTGCATGTTGAGTGCATGCCAATGTTCAGGATGTGATACACCAAAGATAAAATCCATCATAGGTTTTTTCTAAATAAACCCAATAAATCCCTTGTTAATACATACATATATACATATACATATATATGTATCTTATTTGTATTTCTTGAAGCTTACGTTTTGGTCATAACCTGACTGATGGAATACACCGCTCCCGTATGCAAATGCATATCTTACGGGCGCATTGAACTGAAGAACAACATCCTTGAGTTTTTGTTTAAGCTCTTCATTGATGCTGATGTATTGGTTGGTACCAAAATCAGGTGAGTTGGGTGTGTTGGAGGGGTGGAAATTATGCTTTCTGAGTCGGTCAAGACGTTCGCGTGCACCCTTTTCGTAAGATGTCTCGGGCGATCTCATCTCAGCCTTTGGGGAATCTTTAGCTTTAAAAGAAGGTAAGGTAGGAGGGATTGTATTGGGTGTGCTGGACTGGGTGTCGGTATGGGTAGTGTAGAGGCGCGCATAGGCGGGGCGAGCACTACGGAGGGCATTTGTGCGAATACAAGAGTGGCTAATTGTCTGTAATAAAAAAAGATATTCGGGAATACGCTCTGTCAGAAAGTTTTCTTTGAGGCATATATGAGCCCATAAAACCGACCTTTAACATGGCAGGTTTGAGTAGAAAGAGAAAAGCTGTAAAGAAACCCCAGGAACCAGAGTCCTTTTGAGGAGAAAGTAGATGTGAGACGTCACTGCGCGGAACAGAGGTCCAATCAACTACCCTCGTCGGCCACGATCTTCCTCTATCCATCGGCTGTAATGAATCGTTTCCATTTTAGTCATTTGTATTACTCTGCCACAAAGTAAACTACACATCCCGACTTGTCAATTGTTAACTTTTTTTTTCTATTTTTGTTTTATGGTTCTTTTGAGGGGAAAAGATGAAGCTTACATGTCTATACACACATACATGATAATAATTATAACTCTTGTAAATAAGCTCCTCCCCCAGAACACACACATACCCACAAGCTTTGAGTTAATTATGGTAGATCAATTGGTGCCATCACCATCATTATCCCCCCGGTTATTGTTTACTAGGGTTTAATGCGTTTGCTATCAACTATCCTGCTGAGCATATTTCCTGGGTTAAGATTTGGTTAAGGGATACTATAGGTTCTTCGGTGCTTGGGTCTCAAACGATATACTCGACTTCCAAAGGATTTCAAGCTTTTTATTTATCTATTTATATATAGCATATTAACGATAGGTGCCAAGGAAAGATATTGGCTTGTATTAGAACTTATTGTGTATTTATTTTCAAAAAAAAAACAGGCCAGGTTTAACATGCATTGTTCGAGAACCATTGTTCTTGTACACTGTGTCTACCCAGATATATTTTATGTGTTTGATTCTCATAATACTATGAACGGGTTATACACGTGTAGTTTGATAAATATTCCGGTCAATATCCAAACCTGGTGTTAGTGACAGGCCCACGCTAAACCCTCCTCGGAATAGATTTACTCCTCGCCTCTTACCAGTACAAGGGTGTGATGGTATCTAGAGACCGTGAACTGGTGTTATACCTTGGTGACTAAAAATAAAAATAAGAATAAAGCTATTTACTATATATATTATAAAAGGCGTATATATATATTTAAAGTATGAAGACTGTCAAATATCTGATGGTCCGACCATTGGGTTTCGCTGTTTAGAGTTTCAAAACATGCCCTAGTTATTCATTAATATTAACATATTTATCTAATAAGCTTTGGATAAATTAGCAGGTCATGTAAAAAGTACCAGTACATCTTTGCTTCTAGCAAAAAAAATAATCTCTTAATATTCTAACAAAGAAGTCTATAATGGAACAAGTTTGAGCCGCGGAGTCTAATAGCTCTCATCAACAGGGTTTAGTATTTTTTCAGACTAAGTTCCGCCCATTGAGCATCGAACTATTTTCGTTTAAATGGTTAAGCGTGATTAACAAAGGTGCAGAGTTCCGGTTTGTAAAAAAAAAAGCCACAATCCCCGTTGTTTAAGTGAAGATTGATCTTCCACAGTAAGATTTTAATTGAGCTAACGCTGTAGTAAATGGCAAACACTATAACTCCGTGACCGTAGGAATTATAATATTTGCCAATAGAATCTTGGCTTTTAGTAAATTAAAAGTATTTACAGCGAATACTATTTATGGGAGTTAAAATTATTTTTTATCTAATCCAATAAAATCGTTTAAAGTAGCAAAATTATACCATTTTTAGGTACATATTTCTCTTTTTATAACAAATTTGGATAGTACAATTCGTTGGATTTCAGATCATTTTTGCATATAATCCAATCAAATATTCTAAATATGGCAAATATATACCTTTTTTTTTTAGATATCTCTATTCTTATAATTGGTTCAACAAATACACGGTTTTATATTGGAATTTTATAGTTTGTACTGATCAAAATAATACGTTGAATATAAAGAAGTATGGAAAGAGGAAGTATTATTTTTTATGATATTTAGTAGCAGTTTAAGCTATAAAGTTACTAAATGATATATATATGTCTATTTCTATGTAATATTTTTTACATGTTTTATCTTAAAAAAAAACGGCTATTCTCTAAATACTATAATATTGATGAAGGCATGTGTATTGCTTAATTGATTCTTTTTAACAGAGTATAAACCTGCTTTGAGTTAAATTGCTATGTCTGATTTCTACTTTTGAGAAACCAGAAGACAGATTCCCTGCGATTCTCTAAATCTACCGAGATTTCTAATGAGCATGCGAGCAATCTTGACAGCCAAAGTGTACTTGATGCAGATATTTTTCTGTCAATTCTTCTCAAGTTACTTTCTTTTGTCAACTTTGCTGATTCGTATTTTATTAATACTAGCCTTCATAGTTATTAAGTGTGTTCCTTTTAGAGACTTTTAATAATTTTAGACCTTGTGAAAAAAAAACAGAAACAAGTCCTTTTTAGATGTACCAATCTAAATTGTTTGGAGAACATGGACGGGTCAGAGGTTATGCATCGTTTGTGGAATCGGGATCTTGCTGCCGTCCTGAACTTCCGACATATACTTAACAATCTAAGATATGATGGGACTATACCTGTAAGGTTCACCCGCGTCATTCGGATTGGACGTATCAGAAGACAAGCAGAAGAAGATCTCCAGGAGGGTCGTCGTTTGAGACAAAGACTGACTAGAATTCAAAGAAGATGAAAAAATTCCGTCCTGGTTACCGCTTAGGACCCACCCAAGCTACCGCTGGTAAGCCATTAGATTTGAATAACTTGGTATTTAGTTTTGTAATGGATTGAAAAAGCTAAGAAAAAGATGTTTTGCTTTGACTGCAAAAAACACGGTGGGGTAAAAAAATAAGTAGAATACACTCTTTCCGGAAATTATTACGACGAGTGATCCATGACCAGTCCTTCTCGGGCTTTCAACCATCTGTTCCTGCTGGTTTTTCTCCTCTGTCACCGATCAAACTCCTTGCGTACGCTGATGATTTACTTGTTTTTCTTTCTGACACAGGGCAGTTGTCTCGCCTCCACACCCACCTCAACACCTATGCTGCGGCTTCCAACGCCCGCGTAAATCTTCACAAGACGCAGGCATTTTCACTTTCGGGCTCACCCCTGCCAGACTGGTCCTCACATCTACGGACCCACAATATTACGGATTGGCATGACCGGACCTCCTCCTCTTCTCTTCGCTATCTGGGATATCCAATTTTCTCCTCCATTGCCCAACGAGACTCATTTGGCCAGGCCCTTCTTTCTAAGATTGAGAATAGCTGTATTCTACACAGCTCACGCACCCTGTCCTTCCGCGGCCGTGCCACTGTCATGAACTCTCTCATTCTCGCCCAACTTTGGCATGTCTTGCGCGTAGTATCCTTCCCCGTCTCTTTTCTCGAAAAAATACGCACTCTGATGCGCCGTTTCTTCCGCTTCCGTTCGTTCCCCCCCCCCCCCCCCATTGCTTTGGACACCCTCTGCCTTCCTCGCTTTCAAGGTGGTCTTGGCATCCTCGACCCGATTACACAGCAATGCGCTCTTCAGCTTCGTTGGCTCAAGCCAATAATCCAGAACCCATTGGGTCCCCGTGGTTTGGTCCCCAAATGGATGGCTTTTCTCCTTCGCACTGAGAATACGGATTGTGATCCCCTTCTACTTTGGATCTTCCCAGACTCTAGACCTCGCATCCATCGCTCACTGGATTCGCCTCTTCATCTTGTCCTGAAGGCCATGGACCACCTCCCGCACAAGTTTGACGACGTCCTCACGAATCTATCCACGTGCCTTATGTTGCCCTTGTCCTCCATGGTTAATAGCCCTCCCTCTCATCCGCCCTACCGACAATCTTGGCGAGACCTGAAGGTTAACCACCTATACAAAATTGATCATAATTTGGACGTCCTGATGCCCATTGCCCCTGCTAGACCTCTTCCTCGATTTATCACTCTTAATCGTATCCTACAAAGACTTCTCGACCGTTCACTTGTGGCTCACCCTATCCTTTTCAGAGCTTGTATTCCTACATTCATCCTAGAATCGCGACATTTGGATATGCCTCCTCGAGATGGGTCCCCCTTTGACTTTGATCCCTTCATCTCTGCTCTGGTCCTCGGCAAACCTTGGTCACGCTTGTCCACGCGCTCTTACCGGCTGACCTGTTCTCATCATCATGCTAATGCTCAACCACTTAGCTCCCATCTTAGCCCTCGCCAACTGCACTCTTTCTGGTCTTTCGCACTTCCTCACCGGGCCCGTAATGTTTGGTTTCGCGGCTTACACAACAAACTATCTTGCCGAGCTCTTCTGCACCACATTATGCCCTTCACTGTTTCTTCACCTCTCTGCAATATCTGCCAGATGTCAATCGAGACGCAAGAGCATTTTCTTCTTTCTTGTCCTTTGAAATCTGCGGTGTGGTTAGGCATTTGGTTAGAATTTTTCGGCACCGTCCCACCACCTTCTGCACTTTCCTCGGCATTCACATCCTTTCTCTTCCCTCCCACGCTGAACCCCAGTATTCCAGCCGCCTCGGTTTTCGGACTGACCATCCTTGCTATCTGGGACCACCATTGGGCACTCCACTTTAACTCTTCTCCTTTTTTACCTTCCTTGGTTCTTGCCACTGCTAGGAAATCAATCTCCCGCATCTGCTCAGAGCTCGAGCTTGACTCCGCTGACTCTTCCCTCGCATAACACCACATTAACATTTTAACAAAAAAAAAAAGTTTAAATCACACAAAAACAAGTCAAAAACCAAAAAGCCAAAAACATCAAATAACCCCCATAAACCCTCAAAACAAATGTTGTAATTTTCTCTTTTGCCCTACTCATTCAGAGAACTTTAATAAATCTGAGCCTGTCACAGCTCCATACAAACTTTCCGGAAATTATTGGTGCAAAAATAAAAAATTATTTAGTGCAAAAACAAAGATAAAATTTGGTTCATTTTTTTTTTACCATTTCTCTGCTTAATTAATCTTTTTTGGTGCATTTGGTGCATTCCATTTTTGCACCAAATTGATTTTTATTTTTGCACCAATAATTTCCGGAAAAAGTGTATAAAAGAGAGCGAGAGAAATTGGTGCTTAAAAAACTCAAGTACAAGACACTTTAAACCCCGGAAAACTTGCAACAATTCACTAAAATCGCCTATTTTTTTTCTATAGGGTAAGGATTAACCTAATTTATTATCAGCAATAATGTAGAAAAGAATATCATTTTCGTAATTTATTTATAATCCAAAGGAAAACGGGTTTACAAAGAAAAACGTTCATGCTATTAATACACAGATAATATAATAAACTTGCTTGACTCCTTATACTACAAATCTAAAAGCTCATAGCATCACATCACACAAAGTCATAGAGTGTTTTATGATAAGGATACCTAATTTGCTATTTAATCTGAAGAATATTTGTCTTGCAGAAAATCAATTAATAGCCTCAGTGTTTTTATGCGTTTAGAAAAACAAATCCCAGGCAATTTAAATATAGTTATCTAATAACAATTTGGTAAGTGCAAGTCGAATATAGGATTTCCACTCCAAAAGTTATATTTCTTTTTCAAACTATATACAGAATTTGAGACATAAATCATATATTTTTATTTTATGTGATTTAAGTGGAAAAGATTATAATCCATGTAATTTGCATTTTTTTTTTCAGAAACTTTCATAATGGATATAAAGGTAATGAAGCCTTGTATGCCTAAAAAAGTTCGAATAACAGTTAAGCTAATGTTTCTTTACAAAATACACGTCTTTATATTTTATGTATTGTTTTTATTTCTTCTGTAAAAACTCTTTCTATCGTTTCCTTACAATATGTACATGAGATATTTTATCAAGAATACAAGAAAATAAAAAAAATCAAAAGACCAAAAAAAAGTTTCTAATTACACATGTTCAGATAACATATGAATTCAGTAAAAGTTTCATAGAAAACAAGTGAGAAAAAAAATGATTCTACGGACAAATACAATATTTTATTTTATTGAAAAAATGCAATTTTTTGAGATATTATGCTAGTTTTCTCATGATCTAGATTTTCAATTAAAACAAAACTTCTAACACACATACATATATCTATACACTACTTGGATCCAAAGCTATAGAGAGCCAAGACTTGAATTGATGAAATCGATAGATAGAAAGGCATAATATTACATATTTGAAGATAGTTTGGTTCGATCTGTGTAATGCTATCCGGCATTTATGATTTGTAATTCGCTGGATATAGGCGTAACTCGTAGGGTAAAGTACTTTCCACGAATGATTTCCATGAAAAAAAACAGAGCGGAAAGTCATTTAACCTGCAAGCGATAGATAGCTTATGTTGACGCAAAGAAACAGATTGATAAGATTTATAAAGGTTTAAAAAAGGTTGTATAGCTAATAAAATATAAGTAATAAAGTATAATTAAAAGAGTAAAAAAAAAATAGAAAAGAATATCGAAAAGAAATTATTTTGGAGTAAGATCAATTAGTTGATCTAGATCAGAATGGAGAGAGAGCATGTCATTTCTGCGGTCATGCTTATTAAATTCTTTGAACTTATTCCAGTAAGTATCAAAGTTATCATCAATCTTATTTCTGGCACAACCTAAAAAAATAATAATTCAGGAACGGTTGGCCATTTCCTAGAGATATTACGGGAAAGGTCAACTGTTGTCCAGTGATTACTGTTAACATGATTAAAAATCAGAGGTTGTCGCTGTTTTGTCTTGTTGTTGGGAAGGGCGAAGGGAAGGAACGATACGGAATGGGTGCCGGGGTTGTCTGAGTAAACACAGACTGATTGCTTATAGGTGTCCGCAACTAGTTGAGCACATTCGGGTGTGCTAAACCACATACTGGCATCTAAACACGCTGGGATAAAGTTGGTGTTGGTGGTGGTGTTGTTGTAGTCGAGTTGAGAACCGTGTTGGATAACCTTTTCCAGTTGGATTGTATCAGTACCAAAGGTATTTGCGTATATCTCCTTGTATTTTGGCAAGGCAGAAAGCATGTTTCTTTTTACGAGGGAACTTTTCCTGATCTTCATCGATCAAATGGGCAAGGACCCGAAAACCACACCACCCATCAGCAGTAGGGTTAAACCCACCCTTACCGTCATGAACTATCTCATGAGAGACAGGAAAACCGGGTTGGAATTTAACCCTCTTGCCAACAGAGGTGCGATTATCATACTGGTAATCTTCTAGAGCGGTGGCAGGTCTTTTGAACCCATTTTTTTGGGGGTATCGACTAAAAAGCATATTCGTATAAGACAACATCCCTCCACATAAATTCAATTAAAGTAATATAAAAACACATCTTACCAGGGTCTAGAGGCTCCTGTTTAATTTGTTTTATTTTGTTTTTGGTAGCATCGACTAAAAAAGTTGTGTATATATAAGACAAGAGTTCTTCTCAAAAACTCAATTACATTTTAAATTAAAAACGCATATTACCTGAGTCGAGAGGCTCTTTTTTGATTTTTTTTTAATATTTTTGTTTTGTTTTGTTGTGACCTTGAGGCCAGACAAACTCTTTTGAGCCATATTTGTAACCTTTCGTCGGTACATTGCCTTAATCCCGGCCTATTATTCCATTAAAGTCATTAGTTTCGTCCTATGTTTAATATAAGTAAATCATGAAACTTACAGTTCCAGCCAAGACACTTGTCTTTCTCCACATTGGGCGACCAAAGCCCTTTGGCAAGTATTTAGGACGGCTACTGCCTTTGCGTCTTCCTGGATACTTGAAGTTCTCTGGCGCTTGCAATTTGATAGAAGAGTGACTATTTTCGCCATCAAAGTCATTTACAACTTTTTTACTTTTTTCAAAAGATCAGCAACTTGCTGGCTGCCTTCGCAAGAGCGGAATAAAGCTTCAAGCTTAATGATTTTACTCATCCACTCCTCCGGTTTTTCGATGACAGGAACTTGCATATTTGGCTGATCCCATGCCTTGGCTTCCTTTCTGGCATCAATAACTCATCTATCTGGTACATAAGAGATATGAAGATCCCTTTCTACTGGTAAGGTATGGTGACAAGGTAGGCTATATTGGACTTTGTTCATGCAATAGCACTTCTCATCATCTTCTGGTAAACGGAGCTCCTGGTCAAGTACAAGCAACGCTCGCTTTGACACCTTCATGAAGAGGTGTGAGAGACGTTGGTTTCGTCCAACAAGAGCATCGATCGTGTTCGCTTCTCTTATTCTTGTTGCTCGGAAATCCATCTCTAGCCTTTCAATGTACTTGGCCACACTCTCAAAGGCCAACCCCAGAGAAGAAATAGCAGAGATGCCTCTCTTAAAGGCTTGATGAGCACTTTCTACTCGCTGAGTGGTGATGCACCTGAAATACATGAGCTTGCTAGTGATATACCCTGCCCACTTCTCCGTGCAATTCAACCACCTTTCGGAGAAGTAAGTTGATGCTGGTGCTCTGGCCTTGCCATCATCTACTTTCTAGCCCAGCACAAGCGTCGTTAAACTTTAGGAGAGCCAAGTTGAACTCCACCTTAGTTCTACTATGGATCATGCGGCTTACATGGTACATAAGCTCTTCTTTCTCGGCTACAGACTTAGTTTTCCCAGAGAAGGCTTTCTCCACACTGTTCAGCATATTCCAGTAGCACAAAAGCTTCTTGTTTTCTGGGAAAACAGTGTCAAGTGCATTCAACAAAGCAGACCACTTGTCTGTTACAAACAGAGTGGTTGATTGCTTGTTCTCAAAAATAAGTGCCTTGATTTGTTCCAAAAACCAAACATAAGAGCCGGTTTGCTCATTGGAGACCCAGGCAAATGGAATTGGAAAATATTTTAAAGTTTCCCCTCCAAGGTTGTAAACACCTTCGACGCAAATAAGAGGCATTCCTAAGTTGTTGGCCGAGTATGTTGCATCCACCACCATAACTTCGGAGAGTTGCTGGGCTCTTTCCAACATTTTGGGGTGGCTAAAAAGGATTCTCTCGAGGCACCCATTCTTATTAGTCTCATAGCGAACTTGGTAACTCTTCGACTCCATAGCTTTGATGAGCTTTGTTCCATCATCCTGAAGAGTAGGAGCAGAAACACGAGCATATGCTGCCTTCATGTTATCAATGTCTTTAACGTACAACTTATGGCCAGGGTATGCTTCGTCATTGATTGCTTTTTGAATTTCACGGGTCTTGGTATTTGTCTCGATAAGCTTCGTTATCATGATAGAATCTTCCGTTGTAACTCTTGAGAGTCTGTCCTTCAAAATAGACTCCATACATTCATAGTCAAGGGGATGATTGTGGAAGGCTTCGATCTCATGAGTGGCCTTCAAGAGAAAGTATCCTTTGGCTGCCTTCTTGTAGGATACCTTAAGGAGATAAGGACATCCAATCATTCCACTAGAAGTAATCTTCTTACGGTCGTTGTCGTCAATCTTTCGGGTGTTTTTATAGTGACCACCCTTGGAACACTTCAAGTAAACTCGAGTTGGTTTACCATCTTTGATGACAAGTGCGAAGTTGTTGGCGAGGGCATATTCTTGCATCTTTGCAATTGCCAGCTGCATGTCATTGTAACCATTAACTGGTGGGATGGGGAGAGGTTGTTGGACAGGAAAATATTCTTTTCCATTAAAAAAACGGATTTCTTTATTGATAGGGTTCATATTGAAGTAAATTCTAGAAAGTACTTATTAACATCATGATTTCTATTTGCTAATCTGCAATAAGCAAAGTAATGTCTTTGATATCTCCGAGAAAAACATTATTTTCTAATACATTTGATTATTAAGTTCTTACGAGATGAGTAAACAATAGAAAAGAAGGTTTTATATTCAAGTATTGAATTAAGAATTTCAGGACACACCGTTTTGCCCTGAAGGATTGGAGAAAAGATATCGGACCCCGGACAAATAGTCGCAATTAAATAATCCGGTAAAGTCAAAACGTCTTCTCCCATCCTGAAAATGTCGTCTCCCTAGGATCGCTGTTTAGAAATTAGCACATTTATTTTACCTATTTTTTATAACTAAAAATCTGAGGAACTTTCATAGTAAATCTAAGTCAAATTTACAAGTATCTTACAATATATACAAATACTTCAAAAATAAAAAAATATGTCTCTTATAGTCCTATGGTAGAAAAACAATGAAACAACAACAACAACAACAACAACAGCAAACATTATAACCGGTAGATAGCGTTTAGTCCATATTCAAGGTATTCGATACAATTACACACAAAAGTGAATTCGTGACTGCAAAGTCATGTGTGGCTTATTAGATTTTTCTTTGCTGTGGAAAGAAGAGAGGAGGTTGAAGTCTATATGTTCAGAGCGCATTGCCTGAAACGTTCAACAAGGTCATACATCTGGTTTCTGCAACGCCCATTAACAATGTCTGCTTCCGAAGTCACACCAACTTCTGCTCCTGTTCAGCCTGCAACTCCCTCTTCCGAGATTGACATCTCTCTTTACAACACCGTCACTGAGGGAAAGGCTACCATTCTGTTCCCCAAAAGCAACGAGGTGTTCTACAACCCTGTGCAAGAATTCAATCGTGACATGTCAATTGCAGCTATCCGTACCTGGAGCGAAATATTTATGGAGGAAAAGAAACAGAGAATAGAGAAGAAGCTCGCCAAGGCCAAAAGTAAGTCCAATTAACCAATCGATAGTATGTGTATATATGAATATATTGATTTAATATATATATATATATATATTAGCCGAGGAAGAGAAGCAAATCATTGAAAAGGTAAAATAAATATAGACTGATTGAGAGGGGGGTAGAAATAACCAGGCATTAATATTGGCTGAATAGAAATTGGCTGATTACATCGACACAAAGGGCTTCAACATTCTAGAGGCACTTGCCGCCAGTGGATTGAGATCTATTCGTTATGCAAAAGAGATTCCCAACCTTAAGCAGGTTGTGGCCAACGATATTACTCCCGATGCTGTCGAGTCAATTAAGAGAAATGTTAAATATAACGAATTAAGTGAAGATCTCGTACGACCCAACTTGGGCGATGCCATGTAAAGTATTATATTTGATTTCTTTTTGACATCAACGTGTGCATAAATTATGCTAACACAATTAGTAAATCTTTAGGCAGGTCATGTACCGCACTGTTGGAAGCACCGAAAAGTATGATGTTGTGGATCTCGACCCTTATGGTACCGCTGCTCCATTTGTTGACGGTGCTATCCAAGCTGTTTCTGAAGGAGGTATGGGACTTGGGCTATATTGACATGTCTTATTTTGACACCTACTTATGCATAATTCTACAAAGGACTTTTATGTGTGACCTGCACAGATCTTGCTATTCTTACTGGATCAATGCACCCCGAGACTTGGTAAGATTTATTTTAATTTGTTGAAAAGGAAAATTTTTAGCTGATATTCAAAACTAGTTTTGGAAAGTATGGTGGTATGCCCCTCAAGGGTATGTTCCCTCACGAGATGGCACTTCGTTTGGTGCTGCAGATGTTGCAGACCTCTGCAGGACGTTACCGTCGCCACATCGTTCCTCTTGTATCTTGTAGCATTGATTTTTATCTCCGCGTCTTTGTTCGAGTCTATACATCAGCAGCTGAAGTGAAGAAGGCCGCCAGGTATGTTGTATTTCTTCTTGTACGCCAACAAAAAAAATTCAAAGGAAGGATGGTAATACATTTATATTGAATGAAATCAAATTAAAATAGCAAAATCGGTGTTATGTATGAGTGCACTGGATGCCATGCCTACAGTGTTCAGCCCCTTGGCAAGATCCAGGTAAAGGATAACGGTCAGGACAGACACACTCCTGGTACTGGCCCTCCAGTTGGCGAGTTTTGCAGCAGCTGTGGAAGCACACATCATGTAAGGTTAATGAATAGAAAAGGAAGATAAAGCCTTAAAACGTTTTGGGCTAATATGTATATGTGTTAGGTCGGTGGCCCTGCTTGGGCTGGTCCTTTGCACGACAAAGACTTTGTAGAGCGCATGTTGGGACATATTGATACAAACAGAACCAACTATGGAACCAACCAGCGTATGACTGGTATGCTTACTGTTATCCAAGAAGAGATCGAGGATCCCTTCTATTGGACCTTGGCCCGCCTGTGCGGCACCATGCATTGTAACAGTATCCCAATGATGGATCTTTTGTAAGTCATGTAACATGAAAAAAACAAGAGTTGATAATTATTATTATTAATAATATTCTTTTTCTGTAGCTCTGCCATCTTGAACGCTGGCTACAAGGTATCCGTGTCTCACTGTGGACCTCAATCAATGAAGACAAACGCACCGGCGAACATTGTGTGGGATGTTATGAGATGCTGGGTGAGTTTTATGTTGTTGTTTTTATTTATAGTGACTTTAGGACACATAGTATTAATATTTGATTGGGATTGTAATAGATCAAGAAGAATCCTGTTGTAATGGAAAATATTGCTGAAAACTCTCCTGCAAGAGCAATTCTTCTCAAGGAACCAAGCTTTGAAGCAGATTTCACAAGACATCCCGATGCTAGCCCCAAGTCTCGGTCTGTGAACTTGGTTCGTTATCAGATTAACCCAACTGCCAACTGGGGACCCAAGGCACGAGCAGGCAAGAAGAGAAAGGTTGAAGAATAAAAAAAAACTATTATTATACTATCAATATGAATATTCTTTTCTTTTCCTTAAAATAAAAAGACAATAAAAAACTAGAAAACATCTCATAAATAATAAAATTATATTTTATCCCTTCGTGGTACCAACCAATAAAAATATTATTATTATTTTTATTGTTATTTATATATATTATATATATATATGAAATTTTTAGCAGACAGTGCAAGTTTTTTTTTTTTTAAAAAAAAGGGATATGGGTGTGTGCCTGGAATGACGTCGACAGTAGAGAAGAAATCTGGGTGTTTGATTGGCTTACCATTTTCTAGGCCCAATTGTGAGGCTAGGCCCCGACCCCCCGTCCAATTTTTTTCACTGTATAGAAAAAAAATAAAATAATTTCACCCCTCTTTTCAGAGACTCAGGCATAGATTTCATCTAATAAAGAAAATGTTCCCTGCTTCACGCATCGCCGCCCGCCCTGCTATTGCTCCCTTGAGGTAAGCTTACACTACACAAGCACCGAGTGAATGCGCGTCTAGTCCTAAAAGACAGAACACTACCAAGAAACAAAAAAAAATACAAGAAAAAAAAGAAACAAAGACGCGCATCGACAAATGACTAATTACAAGCATATTGTGTAGCAATGGTATCCAGGCCCGTAACATGGCCACTCTTAGAGAAAGTAAGACGAATATTTTCCACCGAGAAACCAATGCACTTACACCATACAATTAGTCCAGCAGCGTCTTCGTTCCGTCCAGAACATTGAGAAGATCACCAAGTCCATGAAGATGATTGCCTCTACCAAGGTCGCCAAGGCTCAGCGTAACATGGAGACTGCCCGTGCTTTCGGTGTCGCATCCAACTGTAAGTATTCATTTCTTGTGAATTAATGAAGGGGGATAAGTAAAAAACAAAAATAGAAGTAGAATTATAAAATTGAAGTGGAAGAAAAAAAACAAGAACGCGTTTAGCTGATGGTGTATACAAAAAAATATAGCTCTTTTCCAGAGCGCCGAGACCAAGGCCACTGAGGGAGGTTCTGAGCTCATTGTTGCCTCTTCCTCTGATCGTGGTCTCTGTGGTGGTATCCACTCCAGTGTCTCCAAGGCAACCCGTCGCGCTGTTGAGGCTAACCCCGAAGGCCGTGTTGTTGTCTTGGGTGACAAGCCCAAGGCTCAATTGTCTCGCTCTGTTCGCTCTAACATCACCCTTTCTTTCAACCAGATCGGTAAGGCTGTCCCTACCTTCACCGAGGCCAGCTCCATTGTTGATGTGATCAAGGCTGATGGTATTGAGTTCGACTCTGCCAAGATTGTTTACAACAAGTTCTTGTCTGCCATCTCCTACGAGGCTGACTCCATCACCGTCTACTCCCAGGATGCCTTCAAGGCCTCCCCCAACTTCGCTGTCTACGAAATCGAAGATGATGTCCTTGCTAACCTCCAGGAGTTCAACTTTGCCAACTCCGTCTACTGGGCTATGGTTGAGGGTCACGCTGCTGAGATGTCCGCCAAGCGCGCTGCTATGGAGAATGCCACCAAGAACGCCGGTGAGATGATCACCAAGCTTACCATGACCTACAACCGTGGTCGCCAGGCTGTCATTACCAACGAATTGAGTAAGTTTCTTATTATTACTATTACTATTACTATAAATATCTGGTTTGAAGGGGTGAATACTGATGAAATTTTGTTTTATTAGTTGATATTATCACTGGTGCCTCTGCCCTTTAAGGAAGGAATGAGTCTAAAAACTTGTTTTAAAAAAAAGATAAAAACAATAAAAAGGCAGGCATAGAACTGTTTTGTCATTGACTTCTTAAGTCTTGTTAATAAATGTAAAACATAAAAGAGATGAAATCATTAAAAATGTATAATGTGAACAATATAGAATCCATTGCTTATAAAAATACACACACACACATATATATATATATATACTTCTTTGGATGTCAATTTCTAGTAAAGTGATGTCACAATCGTAAGAGCAATCTAGGATGGCTCGCGCAGTCGGACACTGGCATGTTTCATTACATGACCTCATAATAGAATCACTGATATTTATTTCTTATAAATTACATAGCCAATAGTTATTTGGCTCTCTACTCTTTTTCTATCATGTCTTTCACAACCGTACTTCCTTCAGAACCCACACCAAACATCGTTCTTGTAAAGAACATTGCATCAACCACACAAGAAAAGACTATTCGTGATTTCTTCTTGTTCTGTGGTAAAATCAAGGAGTTTGAAATCATCAAGGATGACGAACACCAAAAGGCTCTCGTTTGGTTCGAAAGACCTTCAGCTGCAAAGACAGCCATCTTATTGAGCAATGGTAAGTTATCACAAGTAAACCACAAAGCATGTTACTAACCCCCTATTTAAATAGCATCGGTGGATAACGTCAATATTTTGGTCGAGCCTTACTTTGAATCAACGGATCCTAACAAGACCGATGAAAAAGAGAATATTAAGGATACTGACCAAGAAGCCAAGCCGGTGTCTAACGTTATGGCAGAGATCTTGGCAGCAGGATACTCACTTGGAGACAATATCCTTGCCAAGGGCTTGGAATTCGATACAAAGATCGGTTTTACTTCGCGTGTCCAACAATATTTCAACCAACTGCAAGCCAACCTTCAACAATTGAACCAGAAATACCATGTATCAGACCGTGCCATGGATGTTGAGCACAAAATTGGTATCCAAGATAAGGCCATGAGCGCCGTTGGAGCAGCACAGGCCACAGCAAGTGAATTGTTGCACACTCCCACGGGACAAAAGGTTCAAGGTTTTGCTACTCAGGTGGCTGATCAGATTGCATCACTCCACGCAGAAGCCAAGAGACTAGCAGTAAGTGTGACCTGAATTAGAATCGACTTGACATGTTATTAATTTTTCTTTCTGTTTGTTATCAGAGCGAAAAGATTAAGCCAACTACAACCGGAACTGGTGTTCCCTCTGCAACCGGAACTTCTTCTGCAACCCCAACTGCAACTACAGCTGAAACTACAACCACTGAGGCAGCACCAGCCACAACTGGTATACCTGCTATATAAAATAACTAATATATTTAGACTCGTATTATATAGCAAGTAGCAGCTAAAAAAACATAGTAATTATATTCTTATTAAATAATTGTAAAAAATAAACAAACATAACAAAAGTGATATGTGTATATATATATAAAAAGTATCTTAAGGCTCTATTATCTTCAAAACACGTTTTTTAAGCTTCCTTCTATTTCTTCCACCCTAATATTTGAAATTATGGATCTTGAGCTTATCCAAGACCTGATTGTTTTGAGAGATTTTCAATTAAATCGGCTAGTGCACGTTTGCTTGTGATAAAGAAACTTTTTTTAAAAAAAATGCGACATAGTTGTATTGATAATATTTATTTATTTTTATTTTTAAAAGATATTTGATCAACGTTATATATTCAGAAATTGATAAAATAAACGGTGATATAAAGAAACAAATCTTTCTATAAAGATAAAGATCCTATTGCCCTTTTAAATATTGAACCTTACTAGGTAGAACATGCTATAATTACCAACAGCAAGTCGGTGTTCCTCAAAAATGATATAAAACAAAAAAGAGAGAATATAGACTGAAGAAAGGCTTAAGAATGACACTGGGTATGGTTTCAAGTTTGTGTGTTCCATAGTACAATAACCAGAAATATGTGTTAATAACAAAATGCATCCTAATCGGCTAAGAGGTCTAGTAAACATCTTATAAAAATATCGAGTGCTTTATCAATAAGAGTAACTAGTTGGTGTTAAATAAAGCGAATCGAGTTAAAGATGTTCGTACACTTTTTGAAGAAATATAGGGTATTGTTGAGTAAGGGCGCTTGTGTTTTATTGAAAAAAGGAAAGTCTGATTATATTAACAAACAGGACATCGAGAATATCATGAACTATGAGCATCATTTCTTGTTTTTTCTTTCAATAAAGATCATTTCCAAAAAGTATATCACTAAATGCAGATGTCAAGAATTTTGGGCATATATTTGAGCTTTTATCTTGGATCACATCGCAAGTATATATGGATAGAAAGACACTTTGAATCTACCAAATATGAGGATTGTATTAAATACGGGTATGCCTACAAGCTCTCAGATAGAAATATCCTTACTTTCTTGGATTATTATGATCAGCTTTCCAAATTTCGAGAAAATGTATATAGCCATTTGTTGTGCTACGTTAAAGCATACACCCAATATATGTATATGTATATATATATATTGCCCTTTAAGTCAGCGCCATAATATAACTTGTGTTTATCTAAGCTTTTACATCATAAGGAAGACCCTGTAAGCATTAGTGATCGTGTATGTATGATAGTATTTAATCGAGTATAAATCTTCTCGGATTATCACTGTAAAAGTTCCAGCCAATATGGTGCCTTCTCAGGGAGTACATCGTTTATCTAGAATATGATGATCCACTAGATTTATAACAATAATTGGTTTTTATCACTCTTGCATTCGTTTGATTTATCTTCATAAATATTACTAAGTGGAACAGTAATCTAGTTTGATATAATATCTCCAGAAGCACTTTTCAAAACCCATAATCGATCCCTTCAGTTGTAATGTATCCTCTTGAATTTTTGTGGTTTGAAAGACTGCGAATAATTTATATACTTTAAAATAAACCAAACTATCTTCCTGCATTAGAGAATAAACCCCGACGTGTAAACAGCTTGGAAAGATTGAGGCTCAAAGAAAAATAACTATCAAGCATGTAAGGCAGATATATTGACATAGTAATTTCCTTCCGAAAGTCCTTACTAAATCCTATAAAATAAATCGAGCTTTTATAAAACTTTCTTTTGATTTTTTTTGCTGTATCCAATAATGTTCACTATTAAAAACTACTACAGTTTTCGATATCATACATAAAAATTTAGACATTATTCTTGTAATAGTTAAAACTCTACTATAGTCCTAAGAAATCAATCGTATATGGACTGTATTTATATATACCAAGTATGTTTAATAGTTTAACAATTTTTAAACGCGTGTGCATTTTGTTTATTAGGCTAAAAACTTTTGCCTTCTATCATGAGTGGCTGTTAAAAGGATGCGCGACTCAACATCGGATGTCAGTTTGAATGAGAGAAATAGAAGATTGATCTTTAATGCGCAAGGTTCTGATAAACTCATTTCTGCAAGAACATGATGAGAGTTATATATAAGCTAATGAGCTATTCGCATGAGCAGAATTGTAGTTTCTGATGGTAAATAAGGTTTCGCATCGTTGTCGCTCGTCTTTTTCTGTTTTTTTGCGTCCTTTTTTGTTTACTTTTTGCTTTTTTTTTATATTCTTTATCTCCAGTAGTCACATGCATATGAAAACAGCCACACATTTTTCCCCTTAGTTTTTTTTTTGCAGGTGTATGTGTTAGCGATGAAAGGATACAAGAGATGTGTAGAGTAGTTGAAAGACCATTTACTTTAGACATCTGAAAAGGAACTCGTGAAACTCAACTCCGTTAGGGTAGTTCAAGTGACGATTGACGTTCTTTTAAAAAAAAGTATGCGTGTATTAAGTACTACTCGTCTGTATTTTTTTTTGAACGGGTTTGAGTTTGATTGTATTGAAGTTTTGGTTATATTTTATAGTTAGAAAACTCAAGAATAACGGGAGTTTTGTAGCGATTCTTAAAAATAAATAAAAAATAAGACAAGAGTGTAGTGATTTCTAAGAGAAAGAACCTCACCGCTTTAAGCACAGAAAAAAAATGTAAAGAATTAACAATGGCACTAGAAAAACCGTCGGTATTAGTAACAAAAAAAAAGTAATAATTTATAAACCTAGTTTTATGCGACAAGATAGACAGACACTGGTATTTACTTTTTTTAAAGAGATAATCTTAAAGTCTGGTGATTTTATAATACAAATACACAAACTTGACACTGCTAATTATTTACAAAAGAACATAATTGAACCTCATCTACTTAAGACCTCTAACCTTTATAGGTCCATCATCTAAATATATAGGAAAGAACACTTCCTTTGTATATTAAACATCACGTGTAATTGTTTTTTTTCTTACATTTCCTTGTGTCAAACTACTGCCAAGTTTTTAATCAACCCCATAAAAATACCCTCAAAGTGCACACAAAGTCTGGATAACAGAAACATTAAGTATCCTTGAGCTTAATCAAATCTCAACTTACTTTTTAATTGATTTAATAATAAAAGACACATTCAACTATATAGATATATATATGTGTGTGTGTGTGAACGTTCTGGTAAATATTGCTTTGCTCCAATATAAAGCTATATAGTTTTATATTGAATCAACTTTCTTCTAACCGCTACCCGTTTTCTATTAAACAATGAATAGATGTGTGTATATAGATACATATAACTCTAAAGTAACTTTAATTATGCAAATATACTCTTAAAATTACCTAAACATATCATGAGCAGATTTGCATTATCCTGTGCTTACCATTAGCCTTACTATCTATTGTCTTACTCGGTATCAGACAGACAAAGAGTCTATCAATGGATAACAACTATATTTGTATCTGTTTTAATAATTAAGCCAGCCTGCATCTATCTAACAAACAAACAAGACGGAAAGAAAAATCGAGATTGTAATTGTGATTAATGCTGGCAGGTGACATATTGCATACAATAAGCAACCAAACGAAAAAAAAGAAATCAAATCAAATCAACATATTCCATTTGTGTAAGTACAGGAAGCAACATGAAGTAGCCTGTGCATTAGAAATAAGTGAAGTTTGAACGTTGCATATATTTATACATTTAATATGCATTGGTAGCTGGCTAAATCTATTGGATTTTCTACAGTAAAGAAGAAAAATCATTATTGGCCCGACAATAAGATTTCTTTACTTGGTAAAGCTAACCGTGAAATATATATACATACTTTTCAGTAGACACAATATCTGAATCCTGGGACTTTATATATATATGCTATGTTTAATAATAATAATGGTAATAATAAAGATTTGTTACTGCGAGAGGCGACTAACACGCAAATATTTTGTATAAAGCCTGACAATATAAATAGGGAAATACTACTCGTGGTAGTTCAAGATAAATAGTGGCGTATATATATATATATATATATATATATATATATGTGTGTGTGTGTGTGTGTATTTGGTTGGTATACCAGGTATATTCAATGCTCCAACTTAGCAGCCAAAATGGATTTAGATTATATATATATGTTTATATAGTTCATCCTGTGTTTTCACATTGTCACCATTCTTCGATAAGTGTATTATTCAAAGATTTAATAAAAGAGAAAGACATGTGGATCAAAAAATGGTCTGTCTATTATTGTACGTAAATAAGTAGAATTCAATCATTTCTCATGTTCAATTAAAGAAAAATAATAAAATAAAATCTTGGACCTCAAAGTGTTATTTTAGGTAGGACATCTACTAATTGCTCTGAATTATGCTTAATCGATGTTTTCGATAAGATCCACAAAAGATTTAGCTCCCTTGTGTTTCAATAATACCCAAGAAACCAATAAACGAACCGATTCCATGAAACAAAAGGAGGAAGAGGAAGAGAGATGGATAAATAAAAAAAAGGGGATAACAAACAATACTATTTTATGATCTTCAGCTACAATTATAGAGAAAGGGATAGTGAGCAAGAACAAGAGCAAGAGAGAAATAAGAAGCTAGTAGTTTTGGCTCTACAAGATTTGAACATCTTGGACTTGGCATGATGCTATTTATATTGTATTGTAGACTTGTATGAGTGTCCAAGTCTTTATGAGTGTGTGTGTGTGTGTGTTTTTTAGCTGACTCCTTTAAAGTCCTTTTTTGCTTTATTTTATATGATATTTGATCCAGAGGAATGTCGAGAAAAGCAAGTTCTCTAAGCTGTAAGCCATTTATCTACTAGAAGAAAGATGTTCGCGTACAAGGCACCGAACCCCACAAAGATGTAAGTCTTGATATGTCTCCTGCTATCGCGCTTTTATTAACTGTACTGTACATCTAAATTCCTATTATATTATATTATATTATATTTAGAGACTCCCCCCTCTTCTACTCCCCCACCTCCACATCTACCTCCTCCTCCTTCTCTTCCCTTTTCCTTCCCTTTTCCTTCCTCACTCCCTTCCTTACACATCTCAACTCCCACCTCCTTTACCTTCTATCTTCTAAAATTCTACGAGAACACAATAGAATACATTTTACTTTTTTTTTCCTTCTTTTACTTTACCTCAATAATCTTCTTACTCGTTTAAACAAACATCTCGAGAATACACTTACAAAACTAGACGCACCCACTCACTTACTTCCAGCAAGGCAAAGTAAAGCGAAGCAAAGCAAAGCATATACGCACAGTTATATACAGCACACACAGTACACATTTACACTTATACGCACATCCACACATCCGCACATCCACACATCCACACATCCACACCAACATAAAAACAGAAGAGCAAAGGCACCTACGCACATACACATACACACATATTTACACACCTATACATATTTTATTATAATATAATTACTCGCTTCCATGTCGCACCCATTAACTAAAGAAGCTAAACTCGAAAAGTTGCTGGATCTCAACGAAAAGCTTCGAGAACAATTGGAGATTGCGCGTGTACCTGTGTCAGAAGCAAGTCGGTCGTAAGTATCCCAAAGACTTACGTTTTTTTAATCGATTCATTTGTTTTGTTTTTGTTTTTAAATATATATATATATATCTCACCAATCTTTTCAACTTTTCCTCCACTCTCCCCCCTTTTTTTATAATATATATATATATTACTACTACCAACATTAATAACATCTTTAATACATTTACTACTATTACTATTATTCCTGTTATTACTAGTTTGATTGAGTATTGCCAGACAACAACAGACACAATGGTTCCTTCGGTGTGGGGCCACAAGAACCTAGAAACATTCCCTGAGCCTATTGGCGTGTGTGGCTGTACACTGATGTAGATCTCTTAATTCAGAAACCTGTTTTATATATACACATCTGTATAGAAAAGAATCTTGCTGCTCGATGCTAGTGTTTCTCTCTTCTTATATCATTCATTCCTTTCTTGTTTCCTTTTGTTATTTTGTTCTTTCTCTCTGTCTTTCTGTCTTGTTTTGCCTTGAATTGCTTAGCACAATGTAGAACATTGCATTTTTTTTCAATGTGGTCATGGCTAGTTGAACGTTGTGGCCGATTGCATTAAATTACTTTTTTTTTAATGAAGAAGAAAAAGAGAAAAAAGCTAAAGAGATTCTTTCGTTAAACTTGTTAATTGGAATTATAAAATAGTAATAGTAATAGTAATAGTCATTGTAATGATCATTAACAGGAAAGTAGAGCTACTGTTGATTCTACTGCTAATACTATCACTACTACTACTACTACTACTATTTTTTTTATATACATAATGCTAATTTAATTTACATTGTACTTGAATCATCTACAAAATCGATCAGTGGTCCATCAAAAACCTTTTTATTTTCTGTGTGTGGTACTTGGGATTTTTACAATGCTACACGTCGTTAATTAGAAGTGGTTTATGCATTAACCAATCGTACTTTACAATTAGACTTTTTAATGCGGAGTACATAATGTAAAGTATACTATTGGTTAAAAAAGACGACGGTTATCGGTAAAACATCTGTGTTTAAAATATGATTTTTATATTATTTTTAAGAGCATTGCACACACAATTTGTCATCAAGGAGGAAAAGGGGAGGAGTGCTCTGGAACAGATACATAACGTGAATTGGGCTATGTATTATATTATACTTTATCATTTCAACTTATCACAGTATTTGATTAATTATTATTTTATAACGATCAAAATTTCCGAAAGATTTCTATATATATAAATGATTTAAAAATAATCCAACATAAATAATAAATATGTAGTTATTTGAGTTCTCAATTTTACCATTGTTCTTATTTTTATTTGTTATAAAATAAATAAAACAAATAAGTCTGTGTACCACAGTTTGAGTAAAAGACCCCCCCCCCCCCCCCAAAGAAAAAAAAAGCTCTTTCATATAAATAAAGAAGTCTATGTATACACTACGGGAAAAAAGGGGTGTTTTTTGTAATTGTGACTTCATTTTTGGCCTATAATAATTAAAAAATCACCAAAAAAATCAAAATGAAACAGAAAATTCCACCACCACAAAAATTGGAAGCCAAATATGGTAGGGTATGGTACCCAAACAATATTATTGGCCTAGAGAATTTTTCTTTCTATAATTTCGTGAGTTGAATATTTTTTCTTCCAAATAAAGGAAGAAAGAAGGTTTGGTCCTACTTCAAACTTTTTTGATCACAACAAAAAGCTGTTCAAGTAAGACAAAACATTGAATAAGGAAATGCGGAGGCTGTATTGTGTAATGAAAAAATAATTCTGTTAAAATTTGGTAAAGGCAACGATTTTCAGCATATAAAACGACTTTGTCAAAATTTCAAATAAGAAAAAATATACGATTTTTTTTTGTTTCTTACATAATATTAGTAAAGAATGCCTAGCAAAGGCAACCTTCTAGGGAAAACTCAACCCAATGAAGATATAAATATATACACATATTTTTTTTAATAAGCTACAACTGTAATTTCAATTATTTGCTATTAGAACGTACCTCTTTAACTTATAAAAATAAGTCAAACCGAGAGAGAATGACTTAGCATTTTTTTAAAGACATTTCTGCGAGTTTCACCATTGGTATTAAAAGCCAAAAGACCAATGAGAATTTTTTAAATCGATTTTGAATAAGTGTGGGATTACATCCTTCGCGTTGTTTCTTACTCTACTTTACCAACAAAAGTTTGTTCATTACGTGTGTTTACATATAGTATATTATCTTTTTAGAAAACGTGTCTATATATTCTTGTTTTTGAGGTATATATAATAAAAAAGCAATATTGTACTTTGTAATGCAGTTATTCATCTTGGGTCTCATTAGCTGACAATTAGCCTTTTCATCATCTGGTCAAAATGAGCTGAGGTAATACCTGCACACCTAGTTTACAAAGTAATTGAATACTAACCATCTTTTATTCATTTTTACTTGTAGAGATTCTAACTTTTATGAAATTCATCTCGGCAAACTCAAAGGTAAGCTTTCATTTGACTTATATTTTTAAACTGGAAATACTCATTCATATTTATATTTTACTAGATTGCTCTTGTACTCCACTATTACGGGTGCTCTTAGGTGCTTTTGTCTTCAAGAATTATAAGGGATATAGACTCCATGACCCTATCTTTAGCTTAGAATAACTAGATTTAATTTATTATATATTTCTGCTCATAAATTATATGGTGTAGCTATAGCTTAGCATTTTTTTCTACTTTGAAACAAAAAATAAAAACCAATTTATTTGAAACACAATTTTTTTTGAACCATTTTTTTTTTTGAAAACGCATTTTTAAATCTGTGATTTATTTCGATCAGAATTTATCGCAGATAATTGTATCTATATATGGGCATGTAAGGTACATCTATATTCCTACACAAGCAATTTCTCTGGCGGTTATTTGTTAAAGAGCGGAGTTATAAACTAATCCATAACAGGCAGGAGGTGAAAAAGTGGGTAAGCGAAAAACACCCACCTGGACGACCTCCTGAGCGGACCCCCAGTGAACCCCCGGAAGCACCTCTTTTTTTCCCGTAGTGATATATAAAAATTATTACGCTTCACAATTCAAAAGAATTGTAAATTTACCTTGAGATCAATAAGAAAAGAAGGAAAAAAATTGCAAAATTGTTGAGCATAAATGAATAAATAAATCTATAAATCTATAAATGTTTGTGTGTCAAGTTCCACCATTTCATTGGTTTCACAATATTTGATACACCAAAAACTTCATTCATTGTAATGTGTGATGTGTGTCAGTGCATAGGTACGCAAGTAAATACAATATACATATTTGTATTTATGTGTGTGTGAGAAGTAAATAATAATAAAGAGAGAGTGTGTGTATGTGCATATATATGTGTGTGTCCGGTGTGCGATCAAGGTAGGGGCCGCACAGATTATGTGTTTAAAAAAAAGGCACTGTAAAAGAATAGGTCTGGTTTGATTGGGTTGTCCTCATCCCCCTTCTTTTAGAAAACAGCATAAGTGTGCAAATAGCCCCAAGTCCTTCACGCAGTCTTTTATTTTTATTTTTTATTTATTTTTTATTTATTTTCATCTCTTCACTTTCTTCATTTCTTTACAAGGTCAGACACATTCCTCTTTGTATACATCACATACACGTAATTACTATTACCTTACACTCGCCTCTTTCTCCCTTTGTGTGTATCACTATTTCTCATCTTTCTTTCCTTTTTCTTCTTCTTTCTATTCGAATCACTTCATCTATTAGTTCCAAAAATAAATAAATAAAGTACAATGGATGCCAAACCAACAGCAACAGCAGCAGGTGCAGATCAGCGTAGAAACAAGTTTAAAAACAAAGATGCCTTTCAGGCAGAGCAAGTTCGAAACCGAAGACAGCAGCATACTGTTGAGATTAGAAAACAGAAACGTGAAGAGAATCTGACAAAGCGCAGAAACATGGTGGTTGGAAATGACAATCTTTCGGACAGTGAGGATGGTGCAGAGACTGAGACTCACGGAGAGGTAAACACTATACACATTCTCAAAAAAAATAAAAAAATAAGAATGAATGAATCGCGTGAATAGTGTTTTGTAGTTATAATATAATATCTTAATTCTATTCTCTTTTTCTTTTAAATATATATATATATATATATATATAGTTACATCAAATACTTACAGGTCTTGTTGCCGATGTATACTCTGGTAACGTGGAAAAACAATACGAAGCTACAACTCGGTTTAGAAAACTGCTGTCCAAGGAACGCGATCCTCCTATCCAAGAGGTTATTCAGACTGGCGTTGTTCCAAAGTTTGTCGAGTTTCTTTCATCACGTCATAGTCTTTTACAGGTAAATGATAGGAAAGCAAATAAGGTTTAGGACCTCTTTTATACATGCATATATGAGCTGATAGCTATATGATATTTACTAATGATTAATGATGTGAATAGTTTGAAGCTGCATGGGCATTGACGAATATTGCATCAGGATCATCCCCTCAGACACAATACGTAGTAGATTCTGGAGCAGTACCTATTTTTGTAAAGTTGCTCAGTAGTGATGTAATAGATGTTAAGGAACAGGTAAAATACTCTTTTATTTCGGGTTGAAGATTTGGGGTAGATTATGTTAGTTACCATTATCTTTCACCGATTTCTCTTTTCTGTATATGAAGACTCACAATTTGTACCCTTTTTTTTTAATATTAAAAAAAAGGCTGTATGGGCTCTGGGTAATATTGCAGGAGATGGGCCTGAATGCCGAGACTATGTTCTCAAGTGTGATGCTCTTATGCCTTTGTTGACCATCCTTGATGACCACCATAACAAGGTTTCTATGCAACGAAATGCTACCTGGGCACTTTCCAACTTTTGCCGTGGTAAGAGCCCTCAACCAGACTGGAAAAAGGTACAATAAAAAGCAAGACCACACACATAAAATTTGTTGGATTTGTGTATAAATATTTTTTATTTTCTTTTGGTTTGCAGGTGTTTCCAGCATTGCCTACGCTTGCAAAGTTGATCTACTCTTCGGATGAAGAGGTCTTGATTGATGCTTGCTGGGCAATTTCTTACTTGTCTGATGGGTTGAATGACCGGATCCAGACCGTGATTGAATCTGGAGTGTGTCGTCGGTTGGTGGAATTGCTGATGCACCCTTCATCAGCAGTCCAGACACCTGCTTTGAGATCGATTGGCAATATTGTGACCGGCGATGACATCCAGACTCAGGTGGTAATCAACTGTGGAGTTTTGACTGCCCTGTTGTCGTTGTTGACCAATGCAAAGGAGACGATCCGCAAAGAGGCCTGTTGGACGATTTCAAATATCACGGCTGGTAGTGTGACCCAGATCCAGGCTGTGATTGATGCCAACATAATACCTGTATTGGTTCATATTCTTGGCACGGCTGAGTTCAAGACACGTAAGGAAGCATGCTGGGCTATTGTGAATGCGACATCTGGCGGATTGAGTAAGCCAGAGCAGATCCGATACATTGTGAGCCAAGGCTGTATTAAGCCACTGTGCGATCTGCTGGTTGGCATGGACAACAAGATTGCACAGGTGTGCCTGGATGGACTGGACAACATTCTCAAGGTTGGGGAGATGGAGCGAATGAATGACCCTGAAGGACAGAATAGATATGCTCTGTATATTGAGGAGTGTGGAGGAATAGAGGCCATTCACCAAATGCAGGGACATGAGAACACCGAGGTCTACAAAAAGGCCTACAATATCATCGATCGTTACTTTGGTGATGATGAAGTAGGTGAAGAAATGATCGATGATCAACAACAGGGATTCAACCATCAGAACCAACCACAAAACTTCAGCTTCCAAGCTGATGCACATGCTCCTCAAGGAGGTTTCCAATTTGGAAACTAATACATACATATATACAACTCTACCACTACCAAAACACCACCTACCCACCACCAACAGCACCAGAACTACAACAATTACTATTATTATTTATCACCACTACAACAACAACAACAACAACAACAACAGCAATAGCAATAGCAATAGCAATAGCAGTGACAGTGACAGTGACACCAACAATAACAACAAAATTAAGAGAAATCCCCCCCCCCCCCCAAATCTATGTGCCTTTTTTTTTATTCTTTTTATTTTTTTCTTTGCCCCATGTACATTTTTTCTCTTTTTCTATTTTCTTCTTTCTATTTTCCATTTTTGGTTACCACAACAAAAATAAGAAACATAAAAAATACAAACCAAATATTTTTTTAACTTTTATACATTTCCTTTTAATCCTTCATTTTGTTTCATTATTGAAACAAAAATCAGAAAACCAAAAAAAAAAAAGTTAATTGCTGTAATTATAAATCTAATTATTTAAATATTTATTTATTTACCGACAGAAAATATCACATCTTCGCTATTATCTGTTTAAGTTTTATATAATAATAAAAAAAAACATTTGGAGACAACGTATAAAATAAAAAATAAAAAAAAAGTTTAAAAAAAATTATAAGCATAATAATAAGGACGTTTAATCGGCGAATATAATATTTGGACATAATAATGTATTCAAAAAGCGCAAATTTATTATTTCGCATCGTACAATACTTTAGTATCTTATATTGTTGCTAACAAATCTTCATAGCTATAATTTCTTTAATACAAAAGATATAAAAGCTACTGTTTGTGTTTTTAGTAAAAATATACTTTTTTTTTCTTGATGAATGAATTATCACAAATATTTAGTCTACATATATATTAGAAATTAAAATCACAGAAAAGTCTATATTTGGTTTAGTGTAACTTAAAAATATACCCATATATGGTATCCCAAACATTTTCTTTATAGATATATATGTATGTATAAATAAAAAAAAATAAACAAAAACAAAAAAAAAAATTTCTTTTTTTACGTAAAAATAAAAAATTATGACATATACAAATTTTTTAAAAAAAAAAAGTTATAATTTAATTACTTGTATATAAAAAAAAAAAAAGAGAATATATATCCAATCAAAATCAACCTAAAAATTGAACTAAAAATAAATACTAAACTAAAACAAACAATCAAATATAAATAAAAAAAAATAAATAAAAAAACGCATATACCACTAATTTTTTTTTTTTTTTTTTTTTTTTACTTATTTTAATTTTTTTTTTAATTTTTAATTTTTTTTATTTTTTATTTTATTTTTAAACATTTTTGGTTATTTTTTTCCCAGAAAGCATGGTAAATAAGCACTCAATAGAAATAAATAAATAAATAAAAAAAAAAGAATAAAAAAAAGAAAAAAAGAAAAAAAAAGAAAAAAAGGGGACAGTGAACGGGGGTGTGGGTAGAGTATAAGAGTGAGGGAGAAAGAGACAGATAAAGAGAGAGAGAGAAAAAGACAAAAAAAAAAGACTTTGTAGTTTAGCCAAGTAAGAGACGCAAGATATAGAAGAAGTACTTTTACTGTTGCTATTGTCATTCTTCTTTTTTATATAAAGAAGAGATATATTATTTTATATGTATACAATAGCATTAACATTAACGTTAACAATAATATAAAAATATAAATATAAAATAAAAATAAAAATAAAAATATATATCTTTTTTTTTCTATTATTATTTTTTGTATTCTGTATAGTATCATCATCTGTATAGTTATGGCCAACAGCCAGAGAGTCCAAAGCAACCATCCTACAACTATTCCCGATCCTATAATCCTCAAAATCAAACCCAACAACAGCAGCAACAGCAACAACAGCAACAGCCATACAGCTCTCCACTGTCTGATGCTCAAAGTGCATCTGGTCAACAAATCTCTGGTTTACCTGCATTTGCTTATTTATCTCAACAACAACAACAACAACAAAATCAACTTCAACAACAAAATTCTTCATCATCTTTGCCTTCTTCACCATCTCTTCCCTTAAAGGTTGAAAGCTCGGCTCAGTCTACCCAGTACCAAAACTTCAGCTCGACACGACACACTAGTCATGCAACCATAACACAGTCTTCACCACTGGCAAAACAGCAGGAGATTACTTATTCTCACTCATCTTCATATGCCAATGAGATAGCATCACGTCAGCCAGTTTCTCAACAGCAGGACAGAGCTCAATCAATGAGCCACTACAATACTCATTCAACCGTAAGGAAATTTCTTTTTATTGTTATTCTTAATCCTTAGATTCTAGAAATTCTATATAATCATTACCACTTTTCAATACCCTTTTTACCTGTACTACTTGTACTTCTTCTATTCACTACCTCTACCATTACTTCATCATCCTCATCTCTTAACGGAGAATATTATTAATCAATACACACACATACACACACACACATATGTGTAATATAAAATAATATAATATAAAATAATATAATATAATATAATATATTATTAATAATTATATAATTATATAATTATACTTCAAAAAAATCCAAAATAACAATAAAAAATTTTTGGGGGGTGTTATTCATCATAGACACATTCGCCGCATCCTGCGCAAACATTGTCAACGCCACAACAGGCCATCTATACTAATCCAGGCGACATTAGCAACATTGTCCACAGTCCTGCCGTGTCTGTGCCAGAACTGCCTACAACCCTCCCTCCACTCAACACGACAATCCTAAACAGTCCTTCGACACACTCCCCACCACGTATGCCAACAGCCGCAACAACGGCAACACCTACAGCAACACCTACATCAGCCGCCGCCGCCGCCGCCGCAGCAGCAGCAGCCACTTATTCACCAGCGCTTCACAACAACAGACAAATGGATATGCTCAACTCACGACAAAAGGTCCATGAACGTCCTGTGTGGGCTGAAGACGACTCAATTTTACGGTAAATAGATAATATTTCTTTTTTTTGTATATAGAGTGTAGTATCTTTACTTGTGGTGTATTCGTGGTGTGCGTGTGTTTGTGCGATTTTCTTCTTCTATCTATTATTTGGTTTTCGACTGGCGTGTGTATATTGTGTATTTTGTCCGTGTAATGTGTGTTTGTATGTCGATAAACGGAACTATTATCGGTGGTGTGAATGCGGAGGATGTGGTGAACATTTATATCTAATACGCTTACCACTCTACAGTGTTTCTCAAGATCCATCCGTTCTTGCTCAATTCCAGCACGCGACTCAAGCAGCAGCAACATTACCACAGCAGACAAGACGAGGTCAGATGAACTATGACCAACAACCACAGCCATCTTCATCATCTGTACCAGAGTTGAGCCCTTATGGATGTGGTGTACCCGGATGCTTCACCAGCTTCCCTCTCTCGAGTGGTCTCTTTTATCACATGAAGAGCACTCACCCCAACATTGATGACATCGAGAAACCCTTTAGATGTGCCATGCCAAATTGCCAAAAACGATACAAGAATATCAATGGTCTTCAGTACCATCTCAGAGAAGCAAAGGGCTCTTCTAGTCACGGATTAACTCTCGCTTCTAACGAAGATGGATCACACCATCACAATCTTGGTGGCATTCAAGGTGCTGCTGCCCAGAAGCAATACAGCTGCATTGTTCCTGGTTGCAAAAAGGCTTATAGAACTACTAATGGACTGCGTTACCATCAGACTCATGGTCACAACGTTCAGGGTTTGGGGTCCGACCCACTTCTTGGTATTCCTCATCAAAGGAAGCCACGGTCAACCCAGGCTCAAGTTCAGGCTCGACAGCAAGCCCAGGCTCAGGCTCAAGCTCATGCCCATGCCCAGGCTCAAGCTCAAGCTCAGGCCCAAGCTCAGGCTCAAGCTCAGGCTCAAGCGCAAGCTCAGGCTCAGCACCAGGCTCAGGCTCAAGCTCAGGCTCAAGCTCAAGCCCAAAACCAGGCACGTTTTCAGGCTCAACAGCAACACGTTCAACAGCAACACGTCCAGCAGCAACACGTCCAGCAGCAACACGTTCAACAGCAACACGTCCAGCAGCAACATGTCCAACAGCAGCAGGTCAAACAGCAGCAGGCAGCCCAGCAGCAACATGCTCAGCGTATTCAACAGGCTCAACAGCAACAGGCTCAACAGCAACAGGCTCGTCACCAGCAACAACTACAGCAACAACACCATCATCAAATGCAACAACAACAAGCTCAGCAGCAGCAGCAGCAGCAAGCTCAACAACAACAAGCTCAACAGAACCAACAAAATCAACAGAATCAACAGAATCAACAGAATCAACATGTTCAAAGACAAGCAGCTTATCAATATCCTTACCAGGATACACCTTCTTCAACCATTCCTCAGGCACAAAACTCACAGGCAAAACCTCAGCGGGATAAATGGACTTTGGATAATCACGTCTAACGTGAATATATATTATTATAAATTTTAATTTCTAATACTACTTTATCCTTCCTCACTTGTTTATTCCCTTCCCGTCTACCTTGTCTACTTCTTCTACCTCTTTTTCTTTATATTATTATTATTATCACTACTATTATTATTATTGTTGTCTTCTCCCTTTTTCTTTTCTTTTGTCTCTCCTTTCCCTTATCTAATTATCTTTTCCAGGTTGTGAAGACTGGGAAAGAGGTTTACTGCATTTGTTTATCAGGCATTTTATCTCATCCAAGTATCCCCTCATCCCTCCCACATTGGTGTAAATAAAATACAACCCGATCAGTGTGCGTGCGTTTGTGTGCGTTTGTATGTCTTTCTGTCAGTCGGTTCTGTCAGTCTGTCTGTAATCCATCTTTTCATATAAACAAATAAAAATATGCATATTCACATACATATCTACTTACATATACATATAAATGTGCTTATAATATATATATATATATATATATTCACTCGCTAATTCACACGTCTATATAGAATACCTCTTGTCTTCTTTTTCTTCATCTTCATCTTCACAATATACACTTTAGAATATGTGTCGTAAAACAAAGTAATTCTTCTCATTTCTTTCCTTCTTCCATTTAGTTTGCCTTATTTTTATTTTTATTTTTATTTTTGTTATTACTGTTATTAATAATGTCTGTTTATGCGCGCGAAGGAGGAGATACCTGTTGCATTCAAAGAAAAGAGGAACATTAAGAATTAAGAATTAAATATTAAAGAAAGTACTAATACTCTAGTATAAAGAAGAAGTAGAAGCAGATATATAGATAGAGAAGCAAAGAAAAAGAACCCAGCAATATAAAAGTCTCCCTCACAACCATAAAATGCTTACCAAAATAACACCATCACCACGTACGAACAGCATGTCAAAGTTACGGATCACAGTCTAAAATAATAAACATAATCATAGTAAGTAAACAGTGCTGTTAGTTTCTTCCAAGTATGTATTTATTTATTTATTTGTTTATTAACCATCCCCTTTTTAAATCTACTTTATTGTATCCCTATTGACTCAAGTATCCAAGCAAAAGCTCAAAATCCCAAGAATTGATATTTGTACTTATATATATATATATATATATATTAAACGTGTTGACTTTTATATACTAATCCACAATATTCTTTGTATTCGATTGCTTACCCGGACAAGTTCTTCAAAGGTATCTTCATTGACATCCACAATGGTAATTGTTTCTTCAACCTCACCCAACACCATATTCAAATGGCCATCGTATGCCTTGAAAGATAAGTAAAGAAAGAAAGAAAGTCATTTATATGTATATGTTATAGTCAATAAAAGAAGACAGATAAATAGATAAATAAAAGGTGTTGCCATCTACAATATATATTTATAAAAGACATACATGCAAGACACCGCGTAATTCGCGATCGCCTCTGAGCTTCACATAAATACGCTCATCTAAAGAAAGGCGGACAAGATCAAGGGGTTCCTCGACCGCACCAACATCAGCCACTGCAGGATTTGTAGTCGTTGTTGCGTCTGCCATTGTTAAATGTAAAGGAGAGTTTTATAGCTTATAGTTTATATATAAATTATAAGTATATATGTATGTATATATATATAATATATAATAAGAAAAAATTAAAAAATAAGACAAATTGATTATCCGCCAAGTAATGAATGCCTCTAGTACTTCCCCATATAAAAATAAAAGTCACGGTGCTCAGGGTCACTCATACAGAGTTTCGCATTCAAAAAAGAGAAGCTCTGTATTAGCATTTCTTTTAAAGAAAAGTGACTTCTTATGTTTTGTGAAGAAATAAAGACACTCCAGTTATGCTTGGCTGGCCCAGTTGTGTAAATTGTTACAAGTTTTTGTACAGAGAGAAAAAAATCAATAACAACGAAAACAACAATGGATGACCTTAGTGAAGAACATCAACGCTTGTTAACTGAATTCCAAGTGGGTTCTCCTTCTTCTTATTCTTATTTATCTTTTTTTTACTACCGTTTTTCAATTTTACCGAACTACAGTTTATAAGAACAAAAGATGGTTTTCTAATGACTTGATATCTTGTTCACTTATCAATACAAAACAAGGTCGCAATGCCAATGGATTCACAGCAGGCAATGAGAAGACTAAACGATTGTCAATGGCAGCTTCGTGTGAGCTACTCTAAATACCCTCTCCCATCACATCTCATCCTTCTATATCTTATTATTTATTTATTAATTAATTAATTAACTAGTATTATGGTTTTTATCTTTTGACTTAATAAAATAAATAACTAAAATAATATATATATATACATATATATATGTTTTATGTTATATGTATACAAGCATTATTACTCTTTTTTTTTACTTTTATAATAATTAACACATATATATATATATATTCTTTATTTTATATTTATTTATTTGGGTACAGGATGCACTCCAATCGCCTGCTACTGAAGCACCTCATGTACCTTCCTCTTCCTCTTCCTCCTCTCCTCCTACTTTACCACAATTACCTGTCAACAGAATAATGTTCATCTTACGGTGGCCAGCTCATCTTGTCTGGAGAATGACCTTGACAATACTCTCATTTGCTAGTAAAGTACCTTTCACCTTAACTACATTACGTTATGCTAAACTATAGTAAATGGTTAAAAATGCTTTTATACTTAACAAAAAATTATGCCAAGTGTGCCAAACACACACACAAACACACAAACACACGCACACTTTACTCACACACAAACATCTTTATTTTGTTTGCGTTTTATTGCTTTTTCTTCTTATGGGAATAAAAAATAAATAAATAGACCGTCTTATACCTCGCCACACTTTAAGTTCTCCTCCACGAAACGATCCTCGCTCTGCTGCTACCAATTTATTGCGTTGTTTTGAAAAGAAATATGGAGAAATACATGTCCCTTTTTATCAAGGAAGCTACTCACAGGCACTTCTCACAGCCCAGCGGGATCTTCAATTTGTCTTGGTGATTCTCTTTAGTGACGAGCATGATGACACTGATTCATTTTGCAGGTAACTACTTATTGTTAATATGCATATATAAAAGGATCATAGTTGACATAATATTGAGAGTAATGTTGTTTAATTATTATGATTACTATGTTTGTTAGAAATACTCTCACTTCTGAGCATCTGATAGACACCCTTCAGCGTATGGATTTTCTGGTTTGGGCTGGCAATGTATCTGATCCAGAAGCATTTCAAGGTAAACCTAATCTCATCTAAATACAAATTTTAGCTGTATATATATTACACACACAAATGTGTGTTTGTCTGTGGATCAATCTATATGTGTGTCTGTACTAACACACAAAAACAAACGAACTAGTGAGTGCTGTACTTCAGGCAACAACATATCCATTCCTTGCTGCACTTTCATTTCCAGCTCCAAGCAACAACAATAACAACGGTAGCAATAACAACAGCAATAACAACAGTACTAGTAGCAGCAGCAGCAGTAGCAGCGGCACTGGTAATAATAATGACATTTCAACACCTCCAAAGTTGAATGTAGTAGACCGGATGGAAGGAGCCATAACTCCAGAAGATGTGGTGCGTCGACTGAGTGTAGTCCATGAGCGACACGTACCTATGTATACACGGCTCAGAGCCGAGAGGGATCGTGTGGCACTCGAACGCCAATTGAGACAAGAACAAGAACGTGCTTATAAAGAAAGTCTTTGGGCCGATCAGGAAAAGGAACGTAAGGCACGTGCGGAACAAGAGGATTTGATGGCTGCAGAAGAAGAGGCGCGCGCGAATGCAGCACGAGAAGAGGAAGCACGGCGCACTCTTGAAGAAAAGAAGATCCAATACCTGCACTATCTCTACAGCCGGCTTGACCCTGAACCTGAACCTGAACCTAAGCAAGCACAAGACAAACAAGCTTCTGTCACAAAGATCCGTTTCAAAATTATTGATGGTACCACGGTTTCCCGTAACTTTAGAGGCGATGTCTCTATAGAAGTAAGTATTTACCATTATCTCCCACATATATATATATGTGTGTGTCGATGTAGATTGTATTTCATAGTTCTTACAGCTAATCCATTTTCGTCAAGGCATTGTATCAGTTTGTGGCTGTCTACCCTCTCATCCAACGTCATGAACCTGTCATTGACACTGACAAACCAAGAGAGTACGACCACGTGTATGACTTTACGATTCTTTCAAATTATCCACGCATTATCTATCCACCTTCAGACCGTTTGATCAGCGACGAAGACCGACTGTGGCCCAGTGCAACCCTCATGGTTGAACCTTCGGAGAGTTTGTAATATATAATATAATATATACATATATATAAAATAATTCAACCGAAATCAAAGTTGTGTAATCAATATTCTGTTTTTTTTTATATACATACAATTTTTCACTTTTCTTCTTCTTATTTTTTTTTTCTTTATTAAATAATAAGAATATAATTATTCAAATGAGCTCCCCTGTTATTATTATTACCGGTGCTTCCCGTGGAATCGGTCGCTCAGCAACCTTTTTGGCATTGTCAAAGTTTAATGCTCGTGTGGTTGCTGTTGCCCGCGACGAAAGCAGACTCATTGCACTAAAGTTGGAGGCACAGGCGATGGGAAAAGCAGACAACCTTATTACTGTGACTGGCGATGTTACCAACGAAACCACTAATAGCAATGCTGTCGATCAGGCATTGTCAACTTGGGGTCAATTAGATGCTATCATTGCTAATGCTGGGTAATTGATATATACATAAATAAATATAAAATGAGAAAAAAAATGCATAAATTGTGTTTGTATATATATATTGAAATTTTGTAATTTTTGTGCAATTTAGTGTTCTTGAGCCTGTGGATACTATTGCAAACGGATCTCTTGAAGTGTTTAAGCAGTAAGTTTCATTTTGTGGCTGTTGATTATATCGACTGAAATTTATAGCAAAATATTCAAATCTCACTTTCTTTTTTCTTTCTCTTTCTCTCTTTGTATAGCTTGTTTGATGTCAACTTTTTCTCTATTATCGATCTCTGTCAGAAAGCCCTTCCTCACCTTCGCAAGACAAAGGGTTCCATTATTATGGTTTCCTCCGGAGCTGCATTAAAGGGTTATCGCGCCTGGGGTGCTTATGGCTCGTAAGTTTAGTTCACACCATTACTTTCTTTTGATATATTTTCTTGGATATGAATTACGTAAATATAAACTAAATTTTTCATATCATATATTATTTTTATTATCACTTATATATATTAGCTCCAAGGCTGCATTGAACCATTTGACCAACACTCTTTCTGTCGAAGAGCCTGATGTTACTACAATTGCCATTCGCCCTGGTGTGGTCGATACCGAGATGCAGGGTTTGTTACGTTCAATTGGTAAGCTATTATATAATAGAAATAAGAAGAAGGGTCAAAAGACTAGCAAGAGAAAATTAGTTAATTTATTGCTATTACGATCACTGATAATAATAAAAATAATACTATTCAGGCAAGGACACAATGGAAGGTGATTATCAAAAGTTTGTTGACCTCTACGAGGCCGGTAAGCTCATTAAGCCCGAACAACCTGCTCATGTCTTGGCTGCTCTTGCTGCAAAAGCACCAAAGGAACTCTCTGGTCGCTTCATTAGCTGGGATGAAGATATCTTGGCTGAATATCGTTCTTAAATTGATAGTCTTATTATAATAACTTAAAACATTATATATATATATATATATATATATATGTATATATAGATTATATGCAACAACAACAACAGCTTATAATAATAATACCTCAAATAGATATTCATTTTCTTATTACTTTACTAATAGAGTGTTGAATTTTATCTCATCAACATTTGGTCTTTACCAAAACTACCTTTTCATTAAGAACGTTAGAAAGTGGGCAGGATAAAAGTGTGTGTGTATATATATTTACTTTTAGTAATAATAGCAATACTGAAACTGTATTCAACTTCAACGCATAATTATTGATTGTACATTGAAAAAGGATCATTTTGATCCAAATGGCAAACTAAATACCAAAAGTCGACAATAAATCCAAACCGGCTAAGCAACTATTTTCTGTTGGTGTAATTAACCTAGTAGCACATGTGTAGATCCATCATTTAAAGGTTGTTTCAAATTGATTGCTCTAATATTGATCGAACCATCCTATTTTTCACTCTAAAAACGCATTTACTAATGAAGAGCTGGCTATTTGCACCAAAAAGTCCATTTTCGATACCCATTTTTCCTCAGAGCAACATCTGAAAAAAAATTGAAAATTTTTATTTATTTTTTCTACTAAGTAAAGTTGTGTCAAATGTTAATTGATACCGGTCAGTGCTTGTTTGACCAAAAACAGGTCAATATTTATAGAGATATCAATAGGTTTAAAAATGCCAATATCGATATTTCCACCACCAAAAGAGGTTATTTTAAATATCCGACATTATAAATGTGTGGGCCAAAGATCACTCTCACTGTGCAATGCCAATCTCGTTAATCATTTGGCCCGAAGAATTATCAAGACAATAAGCTGATAATAAATTAAGTAAAAGGAAATTGTGGTGTATTTTTCGAAAATTTTATGGCCTTTATTTCGGGCTATACTGGGTCTATTATATCATTAAGTATATATACTCTAAGTAGGACTGGAACCCAGGTTGGTTGGTATAAACACTGTGGCAAGATTGATTTTTGGGACACACATTTTACCATCGTATTTTAAAAAAGGCCTTTTATTTAATTGGTGAATATAGCAATATTGCCTTTTTTATATACTTCTTTACAAATACTGTCTCTGAGAGCTATTGATATCTCGCTTAATATCCCGCTCTCGAAGGTAATATAAGTACTGACCAACCTGTATTTTCTTTTTACACAAATTTACTTAGTAGATTAGAGAGAAAATTTTTCTGCCTTTTTTCAAATGTTCGTCTGAGCAAAAGTGGGTGTCGAAAATGGACTTTTGGTGTAAATAGGCCAATCTTTAGTGCTTAATGATTTTTAAGAGTGAAAATGTAAGCCTATTTCGCTAATTCTTAATTGATCCAAATCAAAGTGTGCTGAAAACGTGGATTTTAATGGTTCTCACTAGGTTACTTAAATCTATAAGGACTATTAGCTTTACTGATTTTGATCTGTAATTGATTATATATGCTATTTGGATCAAAATAATCATATTTGGTAAACAAAGATTGATCCCAATGATAAATATGAAAGGTGTATTGTAAATAGACGTTTTTTTTTAGTAGGAGGCATAAAGAGTACTATTTGTGCTGTATGTCAGTGATATATCAAGACTGGTTATGTAATTGACGTACCTTTGACAATTCATCAGCTCTGTTCAGACGTAATTAGGCACTGACTTTGACTGAATTAAAAGTGTAATTAGACTCTTTTCTGTTTGAGCCCTTAGTAGTAGCTCCTCTGTGTACTTCGATTTAGATATACATACAAAATGAATCTTTAAGTATATTCTCAAAGATGTAATAAAATTCGTTTAAAGTGCTGTCAGGTTATATAAATATGTTTTAATCATTTAGCAAAAATGCTTTCAGAAAGTGTTCAAGATCCTTTGGCAGTCCTTTTAATTTGGTAAAACATGCTAAAGGCTTCACTACCACATTTTTTGTATATAAGTCATTCTGACATAAGCTTGACACTTTGGGACCCAAACACCACTAGATATTTAATACATGCACTTTACCTTTCTTTCAAAAGGCTATAAGTATATATATATATATATATTGGTATGCTTTTAGAGACAAATTATAATAAAACAATTAAAGAGGTTATATTCTTGACTTGACAGAATCTAGGTTATAATGACAATTCAATGTTGTCCTGTATATACATATATATATATACATATATGTGTGTGTATGAAACTTGGGCATCCTTTTTGTTGAATAAAATAATAATAATAGAGCTGTGCGTTTTCATTGAAGAAATTATGAGGGAATTTGTATGTATGTGTGTGTGTGTGTGTGTGTGTGTGTAAATATATATATGTATATGTATATATTATCTTTATCCATTTTTTTGGTTCTTTATACAACTACTCTTTTCTTTTTCTTTGATTCTTTCTTTTATTCTCTCTCCATTCTCCTTCTTCTTTGTCTTTTGTGTATATATTTTTATGTATATTTCCTTTATCGGCTCTGGACCAAATCATCAATCTTCATGATCATCTTGACGGTCTCTGCGGCCAATTCAATTGCGCTGGTGCTGACCAACAAGGGCTGGATGACATTCTCATCAAGAATGTTTGTGATAGTTCCCTTCTTGACATTGATACCAGCAGTGACCTCACCGTGGGCGTGCTTGTTTCTCAACTCAGTAACAATACCAATGGGGTTCAAACCTGCGTTCTCAGCAAGAGTGGTAGGAATAACCTCGAGAGATTCGGCAAAGGCGTGGAAGCAGTACTGCTCCATACCAGTCAAGGTCTTTGCGAACTTCATCAATCTCTGGGAAACTTCGATTTCAGGGGCTCCGCCACCAGCAATCAAGGCCTTCTTCTTGACCAAACAACGGATGACACACAAGGCATCGTGGAGAGAACGGTGAGACTCCTCCAAAACCAAGGAGTTGGCACCACGGCATACAACAGACACAGTCTTGCCGGCGTGCTTCATACCGGTAACCTTGACAATGCGAGATCCTGCTGAATCAGCCTCCTCTACCAGATCAGCATAACCCAACTTGTCCTCAGTGAAAGATTCGACATCAGCAACGGGTCTGCAGCCGAGAGACTAAATTAATATAAGGAATCAAGTTAATACAAGTAGCCAATATATACATATATAATGCGTGTTTCTCCAAGGTCTTAAGAAATGGTCCGGTATTAAATATTCTTTTTTTAAACAAAGAAAAAGAAAACGAAGGAGAGAATTTTTTCTCACAAACCATATATCTTGTCTATTTCTTTTATACCCATATCTCTCTATATATCTCTTAAAATGCTAATACTTTTGTTTTTTTTTTGTTTACCTTGGCAAGGAATTCAACCTCATCACGCTCGATATCCTTAATGACCATAATCTTGAGCTTGGCCAAGAAGTGAAGAGAAAGTTCATTGACAGCATCACGCAAAATTGACTTTTGGATCAAAAGCACGTTGCAGCCAGACTTCTTGATCTTCTTGCACATATTGAGCAAGTACTGACGCTCCTCCTTGAGGATCTTGTCCATCTGGCGATAGTCATTGACGACAATCTGGTTCTCCATGTCGGGCTTAGGGGGGGAGAGCTGGAACTGAATGAGACCGATCTTGGCCTTTTCGACACGAGTGGGTCCACCAGCAGACTTTACGACATTCTGGTTCATAACCACACCGTCTACAAGTTCGGTGTCGTCAATGGTACCTCCGACCTTCTTGACAATGCGGACATCGTTGAGGTTAACATTGTTTGTCACAGTAGGATCAATAACACGGATAACGGCATCGACGGCAATAGGAGCCAACAAGCTCGAGTACTGGGACACAATCTTGGAGTTCAGGGAGGTCGAAGCGGCTCTCAAGAGAGATTCACGATCGGCAAGGTTGACGGGTGTGGACATCTCGGTCAAGAATTCGACAGACTTTTGTGCAGCACGCTGGAAAGACTCAGCAATGGTTGTGGGGTGAATACCTAGACAAAGCAATATATAAAAACAAAGGTAGGTAGATAGGAAAATGAAAGTCAGTACATAAATATATACACGTGTGTAATTAAACATCAAGAGACGCGTTGTAACTTGTTCTTCTTTTTGGATTTTCTCTGCATTAACCCTCCTTCCTTCCAAACCTCGACTCAAATTCTTTACTACCAATCCTCACTATTTTTTTTTTCCTTTTTTTCAATCTTCTACTATATATTTCTTTCCTATCTTCTTACCCTTGTTGAGCAACTTCTCGGCAGCAGACAGCATAGAACTGCAAAGAACGACAACAGAGGTGGTACCGTCACCAGCCTCGACATCCTGAGCAGCAGACAAATCGACCAACTGTGGGTGTGGAGTTTTGTTTTTAATAGTAATAATAAATAAGTATATAAAGATACGATTAGAATATTTTTCCAACAAAAGAAAATGACGATCACTTGATGCTTAAATCAAATGTCATGTCAAGTCAATCTTTACCATCTTGGCAGCAGGATGAAGAACGGCCATGTGCTTGAGAATAGTAGCACCATCGTTGGTAATCACAACCTCACCACCTCCAGTTTGGATCTAAGCATGCCAATTGACATTCGAATCTTTCGTGAGTTTCCTGTTTCTTTTATTCATATTTCATCTCATCTCTCATCTTATTTCATTTCATATCTCGATTCATTGGTTGTAACAACACAGTCCGAAACAAATAAACAAAAAAGCAAACAGACAACAGTAATGACAATTATCAAGTGCTATACAGATGTGTACAGCTTTGATTCTTTCCTGCTACTTCTTTTTTTTTTTAAAATTTTAATTTTTTTATTTTATTTCTTTACCATCTTGTCCATTCCACGAGGACCCAATGAAGTACGGATCGCGTCACCTACGGCTATAGGTTTTTATAGAAAGGGAAGAAGTAAGAATAACGAGATGATGAGTATTTATTTTTCTATCTTTTTTTTTCCTTTTTATTTATTTATTTACGTGTCAAAATTGAGCACATAGATAATTATTTGTATGTATGTGTGTAGGTACATAATTAATTATTATTTGTATATCATTATTACCTTTGGCAGCGATGATGTTGCTCATCCGTACCTCCATGGGCTTGCCCTTATCTTGGAAACTCTTGTTGTTGGCAGTGGGTCTAGCTACGTCAGTCATGATGATGATGATGAAGATGCGATGAAGATGAATTTCCCCGCCACCACTCACTACAAAAAAAAATTGAGCGGGCTCGTGTGGCCCTCAAATTTTACTTTTTATTTTTTATACGTCATCCGCTCCCAGTCCCCCCTTCCTTCCTTCTTTCCTTCCTTCCTCGTGGTAGCTTAACCCTCCGCTCTTCTGTCTCAAATTTATATGTATTTTTATATATAAGGTTTTTTATTTTATTTTATTTTATTTTATTTTTATGGTGGCATATGAACAAGAGAAGAAGTGAACCTCTTTTTGATATTATTTTTGTATTTTATTTTAAAGTAGTAATAATAATGATACAAAGAGATAACGCGTAACAGGAATTAGTGTTAAAATGGGCGCGTTGACATAAAATATATGTGTTTTAACAAAAATCATTCATATTTTCAGATTTATCTTTGAAAAAAAAAAAAATAGACATGACATTGATGTAAAATCTGTCAAAATTAATAATACAAATAATATAAATAAAAAAAAATTAAAGAAAATAAAATAAAATAAAAATATCGCAGAGCGCAGTCATGTTTTTGGTTTATTTTATTTTTTATTTTTTTGAAAATGAAATATAGTCGCCTTGTTCACTGTAATCAAAACGCGTGCTTCGCATTCATTCAGCAGTTACTGAATAATAATAAAGATAAACAAGGCTTGTATTTTGTTATTTGGAATCCTCGTGTAAGAATAATGGAAAACGTATGCCACGTTTTTATTTTTGCTTTTTTTTATTATTATTTTTGGGTTGTTTCACCAATTTTGCATGCTTTTGGACTTTTTTTTTTATAAAATAATTTCTCAATCTCAAGTAGAAGTACTGTAATAGGGGGGCTTCAAATCAATATTTAGACAAGTTAAGTTTCATGCACTTCCCTTTGAATCTTCACTATATATATATTGAAGCTATTATTCGACATGAAAGAAAATATCCAACACTCGAATCGTAACTTTTAGATCTTAAGAGGTATAATTTCCTTTAATATAAGAAATACAGTATCGATAAAATAACAACAAGAACAACAACAACAACAACAACAACAAAAAGGGGGAGGGGGATTAGATATTTGGATGTCAAGACTCTTATCTTATTCCTTGGATTTAGTTCAACCAATTACATTTTGGATTTTAAAAATGAAAATAAAAGGTCTGTAACTGAGAAAACTTGGTTGAAACCCCCTTTTCATATTTCAGTGTACTTTTCAAAAAAAAAACAATCAAGGAAAATATTAGTAGCAAGTTTCTGCTATTCTTTTTAAAGACGTTTCTTATTTTATTTTATTTAAATTCTTCTTTTCCAAATATTATTTTTTTAATTTAGAAAACCAAACAAAAGAAAGATGCTCTTATATGTACAAATTTTGAATGTACAATTCAATTGAATACAAGTTATATAAAGGAAAACTACATTTAAATATTTAATAATTTGTTTTAGGAAAAAGCCTTGTGCTATATTGATGATCAAGTGTGGTGTTTCAATTGGCTAAAAAAACGAATGAATCATTTTCTGTAATCAACAGAATCTTTTATATGGCTAGATATATTATAATCGTTATCTTTTAACATGCACACAAATAATTACCAGCTTTCTGTTTGGTCAATTTGTCTAGTTTGTCATGATAATTCATTAAATAGAAAATGGCTGTGAGTGGGCCTCCTCTAGCTTGTAATTAATTGTCATGGGCTACTCGCCAATAAAACTAAAATGCTTCGATATCCCTCATACAAAAAGTATATATTTAGAGTTCCTCCCGGTTGAGTCAAAGAGATGAAGCACAAGAAATAATTAGCATTATTTAGCTAGTTAGTTACTTTGAAAGAAAGTATAAAAAGGGGTGAAAGATGTTAAATGAACCAACAAAGTATTCTTTTTATTCCCCCTTCTACTTCCAATGGCTACCAAAGACAACTGGTCTTCCGATCTATATTCTACAAATGCCTCATTTGTTCCCAAACTTGGATCAATTATATTAGGCATGCTCGATGCTAAACCTTCTGAGCACATACTTGATCTTGGCTGTGGCGATGGAATTCTCACTGCTTCTCTTGGCGATCAATGTGCCTCTGTTGTGGGAGTTGACTTTAGCTCGGACATGATCGAACATGCAATCAGTAGCAACAAGCATAACAATATCAAGTACTGTGTTGTCGACGGTCACTATCTTCCGGAATGGTTTGACAAATCCAATCAATCGTCTTTTGATGCAGTTTTTTCTAATGCAGGTCAGTTGATAATGTTACACGCTTGATTAATAATAACAATATTACTATAACACTATCCATGTGTGTGTGCGCTTGTCTAGTTGATTGTGATTTCATAACATTTAAAAGTACTTTATTTCTTTCTTCTTTTATTGTATAGCCCTTCATTGGCTCAAGGAACCTGTCAAGGCTATTAATGGGATGCACCATGTTCTCAAGCCTAATGGGCGTGCAGTTTTGGAGTTTGGGGGACACATGAATGTTGGAGGTAAATATATACCTATATATAATAACAATTTCTCTCTGTGTACACCTATTTCCAAGCCTTTGGTAAACTTTTCTATTAAAGAAAAAGTCTTCCTTTGTACTCACAAAATATTGTACTATACACCTTCTTTAACTTTATGACTATATTATAGAAATCCACACTGCTTTGATTACTGCTTTGAGTAAACGGGGTTTTGACGGCAAAGCTCTTTCACCATGGTTTTTCCCATCTGCCGAGTATTATTCTGATCTTCTGGAGCAGAATGGATTTGATGTTGCTACGTGCGAGTTAGTGCCTCGTATTACCCAGTTGGACACAGATATTAAGGGTTGGATCAACACGTTTGGATTCTCGTTCTTTAAGGATCTGACCGATGTCGAAAAGGGCCAAATAATTGATGAAGTGGTCGAACACTTGCGACCAGGCTATCAACGTGAAGATGGCAAATGGTTTGTGATGTATGTCCGTTTGCGAGTAATTGCTCACAAGAGATCCATTTGAATACAAACATACTACAGTCTTTCACAAATGATATGGTAAATTTTTATTTGATTTGTTTTAATAAAAGAATAAAGTTTATTATTAAGATTTGCTTTTTGTAAATGCTGAGCCATTTTAATGATCAAAAAATGGAGAAAGAGAAAAGATGAATGGTGCGATTATGTTTCATTTCTTTTATTCTTTTTGTACAAAAAGTCCAGAGTAAATTTTATTTTTCAAATTAAAAAATTAAAATTTTGAAAAACAAATATATATATAATTATTTATTATTATTAATAAAAATCGACAGTTCTTTTAAAAATTGAAACATATTTTGAGAATGAAGATACACTACGACAAATAGGGGCGGTTTTTTGTATTTGTGACTTTGTTTTTGGCCTATAATAATTAAAAAATCACCAAAAATCCAATTTGAAACTAGAAAATCTCTGTTTTTTGAAAAGGTTGACAAAAAGCAGATTGACCATCTAAAATTAAATCTCCTGATAGACAAAAGTACATTTTAACTACAGACTTTACATTTTTAGTAAATGTAGATTGCAATTGATGACTATTAAAAGTCAGAGGTAAAAGAGAGAAAAATATCTAAACTTTTTGCTGGGAGGATAAAATATGTTAAGACAATTTGAAAAAAAATAATGTATTACAAGAAAAAAAAATTATAAGTCTGCAAGAGAACCAAGTGACAGTTTTGGGCCGCGGTTAAGCTCTGGCCACACTACATATGTTGTTGCTGCTGTTGTTATTGTGTTTATAGTCGTGTCCGACTTCACCAAACCAACTAATTCTTTGACATCTGCCAGGTGAACTACCATTGGCTTCATTTGCCCATTGTTGATGACTGGTATACTATTTACCAAACGAACTGCATAAACATTGACAAGGACAAGCGGCCACCTCTTGTTGTTGAGCTTGTGCTCAAAGAAAACGACGACCTTCCCAAAGAAATCCTTGTAGACTGGAGAGTAGCTTTACCCAATGTTGCGGTTCTCATCAACCTGAACCTGAAGTCTGACGTTATGTGCCTCTCTTACACAATTATGGTCGAGTGCAGAGTCAATAACACAACCATTTACAAATGCCTTACGGCTTGTTTTAATGGCTGCTCCAATCATACTACACTCTTCCCCCTTTGATTCGTAGAACTTTTGAAGAAGCTCTGGAAGACAAGAAATGCCTCCAAAACTATCAACAATCGTTCTGTTCCTCAAAGGCCCCCAGAACTCAATGTCAGAATCAGTACCAACATTACTACCTTCTCGGTCAATTGGCCAACCAGCAGAGGGATCGTCATACTGAAGGAGAGTTGTTGCTGTTACTGTTGCTGTTGTCGTTATTGAATTTTCAACTCTCATCTGTCGAATCTGTGTCAAGCCAAGCATGATGTTGCCAGCGTTGATTCCAATTGCCGAATTACTCTTTATTGCTCGCGAGTATTCCCCAATCGTCCTCTCGACAGATCGTGCACTATACGCTCTGGGGGGACCATACGCTTCTATCATTGCGGGATAGTGCTGCAGGAGGTGCTGGTTGATCGTAAAGACCTTGAGCTGGACCTCTCCTTTAGCTAGCGAGGCTTCCAGATACGCATTCCATGCGACGAGATTTCTAAAAAAAAAGATAAGTTAACACAAGTTATAAAATAATAATATTAATTATAATTAAAGCTTACGTTTTGATCAAGGTTTTCTCCTCTGCTGATAACTCCCAGCTCATGAGTAGGTTGCATGTCTGCACCAGGTCAAGCAATGCCTTACGGGCAGCTTGGTCACGGACACGCTCTGCCACAAGCGTGGGGATAACAAACAAGATGAAGTCAGCCCAGTCCACAGCCCGGAAGTACCCTGATCTTGTTGCGATGTTGATCCATGCACCGTGGAAAGATGTCGGAATACTTCTTCTGGTTGACACCATGGCAGTACCAATTTCTTTCTGAGCAGCAAGGGAGAGAGAGAGAGGATGATCTTTTCCATACTTGCCACACACGAGCCCCCAGACCTGTTTGCCAATGCCGTGGCAAATGCCGTGCATTTCATCCAATGCAAAGAAGAACGGACCAGAGAAGGAATCCAGTAAGGAGAAGGGAGATTGGCCAGTTAACCCTTTTTTGCTGGATGAGGCCACCTCATCAAAGTGCTTGAAACTTTCCGGTGTGCGCATGGTGATGGCAGATGACATTCGGAAATATTGGCCATGGCCAGGAGATTGACCCACAACGTGGCAGATGCGGCAGCCATCCTTACTCATATGGCCCACATGACAAGCCATCTTTCCCAGAGCTGGGATGTCGCCAGTTGTCATTAGTACATGGACTTTTGCACTAATATCTCCAGATGGTGTCTTCACAACCATTCCACCGGCTTGGAGAATCCGAAGTTCTTTCAGAACAGGCTCCAGGAATGACCAGAAGTCGGCGGGTGCTTTGGGACCAGGGATGATCGCGACTTGGATCATACGGCTGCGCTCGTAGCGGATCATTGGGGGAAGGTTGAGGTTGGTAACGTGGACAATGGTTACCGAACCCGGAACACTATGGGGAGCAAACCCATCAACAGACAGCGAAATGGCAATGTCGTTTTCACCCGAGAAAAGATGCTTCTTTGACTGGTATGCCTGTCCGTCAAAGACATCGGAAATGCTGCCATCAGCCTTTTGCGTATGATGGTGGCGATACAACATCTCTTTTCTGGTGCGGTCGTTGGCCAAAGCAACTGCAAGCTGTCTACCCAGAGGAAGCTGTATCATTGTGCTGGCAGGAATTGGATTCTCACCAGCGATGTGATCGAACAATGATTTGCAATAAACATGCAAACATGCTTAAGAGGGTTGGTATAGATTTCACCAGATGCCATCAAAATTGGGCATCCATTGCAAGAGTCAGTCATCTCTGGAAAGACCGTCAAAGGAGGCAATTGTAAGTAACTATCCACTGCAGTGTAAAGTAGTATATTTAATATTGGAAGTATATGATGTATTTGACTGTTTATAACCAATAAAAATGATGTATAAAATGTAATGTCTATCATAACAGCCAATAAAAGTGATATATAAAATGTAATTGTGTAGTGTAATAACCAATAAAAACGATAAATAAAAAATATATCCATTTGAGAAACCAATAAAAATGTATTTTTATAAAATACACTACAGTGCAATTATGTCTTATCCAATAAAAACAATGATTAAGCAAGAAATATTTAAAAGAATCTAAATTAAAAGAACAATGAATTAGTAGTAACCAATGGCATATAATATTTCAACTATACTTAAAGAAGTTTTGTCCAATTGAAAGACAAATATTAGCAAAAGAAAAGGTTATCAATATATTAATAGAATCTTAAAACTACCGGTAAGCGGAGATGTATTAAAATGCACATGAACTCAGGGTTGGAAAAAAGGGGGGAGGACACAAAACGCGCCCTGGCTTCCCCTCCGGAACCACCTGTGAAACCACCTCTAAAACTCCTATTTTTTTTGGCGTAGTGTATATATAGCTCATTCTCATTATTATTCTTTTTGAAATCTTGCCTGCTTGGGAAATGTAATTACAAGAACCTATTGCTTATTACAAAAGAAAAGAAAAAGGTTGAAAATAAGCCAAATAAGGTGAATAACCAAATTAATATCTGTATCTATATCTATATATATTTATGCTTTCAACTCTAACGCAGATTTTTAAACGCACAAAATAATAATAATTAGTAAAGAGCTAGAATCAATTGGATTTTAAGATGCCTATACATATTGTGAGAAAAGAAGTTGTAGAGAGAGTGTGTGTGTGTGAATGTGCTTGTGCTTGTGCTTGTAGATGTAGTGTAATATTTTGTAGTAAGAAAAAAATAGTAAATTTATCACACGCACACCCACACATTTGTATATAAAAGCATATAAATGTACAAGTACCTAGTTTATCTGCCTTTCTCCTTTATCCCAAACATCACACCATACAACATATACCACACAGACAAACATAACCTTTTTTAATTTTAATTTTAATTTTAATTTTAAATTTCATCTTATTTTATTTTTACATTTCTTTAAACGTAAACTTCTTTACAGCTATATATACATATTTTACTTACTGTTACAGTACACAAATCAACCCAAAAGTACAAAAGAATATGTCTTTTTCAAAATTCTGTCAGTCTGCAAAGGATACTTTCCAACGTAAAGGGCGTAAATCGAGTAAGAGCGAATCTTGCAAATCGGTTCGTTTTCAGAGCGAGTCCGGAGCGGTGTTTTACACACACAGCAGCGAAGACTATGACAGACGATCTTCATTCTCAACAATGCTCGATGAACAATCAGAACCTGAATTGGTAGCAGAGATGTTAAAACATGCTGCATGTGGTGATCAGCTGTCGGAAATGACACAGCAAGATGAAGAAGCATTTGTATTAAAGCTGGATGAAGAAGTCATTCGCAACACGCTTGTCAATCGAAAACAAGGCTACCACAGTATTGCTGCCCTAGTCAGTTACAGGTCTAACTTTTAAAAGCAAAGAAGAAAATACCGGAAAAAGGGAAAGGGGAATAATCTTTACCATGTATCATTTCTTACTATCATTATTACTATTAGTTGCTGCTACTATTCCTGTTGTTATTTTTCTTTTCTTTTTTTTGCCTTTCTTGAATCTTGTATTTCCTTACTGTGAATCTATCCACCCTTTTTCCCATTCACTTGCTCATCACTCCCTCACTAACCTATATACACATACACATTTATATATACAAATCTACACTCTTTCTTATACTTACACTTACATTTACATTTACATTTACATTTACATTTACACTTACACTTACACTTACACTTACACTTGCGCTTACAATTATACTTACAATAAACTTATATAAATATATTACACAACATAATTTTTAAAAAAAAACGTATGTTATAGATGTTCCTGTTTCAATTGATTAATTAATTAATTATTATTAATGATATTGCTATTATTATTATTGGTATTAGTATCATTATTATCTTGTATATCGATGTGTTCTTGAGGTAGGGCGAGTAGAAGAAGTTTAAATATAATTATAGATAATGAAAAATGCACTCTAATTACCAATAGCTAATGAATACAACATATTCATAAATAAATATCCTGATAAATTCATAATGTATGAATTGATTGAATGATTGAATTTTGATTAATTCTCCAAAAATGTATACATAAAATAAGAATAAAACAGGCATGAATTGAATAATGCACTCAAGTATATATTATAAAATACTGTATTTTATTTTATAGGTGGACATGGGCATGTGTACCAATATATTGAATACTTTCTGGGTGCATTTTTCTTATATCATTTCTTCTTTAATTTAATTTCAGTGTTTCAATAGAGTAACACGCTATTTCAAGCCTCACTCCCTTACACACACACACGCACTAACTCACAGACGTATCTCTCTCTACATTCTGTCCTGACCGGCTGTGTGATGAGCCAATGTCTGTTACACTAGATTCACCTTTAAGAAACAAAAACAAACATTCTTCAATAGGCAGTATTCTTGCTTGTTTCTATCATTCATTTTTTTGTATGTGTAATCTATAAAAATAAATAAATAAATACGTCTTCTATTATTATCAGCATTGTCGTTATTGTCATTGATATTATTCTTCATTTCTTTCTTTTCTTTTCTCTTTTCCCTTTTTCTACTACCGCAACTCCTTTCAAAGACCCTTCAATATACCACTTTCAGTCACACTCACACTAAAACATACACATCATCATCTTATTCTTCATGGTTGAATTAAAGGTTAGTTAATAGATATAAAGTAAATATATCTATATACTTCTTCTTTTTTCTTCTTTTTTCTTGGGCAAACAATTTTAAATAATTAAATAATTATTCGAAATTGTATATTCTATTTAGACTACAAGATCAAATCTCAAGCAGTTGGGATATACTCACAGCTGGAAGTTAATAAAAGAACACGATGTCACCAAAGAATTGGCAGAGTTTGAACAAGAAGCCAACTCCAGAATACAGCCAGAATCCACAAAAATGCCACTTGTAAGAAAGCCAATATATAACAGAAGCACAAATGTATAGGTCGTACACATCTTGTTTAAGTGTCACATCCAGATACTTATTATGTATATTTTGTTTCTTTATCTGTACAGTGTCAGACGCTAGATTTAATTGTACCTGAGAAAGAGAGAAGTCATGGTAAGTTTCTATGGGAGTGTGTTAAAGGAATAATAACAAATAATAAGTAAATGAATACATGCATGCATACATACATACAAATATATATATGTATATCTAATAAAGAAGCCTTTGTGTACACTAACTAAAATTCCTGACTTCATTAAAGACCAAGAAAGACAACTACAGCAATTCCTCACTATTGTCGGTTCTTCCTTTGGCGACGAGAATATGGGATCTATTGACGGAGGCTACGACAGTGACTCTATTGATATATCTAGTAAACTAATAAAGGATTCATCTGTAAGAAATATGCAACCAAGCTAAATAAGAAATTGTTTCAAGATACCATATGCTTTTTGGTGTTGTTGTTATTGTCTGTACTAATTTCAATTACCAAATACATACATAAATTCATATATGTATATATGCATATACATTTACATATAGGTTCCTTTGGATAAAGAATTGCGTGAATGTAGAATAAATGAATTCATCGATACCGAACAATCTTACGTTGACTCATTAAAAACCTTGGTCGATATTGTTCTTAAACCGTTAAAGACTACCACACCACACACTAATACCCAGCCAATTCTCAACCAATTCAAGCTTGCTAAAATATTTCTCAACATCGAATCAGTTTTGACGGCTAATCAAAAATTCCTATCAGACTTGGAATTGTGGCAAGCAAATCCAAGCCAGCTTTCGTTCGGATTCATTTGTGCAAACCATGTAAGGTGGATATATATATATATAATATAAACTTGAAAAAGAAGAAAGAGGAAGAAAAATGGCACAATATTTCTACTGGATGGCTTTTTTTTTCTATTACTAATCAGACCTCGTATATATATATATATATATATATACATGAATTTGTCTGTCTGTATGTGTGTATGCATATAATCTCTACTTGGATTTTCGGTATCTTTTAAAGATGGCAAATTTTGAATGTTACCGAAAGTATCTAATGGATCAAAAAGAAGCACAGAAACTGCATGTCAAGGAAGTCAGATCCAACCAAAGATACAAGAAATTCTTGACTACTGCTAAAGAACATCCAGGCTTTAGACGTCGTAGTCTTCAGGATATTCTTGTCGAGCCAGTCCAAAGAATCGGCCGTTACACTATGATGTTGAAAGGTACACATTTTTTTATAAAGAAAAACTCCTTTCAGCTCTACACAATAATTAAAGTTATTCTTGAATATCTGCAAGAGGTGGTGGTTTATTGCTTTATATCAATATATAAAAGATAAATCTCAATAAAATAGTTGGCTTACATATCTATTATTATTTTTGTAGAAATTCTGAAGCACACAGATTCTGAAACAAAAGAGTGCGAAGATCTGACCAATGCATGTTCGATATCTAGCCGAATCGCAACAATGAAAGACGATGTTCCTACAAAGCTAGCTACAATGTCTCTTTCCTTGTACACTTCCATCAAGGATTCCCCAGTAAGCCAAGCTTTACTACAAAGAAGTAAATAAATTAAACAAGCAAAAAAATGGTTTCTAGTGCTCTCTTATTAGTCAGCATCGTTCTTTGGTGGCTCATTTGGATGCAGTCGAAATCCACAGGGATACAAATAAACCTTTCAGATCTGTCACATTCTTCTTGTTTACCGATAAACTACTGGTTGCAACTAGACCTTCTCATCTAAAAGGATCGGATCTTTGTCATGTTCTGAAGGACGAAGAACTATCAACGTCAAAATCAGCAGGTCACAGATCATCTGATAAAGCTACACGAAAGGATGGATCACTGAAATTCAAAGCGTGGCTTGACATTGGACAGGTTGAACTATTTGAAGGTGTTCATGGTACAGTCTTATAGAATGTATATATAAAAAGTCAGGAACAAGAGAAGAAGAAATAAAGAGTCTCATATGTTGTTTTATTAAGATTTACAAGGATCCTTTTTGCTTCGTCCTCTGAGTCCACAATCCAAGGATAATGCACCATTTTCTACATTGCCGTCTCTAGAAGCTTATTTCTACAAAGGAGCTCGTTTATACACTCCAATTTCTCCCAAAGATCACAACTTGACTCCAGAAACCACAAAAGCATTGATTCAAAGAAAGAATGACTTCTTGACAGCCTGCCAAAGAACACAAGCCATTTCAAAAAGCTGTCGTAAGAAATACACACAAACGAGTGAATTCTCTATATACATATAGAGCAGTCTCTCCGTCTCAACATCTCAACATCTCCTATTTGCCTTTTCTTTCTATCGGTTGAGCTGATTCCTGTTTGCCTTTATTTTGATTATTACTATTATTATTATCATTTGTGTAGACGAACAAAGGATAGCCTATGAGTGTACCTGGACAGATAGAAGTATTTATACTACACTGCATGATCCTGACAGTTACAATAGTACAAAGTACAAGGCAAGTTTTATTCTTTAATTCATTTATTCATTTATTTGTTCGTTTGATTGATTAATTGTCTTGCGGTTTAATAGAGTCGAATGGTGGTGGTGTATGTGGATTGTGATGATGTGCTAGAGACCGGATTTCTGTCAAAGAATACTGGATCAGAGCCTTTGATTGTAGCCCTTGTTCAGGCAGATGTCCGAGGGTTCAGATTCCATGTGAGTAGCAGACTCCATCTGAGTCCTATACACAAAAAATCCAGCTCAAAAACCGACCAGAACGTGAACGAAAAAAGAAAAGAGGGCAAGCCTTCAGACTTTGAGAGTGTTTTCTGGAACAACTGTAAGATATTATATATATACTTACTTATTCAATACCGCTAAACATACTTGAATCTTACTTGATTATTTGCTTCTATACCTCTCTGTCTTTATCTCACAAACAAATTGTCTCGAATATATACATCTATATATAAAAGTATTATTGTGCGAGCAACGATTGAGATATTCATCCGAATCATTCGATACCCAAGAACCGCTGACAGACGATGAAAACCAAAAGTTAGTTCGATCTCGATCCTTTACACGCCCCAACAGTATTCTCGGCCTTCGAAAGCTTTTGAGCTACGGAGACATCCGATCACGCGCGTCTTCTCCTCTACCATCAGCCACAGCCACAATCGCGGCAATTACATCCATATCCATATCCACATCCACGTCCACAGGAATCCCAGCCGCAACCGCGACCACAATGTCTGGCCAGAGTGGTACAAAGCAGCACGGTTTGGAAATTCAAGGCGCCAAGACAAACAATAGGGAGCACAATCAGGGAATTCAAGAACCACCGAGTATAATCAGCCGATCCCTGCCTTCCCGTACACCATCAATGAGTATCATTGATTCTCATTTCTGTGACACGGAATCATACGGCAGAAGTCTCTCCACTAGCTCGCCATTAACAGCCCCGTCTAGTCAATATCCAGGTAGTCAAAAAAGTATACATATCCCTATACTTTATTTTTTTTATTTTTATGATTTTATTTCGTTTATCAGTCTTATTTCCTTTGAGTGATTAGAGCATGCTTTTTTACAGTAAATTTAAAAGTTAGCACAGCTTCCGGGACAATGTTTATCTTATACCCGTTTCTTCTTCTTATTCTTATTCTTATTCTTATTCTTTTTATTTTTTATTTTATCTATGTATTTTAAAGCTCCATCAGAGACATCCAATTACAGCCTGAATACATGGTCAACAAGTGAAACGGTAAATGATAATAATAATGATAATAATAATAATAATAGCTGTAGTAATAGTAGTAAAAGACAAAGGGGTAGATGAAGGAGACTCAAAATATGAGGGATATAACTAAGCATTGATAATTATATATATATATATCATTTACAGAAGGTCTCACTTGATTCTTACTCCCCAAATCCAGAAAGCTATTCAGAGGTATGACTAGATATATATATATGTATATGTATTTAATATCTAGAGAGAGAAAGAGAGGGGAATCGTGTTAGTTGAGGCTGATAATGTGGTTTCATTTTTTTTTTGGTGTTCTTTTAAAATATATGTACTATTTCGGCTCAATCATGAATGTATCTTATAAAAACCACAAACACACTACACATGTAGTCAAATCAATGTTACCGTGATACAAATTCAGCAAAGCAAGATGATTTGTTAAGTTTTTTACTACAAAAGCATCACCAAAGTGATAAGAATTTCATCTCGACCGAAACAGACCATTGGCCAACGTATCACTATGCCGACACCAACACTACCACCACCGACACCAACAAAAGCAGCAACAAGAATAGCATCGATAGTAGCACCGTACTACTAGAAAACTCGCCATCTTATACATTCCCATCTTCAGTATCCGCCACAGTATCTTCCCCAAGTACGACAACGAGTTACCGATCCAATACTCCGGGACTTTTTAATACATTTTCTTCGAATAGCAGTGGCCAGAGTGTAAAGAGCTCAATTGACTTGGAAGATGAAGGCCATGATAATGATTACTATTATTACGAAGAAGGCTATCAAGTAAGTAAAGAAGAAGTAGAAAAAAAAAGTTAAATTTTATTATTAGGCATTTAGGCAATAAGTGTTTTCTCCTTTATATGTATATATTATTATTATTTGTCGATGGCTTACATCCACCCTTAACCATCTCCTGTCTTTTCTACAACACAACCACAACAAATAATTAATCCAAAACAAAACAACAGGCAATTTGTGAATCAGCTAGTCCAATGCCTGGATTTAATTCAATTGGTCTCAAAGACAACAACTCCAACATTAGTCGTAAAGTACAAGAATTGATATCAAATTCTCGCTCTTGTTTTCGATCTGTCTTGCCACCCGGACCAGGATCAATACAACCACTACAAATGGATTTTGAACCTGGTAACAATCCATTCCAGGCTACTTCTAGAGCTGTACCAGCATTTGGTCAAGAGACAGTAAATCAAATGGATGGACTACTTGACAAACAGAACCTATTAAAGACTCATGTAGATCGCCTGGGGAAGCTGCACCCAGAGGTAAATATTTATACAAAAACATATATTTATTTATAGCACTAATGCCTGGTCTTAAATATATACATATTTACTTTGGGTACTCGCTTGTTAGGTAGAAAATGAACTGAACGTATTAAAAGACATTCACAAGCAAGTGTTCGACGAAATGGATCTACTGCTAAATGTAAATATAAATATTACAATACCTATTTTTACTTTTTAGGGAAAAAAAGACAAAAACAAAATAAGCTTAAACTTATGCACAATTCTTTATTTTTTGGGAAAACAAGTTAATTCAACAGGCTCAATTGAAAATGCCTAGAGAAACAGCACTAGACATTCGAATACAAGCAGGAGACTATACTGCCGAGCGTTTGGATTCAAATAAAAAATCCCATGGTACCCAGTCGAATGACACATTGCTCAAGCACGCACAAGCACAACGCGATTACTGGGAGCATCATGCAAGGTAACATATAATAGATCAAAGGTTACAACAGTGTACACCTATTGCATTACATTACATTAAATACGATTTCTATGGCACGATTCGCTAACTATTTTTTTAAATATATATATATACTACTCATATAGCGAACTGTCTTTACAGCTTGAGAACTAAAAAAAAACATCAATCTTGATCTGATTTTACTTTCTCTCTCTCGCTCTCTCTATCGTCATTACTACTAATTTTTAGACTATATATACTAGATCTGTATTCTCTTGTAGCTCTTGATTTTTCTTCTTTGTCTTCTTCTTTTTAGTTGATACATTGTATATACATGATATCGATCGATCTCTTCTATTTGATTTAATAGATAAATATATATAATAGATACAAATCAAATGAATACACACACGTATATAAAATAAAATAAAAGTTGATACCCTGTACAACAAACCATCTTGGATAGACCCAGTCTTTTGTATATGTGTATTTATTCGATTTGGTTGATGCCGAATCTGACGATATCTAGCAGTTCTTATTATAAAACAAGATTCTCATATATATAAAATAAATTCATAGACACCAAATAACACCCCAACAAAATAATAATAATAATAATAAACTAAACAAAAGCGAGAATTAATTAATTAATTACAGGCTTGGTAAAGTGAAGCAAATCAAGAAAATCGTCATTATTTTAACTTCTTTTCAATACTGGATCTCGTTAGACTTGATTTCAGTGTAGTAAAATGAGGTTTTTTTTTCCTTCTTTTTATACTATTTTATAATACAATATATAGAGAGAGAGAAAGGAAAGAAAAGGGAAGAATAGTCTAACCAGAAGTACAATTTACACAATAAGGTTTCGGTCAAAACACTTACTCGAGAAATTTTCTTGTTGTGATCAAAATACACCAAACACACAAAAAATAATATAAAAAAAAAAGTGTATGTAGACGGATCTTTCTTTCTTTCTTTTTGTATGTGGATGTGGATGTAGGATATGTGCTACAATAGGCTTTTGTATCACAAACTTCTTTCTGGTGTCACTTTTCTCTTTTTCTTTTACAAAGATCTTCAGCTCTCAAATACTCAAAAGCAATCAAAGAATAAAAATAAGATACAAAGATCGAGCAAGAAGTCCATAATAAGATAAAGTCAGTACAAGGTTGATATTCAGTACATAAAATATTATTATACACATCTACCTTACCCTGTAGATCCCCCATTTCCAAACTTGCTCAGGTCTCCTTGTCCTTACTCTTGTTAAACAAATTAAATATATTTCTAGGCCAAAAAAATTAAAGAATAAAAATTAGAAAATTCAGAACCATTTAATTTAAATATACATAGTTAGTTTATTATTGCTGATAATTATTTACAGCGCTAACATACACACTTGTATATGTTTCAAGCTATCCGTTCCTTTTTTTTGGCGTGCATGATGTTTAACAATCCCGATAACCGATTATGTTGGTGCCAAGAAGTTAAACCAACGAAAAGTGTATAAGATGGCACACAAAAAAAATAAAAATGAAAAATCAATTTTAAGAAATTGATCTGTTACCATGGCAATTGAATTTAATAATATCATAAGAAAGAAGAAAAAAAGGTTAAATCAAGAACAACTTTAAGTCGTTGTCATGACAAAGAGAGAAAGATGGTTGCTCTATATATATATAAATATGTACACTACAATATAATATAAAGTATAAAAAAATGTACAAAGAAGGCAAGATCGATCGAGTTCTGGTGACGTTGAAATTACACCAATAAGAAAGCTAATGAGTGCAAACCTTGCAGTATAAATTAAACTGAGTTTTTGTTATTTTTTTTTATCATCTCCATAAACAGACATTTATTTTATTTTATTTTATTTTAATTTTTTGCTTCCTCTTCTTTACTCCTTTCAATTCATTTACTATTATTTTTAATATTCTGTAAAATAAATACGTCTTTTAGTTTTACCCCATCTTTCATAAGACAAAAGATACCTGGATACCCTCTATTAATCTATGTCCACATCGGCAGAAGAAGAGTTGACGTAAGATATCCACACGTATTAAGCACATAATTGAGAACAGATCAAGACTCTCTCCTTTCTCCCCCTCCCCCTTTCATTTTTCAATATTGAAATAATGTAAAACATCTTTAATAATACAACTTTTTTATCAGTGCTGACTCTTCAGTGAGTACCTTCACATCCGCCCTCTGGTTTAATGCCGCGTTGGGTGCAGGCTTCTTTGCAGTATTCAACATTCTACGAACCAGACGAAGACAAACCTACACACCGAGATCTTATGTTGTTCCTAAAGGGTGGGGATCTTCTTTTTTAAAGATAATAGTAATCATTTGATCACCTCGGCCTATCGTTTGATCTTCACTATCCAAATTATATCTATATACATATTGATTTTTATTTTATCCAAATCTTCATTTTCATCTAGAAAACAACCACCACCTCTTCCAGACGGCTACTTTCTTTGGATACCGACCTTATTATATACGTCAGACAAAGAACTCATACGTTGTATGGGTCTTGATAGATTTATGGTCCTCAAATTCCTTCGAATGGGAATCGTCATTTTCTCAATCGCCACCTTATTCATGGTACCAATCCTTATACCTATCAATGTAATCGGTCAATTGAAATCGGAAGGCCTCAATCTTTTGACAATCGGTAATGTGTCCGATGTACCTCGTACCTGGGCACATGTCATATTAGCATTCTTCTTTACAGGTAAGACAAATAATAGCCATCCCATAAAGTGATAATAATCAAAAATCAAAAATCAATACATATACATATACATATATATATATTATCACAACAACCAAAAAAAAAAGACTATATCATTATAATAATAAAATGTACCTATTATATTAACAGCTCTATTTATTTATTCTTTTCTTTAATATCATTACCAAATATTAAAATTTTAATTACCTATTTATATTTATATATAAACAGTCGGTCTAATTTACTATACCTTCCGTGAAACAAGAGCTTATTTGGTTTTAAGACGCGAATATCTTATGAGCCCCGAATTCGCCGAGTCTGTCGTTGCACGATCTTTGTTTGTACCTTCGATTCCTAAAGATGTTCACAACATAGAAGATCTTGCAAGAATATTCAATCGATTCCCAGGTGGTGTCCGCCGTATTTGGATCAACAGGTAAAAAAAAATACTAGTTATGATTTATACATATATATCAAGCATGTATTTTTATGCATACATATAAATATATAAATATACAAATATGTATATGCGTGTTAAATAATTCTATCACAGAGACTTGAAAGATTTACCGGACGATGTCGAGGATCGTGATAAGAAAGTTCACAGTCTTGAAACTGCAATTACAAAGACGATCCTTTCTACTTACAAGTACAACAACAAGAAAGGAATTCAACCAGAGAATGGTAGCGACACAGAAGTGCTTATTCCTCAAGAACTCCGTCCAACACATCGTGTATCTTCCCTGCCAATCGGACTGCCCTTTGTCGGTCGCAAGGTTGATTCTATTGACTATTATCACGAAGAAATCCAGTCGTTGAACAAAAAGATCCTCGAGAAACAGCATCTGGCCACCAACTACGAATGTCTCAGTTCAGCCTTTATCGAATTCAATCAACAGATCGCAGCTCACATGGCAGCCCAGACCCTCATTCACAGCAAAGAACTCCAGATGGCACCTCGGTACATCGAAATTGCTCCCACCGATATCATTTGGGAAAACATGAACATTCAGTCATTTTCTCGTCTTTTGCGTCGCATGTTCAGTCTTTCATTCACTACGGTTATTATCATCTTTTGGGCCATTCCAGGTAAAAAAAAAAGGAAGGAAGAAAAATAAAGAACTATAAATCAATAGAAATATATAATAGTTATATATGCAATTATATAGGGATAAAGCATGTGTTTATGCGAAACAATTTTGTTAGACATGTTCTTTTTGCTTAAATAATATGAAGTATAATAACTAACAAATTATATATCCATGTAGTTGTGTTTGTACAGGGTATCTCTACTTTGGAGTCTTTGTCAAAACTGCTCCCTTTTCTTGAAGCTGTCCAAGATCTCGGGCCTACTGTTGTTGGTATTATTCAGGGTATTCTTCCTGCCGCTGCTCTGGCTATTCTAGTTGCCCTTGTTCCAATTATATTTTCAAGTAAGTAATACAGACATGTATTCATCGATATTACTAGGCAGGGTTTAATCGGTTTCTTTATTTTGGTGTATAGTGCTTTCCAAACTAGAAGGTATTCCTAGAAAATCATTTGTTGAGCTTTCAGTACTACACAAATTCTTCTTCTTCCAGGTAAGAAACCACACTAATAATAAAATATATAGTAGCCGTAATAATGGTGATAACAATAACAAAGTTCGATCCTCTATCAAACTCTTTTTTTTTCTTCGGCGAGCCACAATGTATATATTTAATTTTGAAGCTAATGAAGTTCTTCCTACATCTTTATATTTTATAAATATATCAAGTTTGTTGATGTTGTATTGGTGTCTACTGTTGCCGGTGGTATTTTTAATGTCTTGCCGGATCTTACCAAGAACCCTGCCAGTATTATCAATCTTTTGGCCGAAAAGCTTCCCAGGGCATCCACTTTCTTCATTACATATGTCATGCTTCAAGCAACCAACTCGGCCGCTCAAAATCTATTGCAGCTTGTTCCATATATCCTCTCTTTTGTCATGCCAATCTTCAACACAACTCCCCGTGATATATACCATCAAAAACGACAGTGTCCTACCGTAAACTTGGGTACTTTGATCCCAACTCATTCTGTCATCTTTGTACTGGGTAAATTATTTTCTATCCTTTTATATATTGGAAGATGTATGCAACTCTGTTGTGTACGTTTCACAAGGGATTCTTTTTAACAAAAACATACACACACATACACACACATGAACGTATGCACACATTGTGGCTAATTATCTGTGTTACATATATACATATATACATATATACATGAATTTAGGTATTGAGTATTCAACAATCGCTCCTCTGATTCTTCCATTCGTACTACTTTTCTTCTGTTTTCATTATTTCGTATTACTGTATCAGTTTATGCACGTTTACGAAAGACCCTATGAGACCGGAGGACGCGGTTTCCCTCGTGCAATCCGTCACGTTTACATTGGAATGTTCACCTGGCAAATTACTATGATTGGACTTTTCGCTGTCCGTGGAAACAAAGCCATCGGTCAATTGGTTGTGATGATCATTCTGCTTGTCGCCGGTTGTTTCTCGCTGGCGCTTTACGACAAGGCCTTTAAACCCCTTTTCAAATTCTTGCCTATCCAATGCATGCCTTCAAAAGACGTCCAACGCATCAAAGAAAATGCTGTGGCTGCTGGCGATGTTCACCGCCTGGACACAAATGATGATGATAAGAGAGTTCTATTCCAGACTACCAGCAATCGATCGGATACCAATAGTTTTGGTGAACAAAGTGGAGGATCTCAGCTTGGTGGCAGTGGCGGTGGGATGGATTCTACTGGGCCAAGAAAGAGAAACGTGTTCACTTCTAAAGGCGATAGTAACACTAATAATGGTAGTGATGGAGGCGATGGAGCCAGTGTACTTTCCAGAGACAATCTTTCGATCGATGCCTTCAGATACCGCACAACTCTTCACGATGAACTCAAAAAGGAAGCCAAGATCTCTGAAGAAGAAAATGATGAGGAAGAGGTAAAGGTCATGACTGACACAGCACGAAGACTCTATGAGACCGAATCGTATCTCCATCCCTCGGTCTGTCGAAACCAGCCCACAGTCTGGATTCCTGAAGACACTATGGGAATTGCAAAGCAAGAACTATCTCAACTTAAATCCCTTGGTATCATATCTTCCACACACTATGCCAATGCTCGCCCCAATGATAAGGGTAAACCCAAGGTTACAATCGATGAAGAAAATGTTATTATGGAGAATAAGGGAATTCCTGGAGAGCGACCTTCTGCGGCACAGTTATCTGATGTTAACGATTTTGTGCGCGTTGTGATCGATAATTACAACTTCATTGATGCTCTTGGCACAGTTGCTTAAGAGAGAGACAGATATATATATAACAATCATAATAACTAATCGCTATAATAATCGCTATAATAATAGCTATAATCTTGGATTCTCTATACTTCATTATATTCTTATTTTTTTTTTGCTTATCCATAATATAATTATTTACTTTTACTTCTACTTCTACTTCTACTTCTGCGTTTACATTTACATTTGCCATAATAACAAAACAAAAAATAATATTTCCGGTTTCATTAACCATTTTGCTGTTTCTTCTCCTAATATTATTAATATACGTGTAAGTACAAAATCTATCTTTTAAAAGTACATATTGTCCCTATATTTGTTACCCAATTTCTTGGAAAATATAAAATATGGCCTCTGTTAAATATATTGGATTTTAGTTGTAGGGGTAAGATAATAATATTTGAAAAATAAAACAAGATACACTGTCTCTCTTTCTTTTATTTTTTAAATATTTATATCTATATTTATATAGCATTCATGCAGCAAAAATAAAATAAAACTTACTTACATAAATACAGTGCTTTTTATTTATTTTAGGTTGCACGCTAGCTTTACTGTCTAAAATGAAAGTAGTTTATTGGGTTTAAACAACACCCCATAATTTCCTGAAAACCATTCGGGTTGAAAAGTAAAGGGCTCCTCAAACTGTAGACAATGGCGTACATTTCTAATATATTCAAAATTGAGATTCAGCATAGCATATTTTCTATTTCTACCCTCTCTATTGCTTGCTCAAAGGTGCCTTACTCATTAAGACAAGTTTAAACTCGGTGCTTATAAGAGAAGAAAAACACATTTGAATGATTTCTTATTTTTCTTCTTTTTACCTCACTCGATATTCTTATCTTTGAAAATTATCTTACAGAAAGCCATACATAAATATAGCTATCTTATATAAAAATAAAATCAAATAAAATAAAATAAAGGCCAGTAATATAAATAATGCTTTAATAAATAGATGGCTGTATGAAGTTGCCTTTTATTGACTCGTAAAAAGGCACTAGTAGAGGTATACATTTAAAGTTTTTTTTTTACCTATGAGTTTATTGATATAAAAAACTTGGTTATCATATTTTCTCCTTTCTATTATTATAATTTCTTTATTTCATCAATATAAATGAATAAACACGAAAACTAATTGCTCTCCAGAAATATTTGTTATAGACACAACTTACACGTTGCACTTTATGGATATAGTATTGGTCTTTGTCAATAGGGCTACCATCCTTACAAAAGGAACATTAAAAATCTTCCTTATGGCGTCTATGTTAATAACCGCTAAAGACATAGAAGAAAGATATATAGTTTTTTTGGGAAAAAATTGAAAAAAAACACAATTTTATTGTTATAAAGTACAAAGCATCAATTAATATATTTGTTGGGAGTCACCTATTATACAAGAAACTTTTGTTTTATTACCTTATTAAAATATTGACAATTTACCCAGAATGACCATCAAGATAATTATTAACATATCAAATTAGTTGATAGCCTGCTTTTTAAAGTACTTCGTTATTCTTGCAAATGAATTTACGCATAGAGATGTAGGCTGCAGAGATTAAACTGAATAAATGTTTAAATGAGATATATCTAAATGAAATTAAATATTGGAGAGTGGTGTTTGCACAATTTTTTGAACTAAAATATTGGATATAAAGTTAAAAATCGTCTACATTAAAAAGGGGGTTCCAGTACCTTTTTTTTGGTTTAGTTTATATTTATTTTACTTTTGTACTTCTCATTCAAAGCTAAGCTATACTCAAGTAACATACAGTCGTATTTAAACAAAACATTGTAATAAATAGATAGCGCTTTAAACTTGTATTAAGGATGTTATACAATTTCGATAAGAAAAAAAGAAAAGTCGCTTCAATATCCAAACTTAAGTTGAATTTTTTTAAAGAAAAAAAATTAGTGCAGGAAACGGTGCGCTTTACCAGTGCTCTATATCCCAACAACTGTGAAATAGCAGGTAATATAATGTAGCCCAAAAGAAATCAAACAGCTTTGTTCTCATTTTAGCTGTTATGGTACCCCAAGTTTATAACAGAAGCAAAATCTTAGTTGTAAAGTACAAACGAGATTTTTCTTTAAAGGAAATATTGTTCTTAGTTACAACAGTAAAATGAGTTTTTTTTTTCTTTGTGAGCAAAAAATCAACTGTCGTTTCTGATATTAACACCATGATGCACTCAGATCCAGAGTCTACGAGATTTATTATATATATATTACATAGTCGAATCGGTTATCTGAATGAATCAATTATATGTTATTGATTCCATCAATTTGCTCGCATTTATGTTTTTGATACTGGAACGCAGACTTAAAAGACACAATACTTCGTTAGTAGCAGATAAAAATCCGTGAAAGGATTAAAGGAGTTTTGATGTAGACTATGAACAAAATCCCACGAATAAATGGGGATCTTGTTAATATAATATTGAAACTGGTCGTTTGCTAAACGATGAAATCAACGAAAATACTACTCTCTGACCTACTATAAAGTAGTAGTGTTGGCTATGAATTCCAATTATATTTATCCCAGACACATTATTCTGTACACATACAAACCAATATACCCTAGAGTATAAGCAGGTATTGGTAACTTTGCGATCTTTTACTATAAAGTCTTATTTTGTGAAAATGATTAGACTTTCGGCACAGAATAATTGACAAGAAAACATGCAAGAGTAATTTGGCGGTACTCCCGCACATTTACTCACTGTCACAACTCTCATCCAGATTTAACTTCTTTTATTGCTCATTGGTAGTATATATTTTGTGTCTGTATGTAAAAATTGACGACGCTTAGATGAGCTACATCAAGTTAAAAAATTGGCAGATTGGTATAGGCCTATGCCACTACATCCGGGACGATATTTACCTCAGCAGCCAATACTAAAGTTTAGTTGAATCCTTATAAACCTTATACTCAAGCTAGGTAATACAAACTTTCTCATGTTTATCCCCTCACCAAAGAGACTTTCTAGGGTGATCCACTCATACACATACACTCACATATAATAGCCTCGATTTATCCATATACCCTCTCAAGTCTGATTGGAATATTTCCTAGTACGTTCACATTGTATTAAAATTATTGTATATTATGTTTTCATAAAATATCTTCCAAGTTTTTAAAGATGAACCACTCTTTGGAGTTGTGATCCATGCGAAGATACATTCCTAATCTTAGTATTAGTTAGTATCTCATTAGATATTTTCAATTGTTCACATGTCGTATTCTCCTTTTTATATATATACATTCCACTTATCTTCTTAGTCACAGTATATATTTCTTATTTTCTTATACGCCGTCTTCTCGCATTGAAATTGCATTTACCATCTCTTTATATTTCTTCTGCATTGATAACCTCTTGACCAGCTGTCTATTTACTTCACTTTTATTTTCTAGTCCCATTTACCAGTGCTTTTACTTTATCCATTAACTATTTAGTTTATGTGTGTGGTATATACCACCAAAAGGTACCAAGCATCAGTAAACCCACAAAAACAAAATATAAATTTTACTTACTCGTTTCAATAACAATGACCACGAAAATAATTTACACTTAGCGATTCAATTTTTTTTTCTCTTTTGATTGCTTACGAATGCATGCTTAAACTATACCAGGATTCAATAAAAATCGTGCGTGATTTCGGGAAACGTCATTTCATTATCATTTTTTCTTTTTGCTAAATTCAATATTTAAGAAGTTTTTTGTTTCAAGCAAATAATGCATATATATATTAACGGTTACAACAATAAGTAATGCATTACCATCTGCTAAGTAAGATGTATCTTCTCTCGCAATTAAGAAAAGCAGGAAGGAGAATTCCACTTACGAATATAATAATAATAAAAAATTAGACAATACCGGTAATATGTAGTTGGTCGAGGGAAGGAAGATTCGTTGAAACTTGAAAGACGATTCCTCACTTTGGTATTTATGATGTTGATTTCGAACAGAAAGACTGAAAGTGTGCATTTCTTTCCTAATTACCATTCAGAAAAACTCGGTCGATTGACACTACTAGTATTAGTATTGTTGCAGATGTATACATGTATCTATAAAAAATAACATTGACCAATATATAGTGTAGCCATTAGAAGAGTAAAACTTGACAGTACCATAGCAAGCTTATTTGCATAGTATAAAGCTAGTTAAAACGTATACATTATTTCATAATAAATATCAAAATAAAATAACATAAAAAGAATTTGTAATAATACGGCTTTATCATACAACAAT